GCTCATTATTGGCATACATCAAGTCCATCTTATATTAACTTCCTCGCCAATTTATCCTCGTATTGAGAATCGGATCAAAAATTCTTATGAGTACTACTGCTATTACGCAAATCATGAGGAAGAACAGAGATTTTCATCTTTACTTCGTCAAAAGCTTCATCAACCAAAGATTCAAGTAAAACCGAATTCCTTTGCAGGGGTTTGTCCTGCTGTACTGATCTTGAATTTCAATGATTTCGTAATTGTTCCCAGTCATATAACTCAGTCAAAATTAAATGTATTATTCTAAAGAGCTTTTTGTATTCTGTCGAACCAGGTTTGAATTCGCTTATGAGCCTCCAAAGTGAACTGGAGAACCTGTATCCTCTATCAAACCTGAATTTGAGGAACTTTATTGCACTGCTATTGAGCAAACAATTATCTGAAGATGCAGAATTGCACTATTCGACGAAACCCAAGCCGAAAACAGATTGTTCCAAACGGAATTATATTAACAATAAATTGTTTAAAAAACTGCTAGATTCATAATTCCACTCAACAAAATATATCAGATAATATAATACACAACATACATTTTATTCCTATCTATTTAGGGGACACCAGTTTTACAGGCGTGCATAAGTATTTAAATTACACGAATTTGATTTATGGTGAAACTACATAGTTTCCGTCCTTTTTGAAATTAGTTTGTGGGTAAAGTCTGTTAACTAGTCATTCAATGGAGCACATGAAGAAGTATAGAAATATTGTCTTCGTATTAACAAGAAACATAAATATGTGTTGGATGGATTACAAATATTTCGGGAAAAAATAAAGCTTGAATCCAATTCCTCCATGTAAATTTGTTGTGTGCGGCATCGTATCTTATTCTTGATTTATGTCCGAATTGTTTATTAATTTAAATTAGTGATTTATTTGCATAATTTTGTCAGCATTTATATCGTAAGTAACACCAGAAGTGAATTGTACTGCATGCAGATTATTACTGGTTATGGTCAAGCAGATTTGTTTTGCTGCGCCCACGTCAGCCGAAACACTATTTGTCTCTGCATGGTTATTCTGTACGAGTAAGTTGATTAACGCGTAGAAGGCTATTTGTAAGCCATTTTAGATCACGGGTACTGCTTGTATAGGATGCTGTACAGCGTCTTGTTAAGGTGATACTGGATATTCCCAGGGTGCTGAGTCATTACTAGCCAAACCTTAAGGGATGATATATGACTAAGTGAATTCAATTGTTGCTCAGCTTCACGCTGGATGTAGATCTGTGCAACTTCAACAACCAGTCAAATAGAAGAGAAGAGGCGGGCAGCAACGTACCAAAGAGGGAAGAAAAAGTATGGGATCTCGAATATGACCATAGTGTTTGTACTTACATGCTTATATTCGTTGTACATTGCCACCTAGTAAACGTATATACTTATTTCTACTCAGTCTTTTTATGCATCTGTGCGACTAGTCTATTTATCGTTTATACAGGTAATCAGGACATCTACGCACGTGATACAAACTTTCAAGCATGAAATTATCCGGTGTTCAAATATTAAGAACACAGTAATTGAACACAGAATGGGTGGCGGTTGACTCAAACGCACAAAAAGTGTCCACAAGTTCAATGAACTACATACGGTCTAATAGGCACAAAATGTTATATGATATGCGCAGTAGAACTTTGGTTTTGGCGATCCAATACGTGCGTAACAGATACCTTAGACAAAATATTATCTTCTACTTTCCGGCTTTTTGCATCCATTGTATTGGAAACAATTCCATTCAGTTTTGTAACCGTTGTTTTAACCAATTTACCCACGGCAAGTTGTATTTAGTCACCTACCTTCGTTACTGCCCTTCTTGTTGACGAGCTTTTTTATCGATTAAGATATACTGTGGTCAGGTCGCTGATAATCCCGTGTCCATTGAAGTGGAGATGTGAAATGCTGTGTGCAAGGTTAACGACTAGGTCACTATACGTACTTTGTTGCATTGAAACAGGGCAAAACTTCTAGACACCACTATGTCTGCCCGATAATTTCTAAGATGAGGCTACCTTCATAGAAACTTCCGAGTTTCAGTCCATATAAGTATGCTAGAAATACTATTAGGAAAATTCGATGAAACTGGAAGACAGCTTTCCGGAATTCAGAATATTTCATGTATCTAACAATAACTAGCTCACATTCAATGCAAGCGTTATTAAGGGAGACAGACAGAGTCGAAGATTTATTGATCAACCAAGGATAAAACAATATAACAGGTTAATTTCGTGGCAGCCTGACCGCGAGATTCACAGTTTCTTGCTTTCAATACACTGAAAAGTCTGCAAACAACTGCAGTATAGTAACGTTAATACTCCTAATCGTATTGGTCAGGTCTTCTGCCAGTGAGCAAATGTCTAAGCCACGACGCGGACAGTTGTGACCAATGAACGGGAAAATGGTTCAGGTTAGAAAGTTCATTGTACGTTCACTCAGTGTTCAACATTAGAGGAAAGTTAGAAATATCAGGGATAGCAGTTATTTTCAAGAAGCAATAAGCTGCAACTGATAGTAGCATTACTTGTATTCCAGTACAGCAGCTCAGGCTGTTTGGAAGTCTTCCTTGGTGAAGTCGAAATCTTCCGCATCACATAATGTTTTGTCCGATAGAGTTTATCGCCTTGAAAGTCCTCTCTTCTTGCCCGTAGATGAGACATTTTTTATTCGGATATAGAGTTCGTCCCCATAAGTGCGGTGAGTTCACATTATCCACTGTATGACGAATGTCCCTCTCCTAATTATTTGTCTTTTAGGTAAGAAGGTTGCGTGGCAATGCACCAGATGTTAAGGGTGGGCAGAAATAAACGTTCCTTTCAAGTATACAGGTTTCACCCTCAAGAACAGTCTTCTACAAAGCTTCTGATTAGCCGTCTGAAAACGCGGTTGCGATGGCGAGCGAAATCTATTTGTGTTTGATGGAAATTGTCTTGCGGCCGTTATATTTCGCAAAGCTGATTCTAACTGCATCTGCCTTATTTTATCTATTCCACTTATGCACGACCGACGCAATCGGACAAAAAAAGCTGGAATTTAATAATTCAGTACAGATTATAGTTTATTATTATTCATCCTTTTGTCTCGATATGAGCATAAGGCTGTAGCTGTACTTCCCCTTGGCACACCGTTTTATGCCATCAGTTTCAAGGTGGTCTAGGGGATGGATATGTTAGGCTGCTTGCTCAGATTCGAGCTCACTTCCAGTTGGTTTCAACTAGAAGTAATGCTCGTGATTGACATGTGGCTATCAATCCTGCTAGAACTGAGTGCTAGCCACACTACCTGCTGACATTTTAACCTGGCCCACCTAATCTAGCGACCAGGCTGCTCATAACATCGCCACAAATAGTGAAGGGAGAATATAACTCTCGGATGCTGAAAGATGCGTTTATTGACGATGACATGAAGTGAGTGTACAAGTAGATAATCATACCACAGTGGAGCCTCAGATCTTTTGTCCTTTGAAAATAATACTGGTTATCATGTGTTTTAGTTCGCATGGGCAAACGAACTTACCGTTAACAGTGAAGTGGCTGAAGTTCAGATGAGTTGACTAACTTCTTTGAACCTCTACAGTGACCATACAGTTGCGTAAACGGTTCCATTTTCACCCCAAATAATCTCCTGTATGTCATCCTTAAAAGCTCAACTCGTCAATCCTCATTAGAGTTTCGAACAACAGCCTGCTATATATGTTATCTTCGCCGGTATTCTATCATCCTGTCTTAATATTTCACGAATTTAAAATGACCCGACGAAGTGTCTTATGTCAAAAAGGTAGGTTTTCACAGTATCAAATGACGAATTATTAGAAGGGGAGGCATTTTTGTGGAGACTAATGGTGGTTCTAATCTAAGACTGATGCTTGAGGTCAAGTCAACACCGAGCTGTGGCACAGCACAAGAGCGAATGTAGAATCAGATTAACTTAATTGGGTGTTTTCATACTGCTGTGGCCCCCAGGTGACGAATAATTAGTGAGCAATGTGGAGCAGATCTACCACCATATTCAATCACCACTAAATTTTCATTGCATGTAGATTGCAAATTTTTTGAAATCAAGTTACATAACTTTGCCTTTGTCAAATACCTCAGCAAAAAAGAAACTGGACCAGTTTCTGTAAAGGCCTATTATCACTTTGACTATGAGACTGTAATGAGTGAATTCATAGAAAAACACTTATCCCTGAGCAAGTTACGTCTTTTCAATTCGTTTTCTGGGTACCTCTCCCCTCAAAGTCAGTTCGATATCTTTGTGATGAGCCTGTGTAAACACAACGTTTTTCTGAAGCTCGCCTCTCGATGTTGTAGGATGGTTCGAGATACTTTGTGATGAAGACTTATTTCATTTCCAGTTACGGTTCCATTAAATGAAGTGAGAAGGCGGGTGTAAGTTTATTTTGTAAGGAGTTCATGATTTAATCCAGAATAATATCGCCGTTCCCCCAGTTTTACTTGAAAAGTGAATATTCATTAAGAGATTCAAAGCAAAAGAGGAAACAAGCAGATAATGAAATATCAAACGTATACATATGAGATAGATAATCAGAATAGCTAGATTGAAAAAACGTAGAAAGGCATGTAAAGTGACTCACATAATACGGTACTTGTGTGTCACATACAAATATCAAAACCATTGACATGGGTCTTTCAAGACAAATTCTCTGAATAAATTTACTATTGAGAACGTTTTACACGATATTTACAAACAGAAAGCGGCATCTTGTCAGGAGGCGTGTAATGCCCGTCACTATTTAGATATTTCCAATTTTAAAGGTTTACTCATACATTTTGCTTATATTTTACGTTCACTGCTTTGTTCTGATGCTGTAGGCCTATTGATGTTCCTAAGGTCAATACAGCGCGTAACAGGCTTTTAGGTGAACCTGAATATATATGGTTCTAATAAGTACGAAGAATTCGATTAGGTTAACTCCATATTATCATAAATAGAGGGGGATTTGAGTATTTGGGGAGAATATTGTGGAATTACAAAGGTAATGGCGCCCAAAATGCCATGTGCGCTACAATGGCCTTGAATCGTTTCAGATATCCTCATTTTACGAGGACGCTAACTGACTTTGCGCTTTTAAAATACCGTTCTAAACATGAAGGCAGCGCAAGGTGCTTGCACGCTTGTTCCTCGCCTACAATGTCTCTCATACCTATAGTACTAGACAAAACCACACACGGCGAGCGAGCTTTCGACATATACTCACGATTATTAAAAGATCGTATCATTTGTCTTATGGGACCAATCAATGATGAGATAGCCGGCCTAGTTGTCGCACAGCTTTTATATCTTCAGTCTGAAGACAAGAAGGTCCCTATTCACATTTACATTAACAGTCCAGGTAAGACGAATTTTTCACCAATCTATTTTTAGGAGGGGTTGTTACTGCTGGCCTGGCGATATACGACACTATGCAGTTTATAAAGCCTCCAGTTGCAACTTGGTGTGTAGGTCAGGCTAGCAGTATGGGTTCTTTGTTGCTAGCTGCTGGTGCTCCCGGTTTACGGTTCGCTCTCCCGCACTCACGAATAATGGTACATCAGCCATCCGGTTCTGCCCATGGTGAGTTTGTTTACGGAGCTAAACTTCTTCAGGCCAGGCTTCTGATATAAAAATTCAAGCTGAGGAGATTTTAAAAATGCGTAAGATTCTTAATGCTATCTACGGGCGGCATACAAAGCAATCGCAAGAGGTATGTTTGAGATAGTAGGTGCAAGCGTGCAACTTCTAAAAGATCAGGTGATAAATTTCCCTTTTAAAAACTTCCATTAGCTCTGAAGTTATATTTTTGATGCCTAAAATATATAAGTGGGCATTTACATTTGGTTCTTACACTGTTAAAAAAGAGAGAAACATTTTATTCGGTCAGAGATTGTTTCAGGTGTGATTTGATCGTGTAATTCATGTCTTATAGGCATACACTGTCAAAAGCTTGACTATTGATACATGCCTTACACATACTAAGAGTTACTGTTGTAATGTGACACTGCTGACTGAATTGGATCTGGCAACTGACTCCAGTCACCTAAAAAGCCCTGCTTTTCTCTCCACCGTGTAAAAATCATTTTCCCCGCCATTCTCCAAAGCATTGTAGCCTTGAAACTGAAATACACTTGCAAATATTCATCTCAACCTCTCTTTGAATTCGTAATGAGCTTGATGTCAACGTACAAGGTGACTTGTTTGTAGAATCCCTTGTACATGACTAATTAGCACCTCAGAAGGATTATAAGAATCTGTGTTGCCTTTAGGATGTAGATGATTAAAGGTTAGAGCCAACAGAAAAAATGATTAGGATTGATATGACTATAACTTATTTTTATTGTCATACTAAAAGTGATTTGCGCTTAATGTATTCAATGAATAGTTTGTAACTTGTGTAGTTAATTGGGTCATTGTTTTTGATCATTGTAATTTAACTGTAATTTTCGTTCCACTCGAAAAGCAAAAGAATTAAATAAAAAATTTAACGGCTAACAAAAAAGTGAATATGTAGCTGCAGCACTGAAAACATTTGTGTTACGTTGTGTGAATGTTACAACATGCTGCCATAGTGTCTCAGAACTCAAGACAGCTCACCACTGGTTTGGTGTTTCGTGGTTTATCGCTACATCTTCTGGAAATTATTCACTAATTGAAATATAGCATTAAATCGACAAGTTTTGTCTACAATCATTTAGTCTTATTTATGTTAGGAATAGATCTGGTTTATGAAATTGTTTGTGATACATATCCAAACTTGAATCACGTGTCGCTACACGTATGTAGTGGGACTGAATTTATATGGCGCTTAACTTTCGACCTCACTGTACGTACTAAGTTTTGGGTAACCAGAAGATATCATTAGCTCATATAATAAGCGGAAGTCATTGTTGAGTGCATTAGTATGCATGTGGCTGTCGATTAATGTACCTACAAAACAGTGTTTGTTTTCTGATTATTTTATGCCTGATTTTCTAAATTTCGAATGTCCTAGCAAAGGGTGTAGTTCATTGTTTGATGCACAACTGCCAGCCAATAGTCCTCTGGTTCGAATCCCTTTCTACATACTACAGCCTAGACAGCTAGGTAGTAACATCAGTGCTCACACAAATAATGTGGTCCATAACTTGGTACATGTGAAATGCGTTTCGGATAACTGTGTCCCAAGTAACTAGTGATAGATACTCGTTTTATCAAAATACTGTCCATATTTAAACCTAGGTATTGATAAAGCTTACTGAGTATGTTACTATGTGCCATTATTTAAATCGCTGATATTCGTATTATATTTTGCCTCTTACCTTTCTCAAACTCAAGGTGATCGAGAAGTGGATGGATCGTGACTATTTTATGACAGCAGACGAAGCTGTTTCTTGTGGAATTGTTGATACAGTCTTACACGAAGCTCCTGCGGATCAGTCAAAAGAACTTGAACATTCTAAGTCACTGGGCTAATTACTGAAGCAGTAAATTCAAGCCGGAAGTGAACATGAATTTTATCACAACTATTATTTTGTATATATTGCAATCCACACAGTGTAAACAGAGTATTTCTCAGGGAAACAGTATTCCAGAAATATATACCTCTGTTCTAAATTTAGTCGTGTTCTGTTTCTCTTGCATGTGACTTGATTTTTGTGTAAGATCATGCATCATTTACCAATTTTTGTTATGCATCTTTGTGTGACTCCTTGACTGTTGGTTGATTATTTGTTTGCCATAGTTTATCGCTCATTTGTAATAATATATTTATCAGGGCTCCACAGCAGAATAATCCAACTAGTATGTTTTTGGAGTGTACATATTTTTGGAAAAAAACGTTTTCATTAGTCAGTTAATTTACAATTACTGATACTTATCGATGAGTAGTTTAATGTGTGTGACCTGTTTCTGTTAGCAATATATGTTGGTTTTCTCACATTCCGCAAGTTTATTTACCAACTTTGAGTGTTAATAAATCCGTTTAGTACCTGCCCAAAATGTTAGTAATAGTTGATTGACGTGTGGACATGAGTACAGCTATTTCCTGGTATTACTGCTATTTGTACTGTGAATGTACATTTCTCTCTTGTTACTTAGGTTTACACAGATGCTAGGTTTTTCTGTCATTCATGTAGTTAAACCTATTTTTTCCAACTGTAAGTTTTATTTGGCGTTGTATTTGCACTTTTGTGGCTCAAGGTGAGCATGCAGTAAGCGTATGTATGCATGCCATACATAAAGCATATTTACTCTCATTATTAGTAAGTAGTTCGATGCTTATAGTATTACTGTATATAGCATCGTTAGTGTCTCATCTTATCTGCCCTGCACTAAAAGTTTTCAAAGAGTGATGCGACTTTTTAAGTGTAGACATGATTTGTATCTTCGAATGTTAATTTGGCCCTCAGTTGAGTAAAGCTGATGTAATAAACGGTGTAATCCTTTGGATCAACCAGTATTGGCTAAAGAGGTATGCTGAAATAAAAGTCGTGAAATTCAGATCGTTGTGCTATGTGAAGTCGGTTACTTAAGAAGTACAGGCTAAAACCACGAGTTAGTCTCACATGGTTCAAAGTTGGCTATATATATATATATATATATATATATATATATATATAGCCATCAAATATGTCAAACTTTGCATATGTTAAGAGAAAAATTACCAGGCAACATTTTTAGATGCAAGTATTTTTGTGGCGCGTGGTAAAATCACAGTTAGAAATTCTGGAGTTATTCTGACTACTAGGTAGCAATATCAAATTAGTAAAGTTATAAACATGCCCTAACTTAGTTGGATTATCTGGGGTAGAGTTGCGTTGTGAGAAAGCTAAATGTCAATACGAAGGCGTGGTGTCCTCTTATGAAATTTCAAGCGGTTGGTTCGAGGTATGAAGGTAGGTGTTTTACCAAGGTTCGCTTCATTTTATTTCGCAGCAAAACAAAGTATGTGGACTAGTGATTTTCTACTTTTGAAGTGTAGTGGTATTAACTGGCCATATTCAGCTTTCAGCCATTTGGGAGTTCTCGTCACCTTGTCAAATGTAAAGTATTGCTACATCAATTAGGTAAAGGATAGAGGCTTAAATGGCTTTATTTGTTGACTGCCACGTATTTCGGAAGTTTTATCAATCAATCGACTAGTTAACGAAGTGTCAGCATGGATTCGTCTGGAATTTACCAAATTTCATCGTCTGTGATACCGGCAAGATAACCTAGTGTAGTGCATAGTGATCCTCTGTTCAAAGTTTACAGTTGTGAAACATAGACAATGAGGAAAGAAGGCATTAAAAAACCGACGAATGACTTTGAGCACTTTCGTTCAATTGTCATTTTTAAGTTAAATAGCGTGTTAAGTAATGTCATCAAATGTAAAGTGCTACTTAGTGATGTTAAGTCAGTTTCTTATGTACTGAGGTGGTTGAGAAATACCTTATACATCCGGAGTCACTAACCTCGTTGAAAAATGTTGACAGTCGATGAAGTCATTGACCGTTGTATTAAGACTCATAAGCAGGTATAGAGTGCCTTGTTAGGGGTCTCGGGATCCTAAGAATTGGTTTCTAGAGAGTTGGTAGTATGGCTCTCACTTGGTGTCAGCGACGCAGATATAGTCATTCTTCCTTATCTCCCAAGCTATAAATATCTCCTGTGGTCGTTACTTAACTATCCTTTCCGTCGCACCCATATTTATACATGGTAATACCACCATGCTTGTGTTCTGTCTTTTACGTGTGCCTTTTCGAAATATGGCAACTGGAACTGATGGCCTTATGTGCAAAGTTTTTTGTTGACTTTGTAATAACTCTGTCTTTATGTAAAGTGAAGCATATAATTCTCATTGCCAAAATTAGTTTCACTATGATTTTCAGCCTTGTGACGTCGCTATAGTGATGATGCCTATTCTCTTTTGCGGTCTGTTGCTACTCATAGTCTTCAGCAAAACTTAGTGTATGTTTTTCTCTCGTATTTTTGGCTATTTTGGATGATTTTTCGAATGATTCAATTCATCTAAAATGTACGACATTTCGCCTGGCTTAAGTTGCGAGTTACTGACCATTTCCATTTATCTCGCCACAGTAGACTAAATAATTTGCAACAACAGTTGATTCATTTAGCACATTTGTGCATACTTTAGAAACTCGATCACACTTCTGGCATAAACTGAATTTCCAGTCGTTTGTGATTGGCATCCCAGTTGTAGTAAATCAGCTGTGGAAATAAGTAAAACTAATGAGTAGTTTGCAATTTTGTTTATATACTGGGCCTTTTGAAATAGGATCGACATCGCCTGAATTATAATACTAAGATTTTTAGCCGAAAACTAACTGGCTATCAAAGCATGTTGTAATTCTTTGAGATTTTTATGGAAAAATCAACTCTCTTGTACTGCCTGTGGGACACTGACAATGACACGATAAGTGGATAGATATGAGGAAGGTAATTGGTGACCTGGCGATTAACACTTTTTAGTCGTCTTGTACTATAGGTGATGTCTTGTAAGGAAGTGGGTTATTGAGACTATACTATTTATAACATTTGATAGAACTTAGTTTTAGACGTAATTCTTTCTGAAGATTATTTCAGTAGCTTTGGGGTCTCGTAAGAAAACGTAATTTATGTCTGAAGGATTGCGCATACATTATTTTTTTTATTATTGCTTGATTACACGCAGTATTTTGGTACAGGTATGGGATTTTTAGCATATTGGTAGCCCAAATTTAGCGGGCCGACCATTAATATCAAGTGTGCGTCGGCAGGGGATCGAACCCAGGACCATGTGCATGGTCGGCGAACGGCCGAACTGCTGTGCCACCGACGCACAAGTTATACAGGGGAAGCACATTGCTAACATTAACTTTTGCTTTAGTATAACTTTTATGCTATCACTTTTATTTACTTTTGGTACTGTTAAATTATTCCTTTGTCATAATGGGGTCCAAAAATAGCGTTTTTTAACCTAGATGTTTTCAGTGGATTAATAGCACATTTTGATATGATTGGCACATCACACATATGTTAATTTTCAAGTGTTGGTTTGCAGAGATTTAACTGATTTCAAGGCTGATCACGCATTCATTTCAATTAGATATTGACTGAATGTAATATAGTTATCTTGTCTATTAGACTATGTAGAGCTGTAGCTTATTGGCTTAGGCACTTCACTTCCACCTACCGAGGTTTGGGTAACCATAATGTGTCAATAGCCGTCACACAATAGGTGTGGTTCACTGTTGACTACATGGTGGAACGGCAGGAAGTTGTTGGGAGGCCGTTTTCACTCATTTTCTGTCCAACTGTGGTCGGATATAACTGAAATGTATCCAACAAACAGCGAAGTGTTCTGTGGCACATAGTTTTATGATTCAGTAATTCCTAAAATCAAAGACCTCAGATTTCGTCCTTACAACATGTATTTATCAGCTGAAAACAGCAGGGAGGATATTTTTTCTGGTACACTTATTACAGATGTATCCGGTAAATCAACACACTCCCGAAGAAACAAAAATTTTAGCATTAACTAATATGCTGCTCTTTATTCCGTCATTTCTGTAGAATTGCTTCACCCCAATTTTAAAACTGATTTAGGATTATGTCTTGCATGAAAAATGAAACATTGACGTGGCATTCACTTTATTTAGAAAATCTGAAATAGTTCTATTTGTATTCTAGTTTTAAAAATACTGTGTTTTTACTGGATGTTAGTTTGCGTATTGATTGTTTTTCAGAAAAAAGACCACATAAACAGATATTTGAAGTTTTAAAGGTTTTCATTCCACATATCCTTTAATTCTGAATCTTCCTTCTCCTTGCTTGATTATGAAAGACTTACAGTTGGAAATACATTAATATGTACCCGAAATGTAGTATATCTGTCTGTGTGTTTACTATTTGTTTCACATATTGATATTAGTAAGTGACTGGGCATTAAATCAATCATGTTTATGTGTGCAGAAATCAAATATCTGACAATAATAAGCATTATTTCGTAATATCCAGTCTTATTCCTGATAGGTGTTCATTTAGAACTGAGGTTTTTGGTTCTTAAATATAATTCTTCTGCTTTTGAGAATCTAATTCGAAAATTTCAATAAAAAGATTAAGAAAACTAATGGACTGCTTAGCATATATTTCCTATTTTAGATAGACAAATGAATCGTAGTCGGTCAGTAAAAGGCGTTGGGTCGTGGTGTTATAGACGCTTTATTGCACTATTTATCCTTAATTACAGATTCACGGCATGTGTTATGTTACCTAGAATATGATCAGATTGTGAGTTTCTTTGAAACTCAGATAAAAATGTGGTGCTTGCCTTGTAACCAGGAGGTCCTGGGTTCGAACCCCGTTGGGTGCGTACTGATGAAGAGTCCCAAACAAGGACAACAGAAATCACTGTCCAATACTCCCAGTTTTTCCAATGGTTCTCTAACTGATGCCAGCTCATGATAAAATCCTCCAACCAATCAAAGAAAATCCCTACAAAACCAATACTTGAAAATTTGGGAATAGTGAGTAAATGACTCCATCGTTTAATGAATAACTTCTGATGGGTGGATTTCACTGTTCTCTCGATATATTTTGAGTCTAAATGGTTAATAAACTCTGAAAGTAACACGTAAGATCTAGAATCCAGTCTATCAATATGTTATTACCCCCCAACAACTGAAGTTTTTTTTACTGACCAACATTAATAAATTAAGACTTGTGTAAGTAATTTCTATCCTAATGATAAATGCCTAATTTAAACTCTTTTCGCATCTTTTTAAAATCAACTCTGCAGCCACAATCAGGTAGTCTACAAAGCCCAGGAACTCCTAGACGTGGAGTGGGCCTAGGGCCACCGAATTTTGGAAATGGTATGTATAGTCCAAGCACTGGTGGGGGTATGGATTCACGTGAATCCGGATTTTTAGCGAAGTTGAATACTTTATCACGTTCAAGAAGACGGAAACAAGAAGCTGAAGAGTTGGCAGCTGAAGCACGGCAGGCTATGGAAGATCCACTACTTCCAGCTCCAATTGATCTTGGTATCGATGGATGTCAGCTCGCGGAAGGTGAAGAGCGCTCTATGATTGAACCTCAGTCGAAGGTTAGTGATATGGTATAATGTAAAGCCTTTGTAGAGATTGGTTAGTTCAGTTTTATCTTTATAGTAAGCACTCAGCATATTTTACTGTTTCAGAGACTAAATGATTTGAATTTATTCTTATGTTTTAAGGCATCGTAGTGTTGAAAAAAAGTATAAATAAGAGGATATAATAATATTAATGATAGTTGGATTTGATTGAAATATTGTTCAGGAAGTGAATTAGGTTTTTTCAGATCACATTTATTTTAGGTTAAACTTCGTGAAGATTTTATAAATATGTAAGTTGGGGAACAATATTCGAAATTATAAACATACTTAATACATCAAATTCCATGAGAATCAAATATTTCGAAGGAGTTTTCATTCAGGCGTTAGCCTCACTGTTTTTATAGGACCATACATTGTTTATCTATTATCGTTATTATTATTATTCTTTATAGGAACATCCGTTAGTTCAAGAGTTGTCACGTTCACTTATTGAATGGATAAATACAGAACTTGTAGATGATAGGATATTGGTGCGTGATTTAGAAGCAGATTTATTCGATGGACAAGTACTACAGAAGTTAATCGAAAAGTTGTTAGGTATTAAAATCAATCATCCAGAAGTAGCTCAAACTGAAATAGGACAAAAGCAACGTCTAAAAGTGAGACAAATATTTTATGTCATTACATGAATACAAAATTTTGTTTAGAATTATTTTAAACCGATATTATCTACCGTATATATTTTCAGAATATTATGTTGCTGTTTATTAAGCGGTCATTACAAACCAATATGTATCAGTGTTTAGTGGCAGAATGTTTGCCAACCAGTCAGGAGGTCTGGCTTCGATTCCAGGTTGATGCACTCCTTAACCTTATCTATCCGATAGTCAGTCTGGAGAAAAGTGAAGGTTGAGCTTGGGGCTAAGAACCCTACTCTGTATCAAAGTAAAACTACCACTACTGAAATTTCAGAAGCTTAGGACCCAATGCTTCTCTTGGAAAGCAAGGAATGAAAGGGAAACTTAGTGAGGGGATTTTAAAATATTGATATTGCGAAATGAAAAGGTAACTGAGAGATCCAAGTTTGATCACGAGCTTACGTCAGTTAGAGAACCATTGGAAAACCAGGCAGTACTGGACAGTGGCTTCGTCCTAGTTTGGGACTCTTCATCACTACGCGCCCACTGGGGTTCGAACCCAGGATCGTCCTATTATAAGGTGAGCTCGTAGACGGTTCAACCGCTGAGAATCGATCCAGTGGCCCATGGATTTCAACCTCTACCAATTCGTGATTTTAGCACGACCACCAGCCAATGTCATCGGCGAGTATTTGCCTTCAGGCGTAAGAACAATCGAAGTTGTGGGATTCTGCTGCATGGTGAACGTTTTCTTGTAAGTTTAAACTTAGTTTATCCATCTGTGTTATTCTAAATAGATATGTGAGTGTTTCTATTCCTATGTATCAAATGTGTTCACACCAAAATAGCAAAATTTCAAATGGCGTTATCTGATATTCAGTGGAAATACACTCAACAGAAGGTTTGATAGTCTTAGTAAAAAGTTTCCATATTGTTTGACCCTAGTTTTACCTTTCAAACAGACAATTGTAACGATGTTATAATATTTGGAGTAACTGAAGGACCAATATTCCCTTTCACTTTCATTTATACAGCGAGATGAGAATGTAACGCTATTTTAACACAAATTGCATGTTAAGGAACATGGCTTGTTGCAGTTTAGTTTCTATGTGCTGTGTAATGCATTTTAAAAACGATATTAACTGTGAATTCAACAATTCCTTGTGAAAAATGAGAATTTACGTTAATTAAGGTATAAGGAAAGACATATGAGAAACTTTCGCCATTGACTTTATATGGTTCAGAGACTTGACTTGTCACCAAAAGCATTTCCAATAGGCTACTGAAGACTTTTGATCTACAACTGCTTTCTCTGGCTCCATAATGAAAATCAGATGGCCTATTAGAAAGAACTCAGTCAACGAACCAAACAAGAACATATTACTCAACGAATATGTAAAAGGAAATAGAGGTTGATTAGACATAAGCTGTAAAGACTGTTAAGTGACATCACGCACTAGCAGCTGGACGGGAAACGACGAGTTGAGTGTAGGTTCAAAGGTAATATGGGGCGGAGAGAGGCTGTGTGAAGAGAAAATCGGGGCTTATTTGCAGTCCTGGAGCAGAGGGAGATGAAGACGTACTTCTGAAGCCCTATGCTCCTCCCAAAACCAAACAGAGTAATAATAGTAGTAATTTGTGTTAACATAGGAGACCTATGATTTTATCGGTGTGTGCAGAAATCCTAAAATGGTATATCACCATATAAAATAATACACAGAACTTACTGTCAATTTCAGTATGAAGTTAATGCATTGTAAAAATGAATTCATCCATTTATTGAATAGATTGTACTTGATGAAATCAATTCTGCTTTGGGCATATCACCTATTCGTGCTGCTCAACTTTGGCCTGTTACTGCTGTTTATGAACGAGATCTAGTGGCTATATTACGTTTATTGGTTGCATTAGTTCGTAGATTTGCTCCAATTATAACAATACCACGTAAAGTTCAACTTACAGTTTTAATTGTGCGCAAAATTAACGGAATTTTACAACATCGACGTCAAATTGAACCAGTTACAGATGTTGGAGATGAACAAGGTAAGATCCGTCTACACATATAATAAAAATGTGTACAATACACTCAGTGGTTAGGGGTCTTTTATTCCCCCCCCCCCCTAAAGCCGCTATTCGTTATTATTCTTTTTGTTCCTTTGGGTTCCGAATGGAATACAGGGCTTCAACAGCACATCTCCACTTAGTTATGTTTTCTGCTGTCTTCTTCAGCTGGACCTACGATTGCCCATCTCTCCTATCTATTCATAGAAAATCCATATTGTAAAATGTACCTCAGTATTTAACGAAACATTTTTAGCTAACTTTATTGATAAAACACCACTATTAATAGATTACTAAGACACCAACATTGCAATTATGTTGATTTTCGAAATATAGCTGAGTACATGAGACAATAATGTAGATAGAACAGTGTGCTATTTTTAATCATTGTCATGTCGATTAACATGGCTTGCTTAGAATGAAAATTCAGCTAAAATATCAATCAAACTTACTCCAATCACGATTAAAGTAGATATGAGGTAAAAGCTGTCTGCTCGCTAAAATCGGTAGACAGCAGTTTACGTCAATGTTTACGTCCCAAATCTTGGTCATGAGAAAAAACAAGAACAAAGCCTAAGCTTGAGGAACTCAACAACCAACCAGTCACAGCAGACTTTGCGTGGGCGGATACGATTCGCAGATATATGGTCTGACCTTCGAAGAAACGACCACAAAGAGATGACAGAATAACTTTCAGCGGAAAAACAGACAATCAGAAGACTCTGTCTCTTTGCTAATAATAACGAATAATAATGTACATAAAATGTATAAATATTTGTTGATTTTCTTAATAAACGATCTGTTGCCTGACCCTTGTCTTTTGTCGTTACAATTATAAACTGTTATGCTCAAGCCAGACTGAATTCCTTTAAAATTCCTCTTCATCCATGAGATATTGTTCTTGCTTGTACAAAGTCTGTCGTTATCTTAGCATAAATAAAATGTCCCAACAGCCAAACTTCTAGTTTTGAAATTTGTTGTTAAAGAGGTGGAGAAGTTCCGTATTTCACGTAGATGTATTCAGCTGACTGATGTGAGTAGTTGCATACGGCTCACGTCAACATGTATTGCTTGTTAGCCGGATCTAAATGATATAAAAACCAGACTATCGCTTCACTTGTTTGCAGTCGATTTTATCAGCGGTGTACTGATTTGGCTAACTTGGCTGAGTCAAACCAGATACACTGCTGATGAGCTCGGTTGCAAACGAGTGAAACAGTCGTCTGGTGTTAAGATCACTTCGATCTGGATAGCAAACACTACAGATTGATATAAATGGCATCCAACTACTCATATCAAATCAATCATTCATCTGTTTAGTCGGTTATGATAGTGAAAACAAAAGTTATTTGATTGCTATTTATTGCTATTAACAGGCTGTGATATTTTTAGTAAAAAGATTTTAGATTTTCCTTGCAAACATTCTATCTCAGAAAGTAATAATTTTGAATTAAGCATTTCTTTTATTACTTTTTTTTTAAATATTCATACCCTATTACTCTAGATAATGCTGAGACTGATCATGATGCTATAAGTGCATTAGTTGATTGTGCAGTACCTGAAAAACTTGCTTCTTTTCAACAAACTTTAAAAACATTTGTAAATCGTCATTTGAATAAGCTTAACTTGCATGTAAATGACTTAGAAACTGAGGTAAGTAAAGTGATTTTTCAGCGTTTATACTGGCTAGGTGTATGGAATTTAGCTTTTACAATATATGTGTTATGTAATAAGAAGAATAATATGTTTTTATTGTTTTTCTCCATAATTGATACTGTTATTCATCCACTCACTTTCGTTGCCTAGAGTTAATTTGGACAGTTGGTGATAAAGTATAAAGTGAATTCTGCTTAGTAAATGTATTTTAGTATCGTGGAATGATGATTAGGTAGGCATTGGGTTCAGATGGCTAACATTCAGGTCACTAACATCACAGCTTGAATCCTGTCCCTATTTATGTTTTCGTCTGAAATCCTTTAGGTATGTTGTTAGATTCAACGGTATCAGTATGATTTCTTAAGGTAATTTTCATGCTAAATTTAGTTGGGCTAGGATATGTAGTGCTTTAGATCAGAAATATAACTAAATGTGAGGTTGACCGCATTTTGGTGATTCGAATTTTCAGTCCCCTAGTGTCATCTTTACCTTTTGTTTGTTTATACATCATAGGTTTTATTTAGTGTTAAATCCAAGTAGCTCATAATTTTGAGTCACTTCTCGCTTTAAAAACTTGTTTGTGTATGGCTCATTTAATAATATTACTTAGTGAAAACAAAAGTTGTTGATCTGATTGGCTGATACGTCAAAACAGTTGTAAAGTCGGTATACTTTATTCGTTTTATGGTTAATGTGCATGTCCCGTTGATGTATTATGCTGAACCAGAATATTCGGTCTCCATAGACGTGTCAACTCCTAGTGCATTCGCTTCGACGATATCTGAAGATTAGCATGATGTTATATTGGTCGACGATAACCACCAGGGTAATCCAGGATGCACATTTCGTCCTATTTGAGACTCGTCGGCTTGGTGCACATGCATACCCGAAGAATGATTGTATTCCTGTTGGGAATCGAACCCTGCACCCAGGTTCATTGGGCTGACAAGCCCCAAGTATCACAAGAAGTTGTTTTTGTTGTTCTAGTAGGCTAACGGTTAATGCTCTGTAACTGAAATGATGGGTACAGTTTCCGAATCTTGGTAGGAATACCATCACTGATCGGGAATACAAGTACATCCAGGAGACGAGTCCAGAAAAGAGCTAAGTACACACCCTGGATTCCATTGCAAGTCACCTTTAACTAAAATAAGATCAACATACTTTATATTATTTATGATATGCAACTATTTTTCTGAAAATCGGCATGAAATGTAACTCTATTCAAGGGAGCTTTTCAAATAAACCCAACTAGTTTACTGTCAAACTTAAATAGCTTTTGATAACATATGTTGTCTGTTTGACTATTTGATTATTGATTGAAAAGTATTGTGCGTTTAAAGCTTCCTGTCATAGTGGTGTTCTACATTTCAACAGTAAGACAGAGATAGATGTTGCTTACACATTAAACTAGGTCATTATTGATTAATTTCTAGTTCCTAATTTTCGTTTCCCGAAGGTTAATTAATGCTAGCTGTCCCTATTTTTATATATTTTTATTTTCAAGATGGATGATGGTGTCTACTTCATTTTATTGCTTGGTCTACTTGGCAATTATTTCGTTCCTCTGCATGCTTATCACATCACGCCTATAACAGATTCACAGAAATTGGCTAATCTTCAAGCAGCTTTTCAGCTGGCTCAAGATGTTGAAGGCATTGATTTAGAGTATAATCAACCAGAAAGTGTATTACGCCATGATTTAAAAGCAACGCTACGTCTACTGTATACATTATATACGCGTTATGGGGATAAGGAATAAACAATGAAAGGCAACTAGTCGGGTTTATGAATCTAACTTACTAATAAATAAAATACTTGCCTTTTGCTATCTTTTTATTTTGAAATTCTATGGCATTTATTATTGATTATCTTCAACTCATTTAATCTATTTGCATTTACCCTCAAAATCAATTAATGATCACTTACTAGTATATTTTGATTTGAAGTTTATGTTTTTTCTTTTTCTTTTGGTCTATTTCTAACTAACGAATTTTGAACGTATCTGCTATTAACACGAAAGTGAATATGACCTTTTTTAAAAATTGCCTATGTATCTTTTATTCGCTATCACTACATTATTAATAATAATATCTGTATACTTTTAAAGACGAATTGCTGAATTGATGTGAAGGGAGGTCTGTGCAAAGGTACTTGAAAAATAGACATACAGTTGGAAAATTCTGCTAACTTTCTGAATAAATAACATTTTTCTGTACGCAAAACTTTATTTCTTGCCTTATTTTAATCTAAGTAAAAAGGAAAGTGTTGGGCTTTCTATCATTCACCAGTTCATCATAAATTATCCCCTTGCATAACAGCTACAAGAGTTTGAAGACATTAGCAATGCTAAGGTTGTTCCATGTATTAGCCTAACAAAGACTTTCTCGGTGTGTATTTTTAGGACATTTCTGAATAATAAAGCAAATAACTTTATTCTTCGAATGACTTATCAGTGTAGGATCTTACACAAAACTAAGTCAACTCAAGTTGTCATACTTCACAAAAACACATGTAAAAGTAGAGACAAGAAATTTAGTAAACTATAGAGGGCATTTAGGCGTCAACGAAGTTTATCAAATCGATTGAACCTCAACTGTTTCATCTCCAAAGGTCAATTTGTCTATCTGTGGGGATCAGAACACATTGTGGACAACTGGATGTTCAGAAGACAAGAGCACAGCTGCTATCTTGTGATGTGATTGTGTATTTCCATGCTCTGTTCATACCGTCGTTACAAATTACAGCTCTGAACAGTCGCAAGTGTTCTCCCTTTACTAGCTGGGGTGGTGTTAATTACAGCCTGGCCACGAGGTTAGATGGGCTGGGTCAAAAAATCGGCATGTAGTGTAGCCAAAGCTCAGGTCTTGTAGGATAAATGGCCATATAGCAATCATGAGCGTTATTTGTAGTTGAAGCCAACTGATAACCAGCTGGAAGCCGTTCAAGCAGCCTAATAAATTGGTTTCTTAGGGACGAAGATGTATGAGAGAGAATAACTAGGTAAATATTAATAATGATTTCCAGAATGTTCATAATAACAAGGGGAAAATACATCTCAGCCGTTAAAGTCTATTTTGAGGCAAGTCACTAAGTCTGTTCAACCAATAGTCTTTTGCATCTCAGAAGCCATAATCGTGCAGTCTTTACCTCCATACTTGACTCAAACCAACCTCTAAGGACTTTATGGGTTGGTGACATGTTCTCGTCTGACTACTTTTAACTACGATCGGTGACTGGGGGAAGTGGTGGTGAAGTATTGGTGAGACGCATCCTAGCCACCTCAGTCAATAGCGCCACCTTGCACTTAAGAGTTTAAAAAAGCATTAGGCTTTGTATAGCCATTGTTCATACACTGCTGGTTCTCCTGAAAACCAATACCCAGTCAATGGGTGTATCGTGGTGTGAATCGTGCGTCGGTGGCACAGTGGTTAGGACTCTCGCCGACCATGCACATGATCCGGGGTTCGAGCCCACGCCGACGCACACCTGATATCTATGGTCGGCCTGCGAAATTTGGGCTACTGATATCCACGCTGAAAATTCCATACTTGTACCAAAAATACGGTGTGGAATCAAGCTGTAATAAAAAAATAATGTGTTTTTCTTACAATTGTTAGGGTTACATCGCAGTTTGAATTGTTCCCTTGTGTTGCGTGCATCGTATTTTTGCTATTCGCTGGCGTTGGAATTCATTAATTCGTTTGTTTTAAAACTTTCTGAGGTAGATTAGATTATTCCTATGATTCTAATTGTTTTAAGCTTTTCACTCATCAATTTTCTTGGTGGTTTCGCTCAAAGAATTCCCTGCACACTAGTTTTGCTGTGGCACTCACTACAACACACAATACCATTGTAATAATTATTCAGGAGGAGGTATCTTTCTCCTAGTCACATCTTACGTAAGAAACACCTTACTACCATCAAACATGATTAATCTGTTTTAATTTCACATAATACCTGGTATTTCAATTGACTAATCAGCTAAACGCCTTCTGCTTTCTTCTCATCACAATATGTTCAGTCCTTTGCTCCTCACCTTAAGATGTCTGTCCATTTTCGACATAAAACTTTGCACCGATCTGCGACAGTTCGAGTCGCCACACTCCATGTACCACACAAAGCACGAGAAGAAAGTAGAAGAAATGCATATTAGAGACAGTAAACAGGGGTGTGAGACAGAGGAATAGTAGTAACGAAGAACATAACAGTTTTACTGGAAATCATAAGTCACAAGGAGTGGATGCATCTGCACTAGCCATTGAGAACTATTTTGAGCCATGTCACCAATTTTCTCCAGTCATTGGTGTATACCCTCCCGAGGACCCCAGCCTGGAAGTCTACACCTTCCTACGTGGCTTAGACCAACTGTCGTGGATTTCATTGACTGGTGCCAAGTTTTTATTTGACCTCCACTAGCTCTTTTCCAGCCTGACCCTATATCCGCTAACATTGCTCGTCGAGGAAGGCGATGACTAGGCATACGTAACACATAACCTAACTATCTCAGTCTTTGTAACTGCACAACTTCGTGGACTGATTTCTCCTGTTTACCTAGAACTCGGCGCCTAACTTGAATATTGCTCACCTTATTATGCCACTTCACACGGGAGATAGAACGCAGGCACCTATGATCTAAGACAACTAGCCTCTTCATCTCTTCCACTCAATGGCCAGGTCTCACAGCCATAAAGGAGGACGGAGCGGACTGATGAGCAGTACACCCGCTCTTTGGTTGATAGTCGGATATCACGTCTACGCCAGAGTCGGCGTAAACTGGCAAATGCGAAACTAGCCCCCTGTATCCGTGCTGAGATTTCGTCAGAGATCAACCCGTTGGGGCTGGCCGATGCAACTTCCCAAATAAGTGAAGCGGTCAACGTGCTCTACCACTTCACTCTCTATTTCTAATCTAGGAGTCGGTGTAGACCAGTTCTGTAACATCATTTTACATTTGGCGGGAGCGCATCGCATGCCAAACATTCATAGATTGCAGCTCAAGGTGTTCAGAAGACGCTGCATTTTGTTGGCGTCCTCGCCTAGAAGGACTATATCGTCTGTATATTCTAAGTCAACGAAATTATTTCCTGGTGGCAAGTCAACCTCTGAGTCGCTGAAGTTTTTTTTCCTTCACGTTCCCAGTGGAACATAGGGCTCCAAGCTATAGGCTTGAAGATTCCGTAGCAGTGTTGATTTTTTACAGGATGGGGTTGCTAGCCTCATGCCCAACCTTTCCTCTTTACCAGCATTATTTCTGGCTTAGCGAGGTAAAGGTGTGCGCCGGCCGGGGCTCGAACCCCGGACCATGTGCATGGTCGGCGAGCATCTTAACCGCTGTGCCACCGACGCACAAGTCGCTGAAGTTACTTAGGGTTAAGTCCATTACTACATCTATGATGAAGTTGAATAGAAAAGGAGATAATGGGCATCCTTGACGGACACCACTAGTCGTCACCACTTTAGGTGACAACTCGCCGTAAGCCCTTACCTAGCTATATGAGTACCAGTAGAGTGCCTTAATCAGTGTAATGTATTTTCTCGGCATTCCCTTTACAGCCAAGCATCTCCAGAGAACCTCCCGGTCGACAGAATCGAATGCTGCCTTTAGGGCAAGAAATATAATGATTGTTGGACGCCAGTAGGAATGTCTATGTTCTAGAATCTGTCGGAGGGTGAAGATATGATCAATACACCCTCTTCTTCAGACATTCGTTTCGCTATTTCTTCCTTAAATAGAGACGTAGTGTCCCGATCTAGTTGGGGACGTAACTGTTTCGCTGCCGCCAATTTCTTGTGTCCATTTAGTCGTGAACATAAACGTGCGCGAACCAAAGTGTGACACCTTAAGATGGCTTTTGGTTGAAACGCTGACCTAAGTAGTTCATAACGGGTATTAAATCATACATCTACATTCTTCAGTCTTACTGAAAATTTCTCCTTAGTCTGTGGCAGTGGGTGGTGTTTTATAGACACATTTAGGCAGCAGGCTTCAGAAATGTAGGCGTCAAGATGCATCTCTGCTGTTTCTTACTATTGTATTATTTTTAGATGCTTCGTATTGACTAATATCACAGTGGCGCTAGTTAAAAATAATACATTTTAAGGATATACTTCATTATCGCCCCATTTGCCGTGCTGTGTGTGAAAAAACACTGCGGTTAGATTGATACTCACCTAATTGTCAGTTTTTATTTGTTTAATCTGCCAGTTGACAAACAAATATCACCACAAATTGCTCAGCCAACTTTAAGAACAGCAAAATGCCTCTAAGTATGTAAGACTTCGAGTAGCTCTCCCAGAGCATTTAATCTGGAGTGTTTCTGAAGTTTCTGTTTGGCATAAACGACATGGTCTAAAATTCTAAGTCCCCACATATTCTAAAAGGGATCTTACTGCCTCGGAAATTCGGGTCCATTCTATAACGTACTATTCAGTTTTTCAACGTTATTCACTGCTTTTGGAAGCTACATCTGCCAGCACACCCTTTCGTTGATACTTGTCAGATGTTTCCGGATTTCAAACATCTTTTTACATGAATCACGGTTACCTGTGATATAATAGTCGTGGTTATGGTTCAAAAAATACGTTTTAAAAAGCCAAGTCGCTTTTTCCTGTGTGAGAGAGAACAGTTATAGTTTAGCTGTGAATTTAAAACCTAATCCAAAGGTGGGGCTATATGGATGGTAGTTAAGTGATGGGGGATGTATTTGTGGGGAATAACAGAAGATTGCATCTCTGAGTAACTGTTGAATTTACGGTACTATTACAGTAAACAATCTAATCCTTAAGCATGTCACAAGAGAGATAAACATCAGGTTAACTAGAGTTGACTGAGTTTCACATGCTGGATGGAAATCCGATGACATCAGTTGGTTAGGTAGTAAAAGGGACTCGGGTGAATAGTTAGAGAATAACTATGACCTCTTCTATACATAGCGTTATATTTTATAAAGGTCTTTATTAAATGACGAGGGGCCCCAACTAACATTGACTTCGGGCACACTGCAGAACGTTGGGACAGTCTTTGGGAGCACTGCAGAATGTTTAGGACAGACTTCGAGGTCATTACTGAATGCTTGGGGCAGGATTAGGAGAGTTGTCCCACCTTCTGCAATGCGCCTGGGACCTTCAACCGGGTTCAACTAAGTTCACACACATCCCATGCTCAAAGACATGCTGCACACGCAAACCAAAGGCTGTCTAACTGCTTGGTTGGCACTCCTAGTTCACCGGTTTGTTCATATTTCATGATGGTGGGACGACCGATAAGGGGCTTCCAGACACTTCATGTCCTCGTTACACACGAAATATAACATACTTGCGAAATCCTGAATGATTGTACCCGAATGTAAAGAACCTATGGTTAATCGAAAAGAAACCTTCTGCCAAGCTTTTCAGTCTAACTGAGGATTAAGTTTACTGGTTATACAAGAGAGGAAAAAGAAAATTTCACAATTCTTTACATAAATGATACCGAACACATCTTCGACTGGTAGCAGAGCTGGTTACAAATCGCTTACACTTGGGGCTTAGTCACCTGATTATCTAAAAATCCTTGCCTCCCATTTAAAAATATTCACTCGACCTCGTATAACCCGGATCTTGTTAAAGCTAGAAGAATTTGAGACACCAGGCCTTTCATCCACTGCCATCGTATAAACGGGCAAGTTTACGAGAAATGCATGCCATTTTTTCAGGCACGATCAGTAATGCTATAAGTAACAATCCCGAAAGTTTAAATCGCTCAGTTATTGTACAAGAAAGCAGATCAAGTTCTTAAAAATGTTAAATTGTAAGCCTTTTACTAGGGTCACCATGAAGGTTGAGCGCCAACCCAAACTTAGCTCCTTTCCATACTGATAATTATGGTCACTCAGTGAACAGCCTATATTTAGGTAACCCCTCTGCATCCACGCGATTCAACGCTATTTCAGGAAGAGAAGAACGTCTTGGGAAGCTGCAAAATGGTACAAAATACAATTATGGATAATACATCACTGAGGGTGTATTTACAAGATATACACAAGAAGGAGGTGGAGACTTCTTGGAATGGTGGTTTACATTTGTAATGCACAATTAATATTGTTCCCTTGGGTTCCTAGTGGAACATAGGGCTTCAACTGCACGTCTCCACTTGCTTCTGTCTTCTGCTGTTCTTTCCACCTGCATCCATGTTAGTCCATACTGTTTCAGATCATCTTCACACTATCTCCTGCTTGGACGTGCCACTCGCCGCTTCCCTTTCGGCCTGGTTCCACTCGAGCGATTGCCTAACACGCGCACGATGTCACCCAGTGGCCTCCTCACCGAGTGTCCAATCCACCTCCACTTTTTCCTGCATATAGGTTGGTTGGCGATAGGTTCCTGTTTTGTTTGTTCCCAGCCATAGTTTCTTGTTGGTGATTCTTTCCGGCCCGGCCATCTGATCCTCAGTATAGAGTCAGCGAAGACAGTTTTTGGTTAATAAATGTGTGCAACAGGTTGTTGGAAATATTTTTTATGACCCACCCTCCAAGATTCTGATCCGTATAGAAGGACTGACTAACATGAAATTTCTATTGAAAATCTGACCGAATTTCGTTGTTGATGCTGAGTGACGAAGATTTCCAGATTGATTTCAGGTTAATGAATGTGTCTCTCGCTTTCGCGATTCTCGCCCGATTCGACATCCTAGTCCGTTCCGACTTCCTGTATTTGAGACAATGCTCCTTAGATAAGTGTAATGTACCATCAATGTAGTTGAAGATTGAACGATCAATTCATGGTTGTTTGCTGAAACCCAACTTCCCAATATTTTCGCAGAGACATCGATACACAAGTCATCGTCTCATCGGTCGCTGTTCAGAAAGAAGTCAGGCCAAAACTGTCAGAAGTAATATTGTGATTTATTATTGTAATATTTGTTCATAGACCTTAGTTTTTAAGCTTAATTTTGAAGTTGGCTATATATTGGTGTTACAATAAAGAATTCTCGAGTGGCCAATCGGTGTTTTGGCTTTGCGTCCGTTATTACTAAGCGTTTCTGAGAAACTTCAAGGAACAGCGTGAGTCCCGGCGTAGCAAGAGCTGGGCATTGACGGTTTACGAGACGTGGCTGACATGTATAATGCTAACTTTATTGATCAAAGTATGGAAACTATGGAGTTTTCGATCAAAATATGGTTTTTTCAAACCCTGGTGTTGTTGTATTTTTAATCAAAGCAGCCAGACTTTGAGCAAACAGCAAATATTCACAAAGAGTAAGTTTTAGCTTCATTAAATTTCCGATTAATTTAGATAAAGCGGGGTAAAATAGTGCGTAAATAAAAGGATTATCGCTGGGTGGATTAGTGATATTTCAGCGAAAGGTGAAATTCAGATCTATAAGATTAGATCCCGTGGGACAAGCTAACCTGTAATGTGTCTCACGAATTTGTGTAAGGCCCATGGTTTCAGCATCTTGACAGGAAGATGAACAGGCTTGTATATGGTAGGTGTAAAGGCACATTTTAAAATTTTCATTTAGTGTTACGTACAATTTGACGCTGAAACAGTCTACAAAGCTGATTACTGCTTAGTCATTCGAACCGAATATTAACATTCCCCAGCATAAGTCACACGAAACAGAGGATATTGATGGCTATTTTTTGAGCGGGGAAAAATTTTCTTGAGCCTCCTTGTTTTTCGCCACTAAATTTTGGATAATTTGCTTTGAATGCCAAGCAATTTCGCTTACGTATGTAGTGACTGTAACGCGAGAACAGCAACGAAAGATTTCTAGGACCACCACTTGAAAATTAACACCCATATTTGACCGTTAACTCTTATGTGGATGAAAAAACAGCACTGTTTAGCTCACAAAACGTTTGTAGTAAAATAACTGCACGAATACTACAGTATGTTCTCTATTCATCTCCCTATGATTAAAAATACCAAGAACTGAACACGGAACCTACTTTGGTCACATTGAGCCTGAACTGTAAAAATTTACAGCTGGTCCCCAGAATGCTAGTGGATAATTGCTCTCTGGGTAACTTTCTGAATTCACTATTATTTTGATCACCTCGTCCTTAAGGGATGGTGAACGTTACCACATACTGACACCTTCGAATTCTTTGATGGGCAATTTTTAAATAACTCAGCTTCACTGACCTAACACAGTCATTCACGACGAATGGGATCTACTGATTTCCATGTTCAGAACTTCCTCCTGATTATACTGCCGGTTTAATAGCTGGATATCTCTGCAGTTCTGAAATCTTAAGGAAAATTAAAAACAAAAGTCGTGGCGTGCAAGAAAACTGTGGATCTGTAGGGGACTTATACTAGAGTTCACTAACACTATAAATATAAGAATAATAATCCAAGTCAATGGAGTGTTAAATAACAATATATTACCAAAAAATTCAGTGACGCGTTGTATCAACAAAAAGGATTACTTGGATATAAAGTCTTAGTCCTCTGCTACAAATTATGTATATAATCCACGGGCACGTTAATTGTTTGGACTGCGTCTGCTGTAGCTGCTGTGTTCCGGTTGTAGAAATGTCTTCGGTTGAGAGTAGTAGGCTCCTACAATAAATCCGAAGTATACAATATGGTGTGAGTGGAGCAAGTAAGCAGAAGTGACCAGGGAGAAGACGAAGTCTCCAACAGCAGAGTGTATTTTCCAATTGCACACGGAAGTTATGTATATTTCAACAAGAAGCGTTTTAAACAAAAATTATGTACAATATCTCGAATTTATACAAATAACCAAAAAGTGTACAATCACATTGTTACGTACTCCACAGATCTTCTCAAATAACATGATTAGGTCGGCCAAACCTTTTCACTCAGTCACGGAATTCAAGCGCATTTTAGCAGAATTCCTATAAAACTGCCGATAGTCAAACAACTCTGGTTGAAAGGCATTTTTGCAGTTTTTGCTTTACTTGCTTCCGTCACAATAAGCAAAAATATTGTACCCATAATAAATGAAGGAGCAGCAATGGGAGGTATCAAAACACTAAGATTCATTTGCTTGGGTCGTTATTGCAAAGAACAGTTTAGCTTTTATGTCTCAAACTCTCGTATGGGTTGTATTTACGTGAGGAAATGCTCCCTATAACGAATATACAGCATCTGGCTGGAATCTGTTGCATCGTCAACCGTCTAAAAATGAGTCCTGAGTGGGCACTGACAAAAAACGTTTCTGTCAGTTATAAGGAATGATTCTCATAAGGGATACTAAAATGGGGACTCTCAATTTCTCGTTGATTCGCTTGTTTCACTTCCTGTCTTGTGTAAAAATAAACATTTGCTTCAGACTTCGTCTTTTGAAACACTAAATTTGGATGACTTGAGATCCATAATAATCCTTCTGTTTTGCTCTATCGCTGAGGTTCAACCCGACTAATGATGAATCGTGATTTGTTGAAGCAAAATGTTCTCGTAGACAGTGCCACTGACTTATCATTTTGAGAAAAATAGGAGCTTTGAAACGTTAAAGATTCGATTACGGCCTTTAGATTTTGGAGCATCGCGTCTGCGAATTATTTCTTCTACAAACTAAAAATATTTGGATATAAGACACTGAGTCCTACCATGATATCCACTGACTGCCAATGTGACAGTGGTGAAGAATGCAATTAATCTAAATTCCCTTTATATGACGAATTCGGTGGCATTTCAAATAATTTGGTGACCATTCTGAAGCAGTTGGTGTACGTCTTTTCTTGGACAATCCATAATGTACAACCCTTCGAATCTGTTAATCTGTAGCTTAATATGGTATTTGAGGTACGACTTTCAACTGCCATTACACCCTTCTACACTGTAAGCACTGGTATTTTAACTGTACGTATATATGTATTAACTAAGTGAAATTTTTGAGCCTGTTATCAGAGATGTTATTAATTTAAAACTTAATTACGGATATTTTCAAAGGCCTCTGCTTTGACTATTTGGCTAGTAAATCTAAATCTTCTTGCAGATCGAGTTGATTGCTGTGAATGTGTAAAGTCTGCTAGTGCTTGATAACAACTATGAAAAATGACTTAATTATCAGTTAAACCGCCATTTACAATTTTCCAAGACAACAAAACCCCTGAATTTTGAACTTTTCACTTGTTTTACTGCTTCAAACATCTATTGCTTTATTGGTGTCCCTTTTAAAATGCATGTGCGTTTTCGCTTTTTAAAGGTTATTTATAATTTATGGCAAAGTCTCATCCTGTTTAAGGCTTACAAACCATATTCGCATTTTTATGTGTTTATTTGCTTTGATTTAAAGTTGAATTTAAGTATGCACTGAAAACGTCGCCAAGAAGAGTAATGAAAGCTTCGCAAATAAACCAGGCAGGTCAGAGAATACAACTACATCAAAATCATCCATCTGAGCAACCGATCTTCTCTATTATGTATAATTCTTTCTAATGGAGAGTATTTTTAATGTTAGCTGGTACTAAATTTTTATTTCCTGGTTGTTTGTATTTTACGCTGAAATTTAGTTTTTTTAAGCATTAAAACTGCTAGAAAGTTGATGCTTTTCATGTTTTTAGATCCATTTTGAAGCTATTGACCTTAATAAACCTTAATAACTGGTATTTAACCTAGAAATGTTGTAGGTCTAGTTTTCTGGTGGTTTTAGTGGACGAAATTCTTCGGGCTGAAGTTGTCACTGCAGATTAGTGAATATCTCACTTGTGACATATTAGATGCTAATTATTTTCAGTGGATTGGTTAGTTTTTCCTAATTCCTAAATTTAAGAAGAAAGGAAGATTTAAGCTTATGTCAATTCTTCTCTGACAGGTATTTGTACTTTGTTCAGTCTTTTCTTGCATGAGTCGATGGGGTTCAGCCATTATGTGGAACAATATAGCAGACTGTTGACATATATGTACACTTAAAGTATGTTTCTGTCATCCTTGAACTCTCTCTTCAAAACTCTAGGTTATTTGCTTAGAGAAACATAGGAAATTTGTTGGGCTTACGTCTTACTTGTTTCACTTTTGAATAACAGACACTGAAGTGATCAATAACTGTTTCGCTCTTAACTGACAAATTTACCTACCGTCAGTCTAATTGATTTCCAACACACATTTTTGGAGAACCATACTATTTTCATTATTTCAGTAATACATGACGTACGTAGATTTTCTAAGATTGTCTTTTATTTTATCTTCCAGAAATCCAATGATTTGGTGTTGTATAAATAGGAATTAATTGTAAATGCCATTTACAAGACATTGCTTGCACGCTTTGACCATACATACACTTACAAATTATATGCGCCGATAAATACAAGAAATTGTGTGGGTGAGTATAACCTTTTCCTTAGTATTTGAATTTAATGTGTTATTCAAAAAGTTTTGTCCGATTTTAAATATTTGATCTAAAAGAGAGCCGCTGAATGATGTGTTATGCACCAGTGTGTGTAAATGTATATCTTTGGTCAGGTGTCACGTGTAATATCTAAAGTAATATAGTTGTTTTATGATAATATTAAATTTCTGTAACACTTTATATCTTCTTATTAAATTCTTTTTCTTATAAGAGCATAAACACTTTGATTGTACTGGCGCACGTAAAACCCGTTACTATAATTTAGACATGTGAATACAGACTAAGTATACTTTACATCCATCGTTATTATGGCAAGATAAGTTACTGACGATGAGAGAAACTGGGAGACAATGGCATTAAAATGTTCACTGAACTCACCACGGTTTTTTTTACACACTGTACTAAGTGACATTTCAGTCTTCACTTGTATGATAATGGCTTTTTTATTCCTTTGCGTTCCCAATGGGACACGGGGCTTCAAGATAAAGACTCGAAGTTTCAGAAGCAGTGGTATTTATTTTTACGGGATAGGGTTGCTAGCCTCATTTCAAACCTTCCCTCATTACTAGTTTTAATACTGGCTTAGCTAGGTAAAGGAGTCCGTCCACCGGAGATCGGATCCCGGACTACATGCGTGGTCAGTGAGCGTTCTACCACTGTACCACCGACGCACTGATGATGGCTTATTTAGTTTTATTTATTGGTAAAAACTACCTCATTGATTGATTTTACGTGCTATAAGACGTTTCTGTTTCAACACTTTATTAATTAAAAGATCTGATGCTAGAATCTGTTCAGTTGGAATGACTGACTTGTGTTTGTGTTAACGCTTTCTGTAAGTAATCGTGTGGGTCGTTGAAATGAGGTAAAATCTATAAAAGTAACCCTCTTCCCATCCAACACCCATTCTAATTTATATACACATTACATTAGGAAAATCTGTTGTCTTGCTGAAGCCCAGACTTTCACTCTGAACTCAGAGAAAGAATAATAGTATATTAACAAGGAGAATTTTTGTTCCTCCATGTAACTCAGTCAAAGTTACTCTTTTCAAGAAAGACAGCTTTTTCCAGATAATGATGCAGTCCTACTGGATGAAGTCAATAACAAAGAGGAAAGTTTTTCAGAAGTCTAGATAACATTTTGAGGATGTTTGACAGATTTTCAGGTGTAAAATATAAATTTAAAACTGGTTTGTGGCTGAGATTAGGCACAAAAACTTGATATCTTTGTTGCAGCAGCTCTGATGGACTTGCTGCCCACAAAAGTTGAACTAGGCAATAAGACATAGGTTAGACATGCGAAAATCTCGGCGAAAATAAGAAGGAAAACGTTTCCCTAGTTAGCAAATGCATGTAGTTTGAGGGATACTTGTACTCTTTAGCTGCATATACCTCATTAAGAAGAATGATTTAGAATCCACAGTGCGTTGGCTAGAAGTCGAATGTCTAAATAGATGGGCTGTGTCGGCCGTTTTTCTAGTCATACAATTTTGATCGCGGTGGCTGAAACGCAATTCACAAATCTATTGTTAAACATTCTTACACGGTATTTTGGTGAAAAGAATAGACTTAAGAGGTGGGAGAGAAAGATTACTTGCCGGTTCTCAATAACATCTACTTAGATTTGGTAAATGGTTGTATTTATATCCAAGGAAACATTGAGGTCTTCCCAGGAGAGTGCTATTCATACACCGATACCTCCCTACATAATCTAAAGAAGTAGCATTGTATTCAGTTTGAGTACTGAATTTAAAAAGTAATTGAACATATGCACTCAAGAGTTCTACTTACTTTTAAAAGCTATGGGTGTGACGATTACCTGGGATTACTTAACATGAACCTCGTTTTCTTATGGTATTTCTCACTTATGTTAGTGTGCATGGAAACAATAAATCAGCGCGTATTTATTAATTATCATGTTTCTTGATCAACTCAGACTGATTCCAAATTCATTCCTCACTCACCGTCACGTACAAGCCAATTAATTTGCTCAGGACGCATCACTTTACGTTGTTACATTTCAGCAAAGCACACGCGACGCATAAATACTAGATGTAGTGAATCTCACTCAGACGATGATTCACTGGAGGCAGATTCGTTATAAGAAGACCAGTCAAGGATTTCAAATGTTGAACGGCCACATGTAATTAATGTATCTGCTCAACAGTGAACAATCTTAATGCCTGTCGCTAAGATTCTTTAACCGTTGGTCCCTTGTAGCTCGAGGATCATAGTCGGTGGCACAGGGGTTAGGATTCCCGCCGACCATGCACATGGTCCGAGGTTCGATCCCCTGCTGAGGCACACCTGGTATTTATGGTCGGCCTGCAGAATTTGGGCTACCGATATCACATGCTGAAAATTCCATACCTGCATCAAAAATACGGTGTGGAATCAAGCTGTAATCAAAAATAAATAAATAAAAATATACTCCTTCCTTACTGCAAGCCGACTTCCAAAGAATTCATGGGTTTTTGAATAACTCTCTTTTAACCTAATCCTATTTCACTTACGACTGCTGGTTGAGGAAAGAAGAGGAGGGATATTTATGAGTCTTAGCCTAGCCATCTCAATTTATGCTACATAAAACTCCATCAGTTGACTCACTGTCTTTACTATCCTCACACTCTACAGTTTAATGTAGGAAAAAGGAACTTTTGCGAAGCATAAATGCCTTCTAATGGACAAAACAGAGTCTTGGGACCAAGAGTGATACAACTTGGCAAATTCTCTTTAATTAGCATGGAATGGTTGTAGGCATGCGTACTGTAAACTTGTGAGTCATTTACTGGTCTTAGCTTAATCTCTAAGACATCATAGCCATCCATAGTCATCTTCACTAGCATATTCTCGGTCAAAGTAAATTAAAATAGTAACACTGAGCATTCGTAGTAAACAGTATTAGTGGTTGTTACTTCAGATGATAATTCTTCACGCTGCTAAATTGAGGTGTGCGTTCGAGTAGGGTGCCTTGGTTAGCACAGAACTATTTCTCGATAACCCTTTCACAGGCAAATATGGTCATAGCAATCGCCGACTGATGGAATCGAATACCATCTTTATGTTCGGGAGCCAGTAATGTCATTTATAATTCTCATATTTTCTGCGCAAAACATGGGGTTTCAGCAGCATCCTGTTTTCTGCAGTCACCTTTAGGTGGCTGTTTGAATGCCCACAAGCTCTCATCTCTTCCTCGCACGATTACCCCCATATTACCTTCATATCCACGCCCATCTCGTTACTGCCCACTGGAGTTCCACTTGAGGGCCTGGATTGTGAGGTTTTCCGGCAGTCTCCTCAATATGTGTCCAATCTGTTTCCATTTTTATTAGCACATCTGTTGGCTAATACGTTCTTAACTGGTTTGTTGACCTCCAGAGTTCTTTGTTGCTAACCTTTTATTAGGGACCCTACCAGTATATTCGCCATTATTCTATCAAGCTGATATGTTTATGAGCAATAAATTGTTCTCGAGAAGTTATCAGTAAATATTACAGTATAACACTGTGTGACTTTATGAAAACATTTTATATCCATAATAGGATTACGCTTTACCTCAGTGCCCTAGTTTTATCCTTATACCTTTGAGATTCTATTGCGAGGTCATGTGGTTTTCCCATATTTTAGATTATAAACAGCCTTTGGCACCTCAGCTACAAGCGGAGGAACAGTGTCTACATATCCTTCAGACTGTAGTCGGATAGTGAGCATTTGTCGTATACCTTTAAGCGGATAAGACTACTGTACAAAGCATTCTACCCAAAGTTCTAGACATCTTTCTTAAGAAGTTATTGAAATTCTGTCCTTCCAGGAAATCGTTTCACCTATCATACCTTTTTTAAAAAGCATTTCCTCAATTATCTCAAATAAGCTTAGTTCGATACGTGTTCGTTGTGTCCTTTCGTTTATTCGGCTTTCTTAGCCGACCCCCGTTGCAGATGGTTGTGAGGACTTTTCTTCAGCTTACATTTCGTCATTTTTGGATTTCGTCAGTATCAATGCCCCTATATCAATCAACTCTACTACAGCTATATAAGTTCGCTGGTACTTATTAATCTTTATCTGTAGGTTATTAATAATTGTGACAATATGGTGAAAATTTGCATTTAGACATTTAGAAAACCAAAAGGTTTGAGCAAGGAATATTCTTTTCCATAACTTCCTTATCTATCTGCACAGTTATGTATACAAATATTATCTAAAAAGTAGTCGTTATTGTGAATGCTGATGTTTTTTAAATGATACTGAGTTGTTAATGTCAGTAGATTACAGTTCGAAAGCATGTGTAAGTGACAATGTACATAAAAATGTTACTTACTAAATTAAATATCAGATCAAATTAATAAGGAAATTTTCACAATAATTAGAGACAATTAAGACAATAATAGCTTGTGAAAGGCTTCAGGTTAAAGAAAAACCGTCAGCTTATAACAATCTAGCAGTGATAGCTAAGGTAGCTAAGGCATCTGAACGATTTTTTTTTCGAACACACAGATTCACCTCCTTCAAATGGATTCCCATAGCTTCAGCTACAAGTAAAAGACGAACTTGAAAGGTACAGTTAACATTAGTTGGAATACGATAAATGACTCTTAAAACCTTGTTAACATTGACTTTATATTTAGTATCTACATGGTGGTCTATAATGGAACTGCAAGCAAACCTTACTCATCCACTGCTTAACCATTCAGAATGATGCTCAGAAATCAGAAAACGAACATGCTTAACCGTGTGCCCAATATAACTAGCTCCAAAAGGGCCTTCATCATCCTTACACCACTAAGTCAATGACAGCTGGCTAGAGAATCTCAGAATACTTGTAATGTGAATTTTAGAGACAAACTGTATTTTTAACCAGATGGGGTTATGTGAATACCTGCATGTGTGACTAGTATTACTGTTTTGAAGATACCATATATTGTGTTAGAACTATCGAGGAAATTGATGATGAGAAATCAATTTTTGAATGTCCAGTATGTAGTTCAGGTGAACTTTCGTGATAAGTGAAAATACTGCATTTTCTGAAGCGGAATTGTAGAAAGCGTATTTAAACTTTCCATATAGTCCATTGGTATTCTATCTATTTTGTATTTATACATTTTTTTGAAAACATTCTTCATCCACATCACATAAACAAAAAAATGCCACGGTGCATTTTAAAGGAATGATCATTCCTTCACATTTCTGTGCACTTTAAATGAACATTTAGAATCTTTGTGAATATCGGGTGTCTTTTGTGCATTTGTTATCAGAATTTGATATTTACTGCTTCGTTCTCTGACTTACAACACTGGTTACTTATCCGGTAGTCTCAGGCAAATCATTAGGAGAATACTTAAAGAGGAATCAAAAACTAGAACTAAATTTCTGGCAACTGTCATCTAGCTTTCGGTGGATTTTTATTGTTGTCTAAGGTTTAGGTATTTTCAGGCCGCTAATAAGTTGTTTTTCTTATCGTAATATAAACCTTTCTATAATCTTACATAGTTTTATTACCACGAACTCTGATTGATGCAAATTATCTATTGTTATTATTATTTTATTCCTTTAGGTTCTTAGTGGAACATAGGGCTTCAAGCTATAGGCTTTGAAGTTTCGGTAGCAGTGGTGCTTACTTTTACAGGATGGGGTTGCTAGCCTCATACCCAAACTTCCTTCTTTACCAGTCTTATTACTGGCTTAGCGAGGTAAAGGAGTTTTTCCGCTGGGGATCGGACCCCGAACCACATGCATGGTTGGTGAGCATTCTACCGCCGTACCACTGACACAAATTAGTTAGATCATATATTTTTGTGCGTGGGTGGTTCAGTGGTAGAATATTCGCCAACCACAAAAGTAGTCTGCGTTGCACTGCCAGCCAACACATTCCTAAACCTTGCCTAGTTTATTAGCTAGTATTAAGACTCTGAAAGAAGGATGACTGGGAGTTAGGCTATCTACCCCACCTCTCAGGAACACTATCACTTATGTTGTATCCTTAAAGATCAATTTTTAGAAGTCAGTGTTCCTCTCAAAACACAATAAACGATAAAAATATTCCAGGAACCTCAGTTAATTTGAATATAAACTAAATAGTACTCCCATTATTGTCTCGGGAAGAATGTAAATGTGTAAATCACACCCTGAATAATCAACGTTGATTATTTAAATTATATATTTTCATGGTACGACACATATAAGACCCTTATGGTAAAATGTGTAGATTATATTTCAAAAAGACTTTTAGTAACTGAAGTGTTATATAAAGGAAATAATTTATGAAATGATATTTAAACAGATACCAGTCATTGTGCAATAATATAAACATCTATGATGATTATGCCATACATCACTCAGTATTACTAAACTTGTATTCATTGTAGCGAGCTATATTTTATTTTACGTGGAAGACTGTCAACCTCTTCTATAGGAAAACGCATCATGAAGTATGAATTATAAGACTGGTATCAGAACAGCTTTCTGTATCCCCTACATAAACCGTCAGAAGCGCGTAAAGAAATGCTCTCAAACGATAGCCACCCTCAGAATTAATCCCTCATCCCTGTGAATGACTTGTCTTGGTAATCCTTCTCCAACTATTATCAAGAGTTGTGTTTACCATTGTCCTCCCTACGCTTAGATATCCTATTATTTTATTTACTTCAATTAGCCTTTCATTTTTTTCATTTAAATTTAATTGACAAGTAAATATGTGATCAGACTGTTCAAAGTGTATTGGGACAATATATCATTTTTTCAGATAATATCCGTCATCTAATAACGTTAACCAAATAAATTGTTTCAATAAAATAAATGAAATGTCTTCAAAATTATGTTTTATGTATTTATTCATTGATATTTTTTTTACAGGGCTAGTGGTATATAAACATGATTCCATCGAGTAATCAAAATCCTTGGAGTACTCCGGGTTCAGGAGGGAATGCATTTTTATCAAGCAACAAGCCACTCATAGCTGATTTGGCTCTTGCAGCCCTTAAGGAACGCGGTGAAGTCAAGAAGAAACGATTGTGCCCTCAGTTTCGTACAGATCGTTCGCTATGTTTAATGACCAAGAAGAATCCTCTGAGAAGAGTTTGCATATGTATTGTGGATGCACGGTATCCTTTTTAGTGAATTTATATTAAGTTAGAATTAATTAACAGTTGTTTTGTAACACATTCGCCACTAGATTCTATGTATTTTAAGCTTGAATTAATTTTTTTCTTCACATTCTTCTCGTACATCATAAACATTTCTGGGAGATATTATTGGCATTACCAATTAGTCTGTATAAGGATTTCAGGTTGTCAGATACTGTTTAATACTATCACATGTGATTTCACTTCAGCATACAAGATATGTTCCTAAGTTTCTCTAAATTGGTCTCGGCTTAGTTATTATAGTTTACAGAATGATTTTAGATGAATATGAACGTGATATTTCATATTTTATTGGTATTAAATATTAATTATTCGCATTCTTTTCTCTATTTTTTTAATCCTTTGTGTTCCAAGTACAAGACAAGGCTTTATGCTTCAAGCCTTAAAGCTTCAGTAGCAGTGGTGTCTTTTTTATGAGGTGGAATTACTAATCTCATCCCCAACCTCCCATCTTAACTGAACTTATTACCGGCTAAGCGAAGTTTGAGAGTGCGTCGTCTGGGAATCGATCCCCGGATCACATGTTTGACTGGTGAGCATTCTACTACTGAAAAATCAACGCATCTTTTCTCTACTAGTGTTAACGAAAACTTTGCTTTTTTTCTAATACCACGAATATCTTTGGGAAGTTGATGAAACCTTTGTCCTATTCGACCTTCTTCAGTCCATAAGATCTAATCAGGTTTCACCTGAAATTCTGTTTGTTCAGTTAACATTTGCGAAATGGTTGCTTGTATAGTATCATCCTTTAGAGGATTTATAAAACGGTGAATCATAAAATGGGGAGAAGCCTATTTGAAAGTAATTTGTGGGAATCTTAGGAAATTTAATCACCTGGTTGTACATTTCATTAGTCTTATAAAAGAAAAGGCGTTCAGCAAACAGTTACTATTTTCGGCGATACCATTCACAAGCTGTACAGTCTCACGTATATATATATATATATATATATATATAGTTAGTAAATTGTCTTGGCAACAAAAGAAATATTTCCGAGGTTGTCATTAGAATTGTGAATTTTTTCGGATAACAAATTTTGTTAATAATGTGAGAAACTAAAACTAAACTAACCGATGTCAGCACATGATGAAATCCTGTAACCAGTCAATCAAATCCCTACAAACCAATGAGATTCTCACTAGCAACTGGCCCTATTCAGATACGTAGTTAACTGGGGTGCTAGTGGGAAGTCATGACCAGTAGGGTGCAGCAGGTCGGGTGTGAGGACAGTTAGCCGCCGAGGACATTGGCTAGTGGTCGTGCTATGTCGCGAATTGGCAGAAGTTGAAATTCATGGGGCTGGCCATTGGGCCGGGCCCCAGTGGCTTAATGTTCTACGAGCTCGCCTTATAACCAGAAGGTCCTAGGCTCGAACCCTGTTGCTGGATGCCTACTGATGAACAGTCTCAAACTAGGAAGAAACAGATGTCCCCATACGTTTTCCAGTGGTTCTCAAACTGATGTCAACTCATGATAAAATCCTGTAACCAAAATAAGATTAAATAAGCAAGTTGAGTGACGTAATCTAATTGACGGGGTTGATTAGAGCTCAACTAAAATTAAAATTGAATGAAAGTCAAGTTAACAACAGTGGTAATAAGGGGTAGAGATTTAGTAGGGGGCGAGGGAAGAAAATAATACAGCTAAGAAACAAAAGAAAACAAGACGGAAAGAAAATTTCGTATTTGATTTTAAGATAGGTGGGGTCCACTGTCGATTTAATGACTAAACAAACTTCTTTTGTATGCAGAGTTCAGGATTTAACATGTGAATTGCCATTGCTTCTGAGATTTGAAGAAGTTTGTTTCGTACTCTTTTAGTAGGATTCCCACATGTCATGTAGATAACTCTGAAGTTATTTAGTGGGTTTGCTTGGTGTCCTGATTTGATCAGGTGTCCTAGAATAGAACTACGTGGGGACTTCTTTTCTCCTCTATAAAACCATGAGAGTAAGTGTTCGGTGATACATTTGGATAGCAAACTCTGGGTATGCCTGACATACCTAGCTCCACACGAGCAGGTGAATTGGTAGATGCACATTGATGAGGCCAACAGTGTGTATGTCCATTAGTATGTTCAACCGTCGGAAACATTAGAGTATCGGTGGCACAGTGGTTAGGACTCTCGCCGACCATGCACATGGTCCGGGGTTCGAGCCCACGCCGGCGCACACCTGATATCTATGGTCGGCCTGCAAAATTTGGGCTACCGATATCCATGCTGAAAATTCCATACTTGTACCGAAAATACAGTATGGAATCAAGCTGTAAATAAAAAATAAAAAAAAAATTAGGTCACTGGCAGGAATTATATGATTTGAACACAGTGTTTTAATATTGGTTCCTCACAGACTTTAGTGGATGATTTTACTCTTGGATAAATTCAAATAGGAATGCAAAAACGAGTGGCATCTTGTTATTATTATTATCATCATCATTACAAGTTGGTTCTCCCAGATACAGTATAAATTCGTAATTTGTTTGTTCGATGAAATGTATAAATTGTTCTACCTGCATTATTTAGTAGCTAATTAAAAAAAATTATATCCTGAACATTTATTATTTGCCTGCAATATTCCTATAATTCAAAAAGTTCATTACATGAATACACATGATACTTTCGTAATTTGTTGTATTGTATAAACGATATATGAATTACCGATCAAGATGTCATTTGTCTTTATTTGGTCACATTAACCACACATGATTTATCATCTTGGAATTCGAATAAATACTTTGTAAGTCACTTTGTGAGTCAGTTGTTTAGGGGGAGAATACTCACCAGTCAAACATGTGATCCAGGGATCGATTCCCGAACGACGCATACCTAAACTTCGCCTAGCCAGTCTTAAGTTCAGCAAAGACGGGAGGTTAGGAATGAGGCCAGTAATCGCATCCCGTAAAAAAGACACCATTATCACTGATATCTAAAGCTCAAACTGGAATCCCTATATTTCACTCAGAACGCAAAGGAATGAAATAAAAATCACTCTGAAGCTGTTTTCCAGAGTGGCAATATTTCCAGAAACAACAAGACATTACAGAGTACAGCTTTCTTTTACCTCATGTTAACCAAAATTACGGACCAAACACTGCATATAGTCAATGTATGTTTTCGTGGCTTGAGGTATGTTGGCTGTACACAACATAAGGTCCCTAAGAGTATTCCGGAATATTCTGTCAAGTTTTTTTTAATAAATTTGTCTGTTTTAGATTAAAAGATATATTATTACTATTCTCACTTTGAACTGTCCCCGGTATTATTTCACTTGTTCCACTTGTCATTCTAAATCAATTCTTTTTTACAACGATAAATTCTATGCTATTTAATTTCACACAGTATTACGTAACGTTTTTGTTTTATTCGATTTGTCTGCTAATCCTATAATTGCACATCCTTTTTCAAGTTCTATCCATCCTATGAATTATTCTATATATGACATTAATTTGCTTTGCCACTTGACATTTAACTACGATTATAATCACAAACATTTTAGTTTTAATTTAACTTCAAAAAAATATTATTATTTTATACATTCACACCTAAGATTCAATTCCCTCACCGGATATAATTTCTTAAAAACCATATATATACGACTGTACAGCTTGATGATAAATTCGTTGAAAAGAGTCTCTTCACTGAATCACTTGTTTTGATTTTCTAAAAGATATATAGCTTAGTAAAAATTTCTCTGCTTAAGGAAATGCATATGTACTATGCCTTAGTATCTTGATCATTCCCAGTTTGCAATACCTCCCCTGTGTGCGTTTGTGGTATAGCGGTTAGGACGCTCGCCGACCATGCATATGGTCCGGGGTTCAATCCCCGGCCGACCCACTCCTTTACCCCGCTGAGCCAGAAACAATGCTGGTAAAGAGGAAAGGTTGGGCATGAGGCTAGCAACCCCATCCTGTAAAAATAAACACTGCTACAGAAACTTCAAGCTACCAACTTGAAGCCCTATGTTCTACTGAGGAACGTGAAGGAAAAAAAGCCGTGATCTGCTTGGCTTACTCATAGCATGCAGAGTTTTATCCCCCAATTACAAGCTATATTCATGTGCTATAGGCATATACTGTGCATATGAATTAGTGAGACAAATGAATCTGAATAGATGATATTATCGTGTTTAAATAACTCAGAATTTCATTTAGAGTCAGACAATAATTTCCAATATCTTTATTACACACAATCATGATTGATTTATTGTCTAAAATAGTCAAAATTTTAAAATAAGAGATGTTCATTAGTGTCTATGTTAAATATATTATACGTATTTTGGTTAACTTTAGCCTATTGTATGTATTCTAATCAATATACCTGTATCTGGCATAAGAATGATATTATGTTTTCTCCTTTTCCTTCAAATGTATAACTACTTTTGTCGACAAACAGGATTGTTCAAATATATATATATATATATATATATATATATATATATATATAAATGCATTTATTCGTATATATAGGTATTCAGATTATTCTGTGTTGATCTGCACTTTCTGACCTGAACAAAACTAGTATAATCTGTTCCCTTAAAAAATCGATTTTTTGGGAACAAATTTTTATCGAAGCTTATTGTGGACAAGTAACTGTATGCATAAAGACAACTAGAAATTGCACAATAAACCAATAGAATATCAGTATTGGATACATAAAATACCAGAAACAACAACAGCAGCAAAATTGTTCCTGTATATATACACACATATTAATCGATTCTGAAGAAATATTTCTAGTTTTAAGCAAAATTGATATTTTACAGGGCTTCGAAATAAATGTGACATGGGAAGCCAAGAAAATGAAATATTAGGTTTACATCTGTACCTTGTTTAAAAGTTTCGTCCTAATATTCACCAAATAATATTTATAGATTTTTCGTCAAATAAAGCTATTTTTCTGGCTTTTGATGTAGTGGTGAGCTCTCAGCTGGATGGCTTCTTTTGGAAGCTTCCATTGCCCTACCAGGCAACAATGTCAGAGCATACTTCAGTTAGAAGTGAGCTTTATAAACTCGTTGAGAAATCTAAAAGCTCACTCTAAATGTTGACTAGTAGGGCAATGAAAGCTTCGCAAATAAACGGCTAACTCAGAGATCACAACTGCATCAAAATCATCCACCTGAGCTTCAAATATTCTCCATTATATCTTTTTATGATTTTATCTAGTGTTTACATAGTAGCGAAATGAGTTCACCTCTTTTAGTTAGATGGAAAACGTGATTTCTCAGTGGGATGATTTGTGAAGTAATGACTTAAAATGCTTCTGTTAATCCACAACATGCAGTTTGAATAAACCAGCTTACCAAATAAAAAAGGAATGTTTTAGGAAACCTTATTGGATATGACACTATGAGAAGTATTCAAATAGGTTTTCCAATCGAAACTTAAGTGTTAGTTTATAGGGATTTGATTGGTTTCAGGTTTAACCGTAGATAAGCGTCAGTCAGAGAACTGCTGGAAACTCCAAAAGTTGGACGAAACAGTCATCTAATACTTACTTTCTTCCAGCGGTTCTCTAACTGATGTCAGCTTGTGATTAAACTTGAAATTTAAGTATTTGAAAAAATTCTACTTGTCGTAAGATCGCATAAACTCCTATCTTGTCTTCTTTTTTTGTTTTTGATATGACTGACAGGGAACAATTCAGATGTATGCATTCACTGGAATAATCCATTGGGTTGTATTAGTGTTTTAGGTCAATAGAAAATCTGCATTCCTAAGCCCCCTTATATACTATTCATTTGCCATCTTGAGATGAAAACAGATGATTTAGTTAGTCTGGCTAATAGGAATTGGCTTTAAATTACACAAATAAGTTTTATATGAAGTGAAATGTTATCTGTATTTCAAGTTGTTGTTTTAAAACTACTCCACTTACAACTTCCTAGTGAACTGCAGGAATGAGTCATTGAAGAATCTTTTTCACATTTTTGTTAGCTCGTATTTTTCTTAGAGGATATAATAATTTGTATCTTAGTTAACACAAAATCTGATGCTATGTTGTCCATGACTGACTACCGAATCGAGTTCCTGGAGTTCTAGCAAGAAGTCATAACCAGTGGGGTCCAAGAAGTTCAGCATGAAGACAAATCTTGCCAGTGACATTGACTATGGGTGGTGCAATATGCCACGAACAATCAAAAGTTAGAATTCATGGGGCATTGGTTGTCGTCCAAGTGTGTGAATAGTCAACCTCCTCACCTGGTAACCTGAAGTTTACGGGTTTTATCTCTGTTAGGGTCACTGGTGTATAGTCCTGAGGAATCCCAAACAAGGATGAAAAAGCAACCCAGTGCTCCCTGGTTTCTAGTGGTTCTCCAACTGAAGTGGTATTATGTTCTAGCTTGAAATCGATCGAATATCTGCAATGCAACACTGTGAAAGTAATAAATGCTTCTTGATAATATTTATCAAAGCCTTTGATAATGGTTATCAATGAAAAATTCCGAATGTGCAGTCCTTGCCATTCAGGTATTTTCCATTAAATGTAACTACCTTTCACCATTCATATCTCTTGTTATTCTCAGAATTACAGACTCCATTTCTTGTCTTTTATTTTGTCGTAATACAGATGGCTAAAACTCTTATTTCTACAAGTCTACGTCAAATTCTATCTCTGTCTATCTTTGTGAGTCTTATAATTTCGCTGATGTTTCAATGCCTTGCTGACGAGTGCCAACTAGCACGAAACCTAGATCCAAGGCTTCCCACCGATTGCCTCCAACCATCTAATGTCATCAAATCAATGTTCACCATGATAGCGAGCTACCTAGAATGGTGGCCACATTACAGCCTGACTGATAGAATTCAGTCTGCACCGATGAGAGGACTAGACACATCACACTAGTGACTAGTGTCCAATCAAAAATGTTTAAATGCGTCAGTTGTCCTTTTAAATAACATGACATTATCTTATAAGAAGTTCTGAGACAACTACTCTAATAAAACAAAGTGATGGACGTAACAGTTTAATGAGAGCCTTTGGGAAAACTAATTAACTAACAATTTGTTGAATAAGAAATCGGAAATAGTTTATGAAAACTACAAAACACATTTGTTTCATGACATTCTCTGTCATCAAGTTACTAATTAAGTCACTTTATCCATGAGTATTAAATTTATAGATTGAAATATGTCGATTTGGTTGGAGTGAATACGAAAGGCGATAAGCCCTTACATAGTGTCTGTAATGAAGTTAAGATATTCTGTATTAAAATCTAATTGTAACCTAGCAGTACTAGGTCTTTTGCTTGATAAGGTCATCCGATAGATGCGGATTCACCACTAACCTGACTTCATGCCCATCACTTTTCATAAAGAGATTTTATATTACGACAACATGTGTTCTTCATAAACATATATAAGAGATTTAATATTTCATAAATCATAACACAATACATTTCTTCATTTCAGAACTGCATGTGTCCATGTTAGCAAGAAGAGACTAGCATTCAGCTTCACTGTCATAAACATACATAATTACTACAATAAAAATGGATGGTACGAATACAGTTAATGAACAACCTTTAATAGAGTAAAACAATTATATCTCATGAATAGTAATAAGATGATGACATAACATAGACCATTGTCAATTACATTAGTTAAATGAAATCAATAACATAAAAAGTGATTTAGGACCAACCTAATCTGTTTGGAAGTGGAAGGAAACCTAACTATAGCTGTTTTCATTTCATGAGTTTTTATGTTTTCATAAGCACTAACAATGGATTGCAATCAACCTTCTTTCAATATTTGCCTTTAAAAGCATTTCAACCACCTGGTGGTAGCTAAATAGAGAATAGAGAGGAATAAACTCATAGCTATTTAGAAAAACACCAGTGTACTCATATTTTCAGACGTTTCATTACGAGTTGACATCAATCAGAGAATCACCGGGAAACCAGGGAGTACTGGAAGGATATTTCGTCTCAGTTTGGGACTCTTCAGGAATATGCACCCACCGGGTTCTAACCCAAGGCCTTACGGTTACTAGACGAACTTGTAGACCATTCAGCTACTGGGATCCTGTCTGATGCCCCATGAACTCCAACTTCTGCTAATTTGTGATATATATATATATATATTAGCGACCGCCAGCCAATATCATGGATGAGCAACTGTTCCCTGACTTGAATTAGCGGACCCCGCTGGTTACGAACTCTTACTTAAAATTCAGGTAACTTCCTGTATAAAGCCAGTTACTAGTGAGTATCAGATTAAGCGTGAATTTTTGGTTTGCAGGGATTTGATTGGTTACAGGTTTGACCACGAGCTGACTGACATCAGTTTACATTTTTACTCAGTAATATATTGTTATGTAGACATTTTTAGTCTAGCAACTTACATTTTTGATAAGAAATCCAGCTTACTTTCAAACACCAATTTTTTAGTAGTGAGTTCCTTGATGTTTACTTCAAATTTTACCTGTTATAGCCTACAGAACCCCAGACTGTATGTAATTAGGGGTAGGCCATATTTTTAGGTTTCCTTCACTTGAAAGTAAGTAGGATACTTTTCTAAAAGACGCCTAATTTTTTCTTTTACAAAAAACCTATTTTGATAAATATATATATATCTGTATGTTTATGTACGTGTCGCCTGTATTCTGTTATACTCCTTAACATAGCCAATTAGACCATTTGAATATTTTATATTAGCAACGATATTGTGCAACTGTTTAGCACTAGCATTTAATCATCCTTATCCCGGAGAAGATTCAAACAAAGTTAATTATGTTTTGGTAAGTGTGGTCGATATTTTTTATATTTATTAATTTGCTTTCTGCATTTTCAGCTGACTTGTTTCTGTTAATTATGTTAATTAAGGAAATCATTGTCTACGTCAATTTATGGAATAATGTAAAATGACCAAGATAGAACTAATATTATTAGTAATAAAGCTTTTTTGCAAACAGTATGCGAAAATATGGTTCAAAAACTTTCAGTGTATTTAGTTCCAGAATACTTTTTTCTTCATACAGGATTTACGTGTAAAGTACTAACCTGAAGTATATCCTCATTTCGCTGAAGAATTCGACAGCGTTTACTTGGAAGCAGGCTGAATCAGTGTGCAAGTTCATGCACAGGTCATTTGAGAGAAATGGACGAATAAAACAATGATAAATCCAGATGAAATGAAGGATTTTGATGAAAAGAAATCTCGGCAGCCTAGATATTTAAACAGGCCGCCGACTAATTAAGTTAAGCAAATGATGCGAATCAAATAAAAGTTTCATCAGAGTTCAGTGCAGTGCATACAAAGCTAATCATGTTATGAAGGTCTAGGCTGTCTTGATCGAGCTCTCAGACGAGCTGATTAAAATTAAGACGGAAGACTTTAAAACTTTGAAGTCATATTTCGGTGATGTTCAAAGATTATTGATATACATTTATCATAAATTGAGTATTGTACGCAAAAATGACTACTGTATGTTAATTGGATTAATATTAATACTCTGTTGTCATGTAAAGCAAACTATCAGTCACCTTAGATAACAGTCAGTGTGAATAAAGTGCGAATGGTAACTTTTTGTGAAAATCATTGCTTGCTGACCAAGTTATGGGATATATCTTCCGATTGAGTAAACAGTTTACATTAAATCTGTAATAAGATTGGGTATGATAATTCAAAGTACGGTATAACATTTGATAATATAGGAAATAACATGACCATCAATAACTGCACATGAATAATTCCTGACTAAATTCTCTATTCATTATTATATTACTGCTATTTCTTTGCTTTCCAAATGGAACCAAAGCCCATCTCCAGCTCACTTTATTACTTGAAGTAAATTTTAGCTGGCTTCACGACTACCCATAAGCTTTTGTTTCCTCCTAATATTAGCCCTTTTGTGTCACCCTTGCATCCATGCCTAACTCAGTCCTCATTCCAGTTCCACTTCAGGGCCTGAGCTTGATGTCACTCAGCCTTCCCCCCCCCAGCATATGTCCAATCTATCTATCTCTATCTTCTGCTTCTTCATCATGTTTGTTGAGAAACATATCCTTGGTTGGTTCTTTGACAAAGTTCCTCGTTCTTATCATTTCTGGCAAACCATCTGATATTCAATATCATACCAGTAAAGGCAGCTGTTTAGTTATACTGTTATTACAATTACATTTTTAAACGTCTAGTAAAGGTGTTTTCTCTGTTTTAGTCAATAATTTCGTTGACTGTTCCAAATAGTAGAGTATGTTACATAATCTTTTCACTAGCCCTACTAACACAGATAATTAGAAAGTATCTGTGTATTATTAAGTCATGGCATATTTGGCATTGCATGAGTTTGATGTCTACTGAAAATACCTTTGTATTACTCATTATGGTTTGATTACTACTGAGGATTATTTATGCTTTCAAGAAACTACCACTCTTAATAAAGTGATAAATGACATCGTTTCTAGATCTAATGAGATTTTAAAACTGAGTGTTAGAGACGCATAAGACATATCAGCTAGTTTATTTCAGGTTTTAAATAAGAAGTAAGTGTATGGGAAAAATGTTACCGTATAAAAGTTAATAATAAAACGAGTAGTATAAAGCATCTATAAGGTAAAAAGGAAATGGTAGTTTAATTAAAAGTCTGGTGAAAACCGTAGATGTAACAATCTTATTATTCATAGGTGGGTTTTATATGAAGCTGTCTTGTCATATGTAAAACAAACCGTAAAACTACAATATGGCTGGCTGTAATAATAATATGTATATGCAGTATGTGTTTAGTAATGTCCCACATGTAAGTTTTAACAGTTTGTCACCCATAAATATATCAATACTGAATGAATTTCAAAATCACTTAACTCTTAGTTCAATATTTTTATAACTGCCTATTTATTTCATTTATTTCTGTAGGAGAAAATTGAATATGCATTTGTCGTAATTTTTACAACTGAATCTGCGTTGAAGATTATTGCTTATGGATTTGTTCTTCATCAAGATGCTTATTTAAGAAATTTTTGGAATGTGCTAGATTTCAGTATTGTATTAATAGGGTAAGTTCATTCACTCTTCTTAAGGAAATTTGTTGTATTAAATACTTATTACCATTGTGAAAAGCTCAGTATGTAATGCAGTATGTGATTATTTAAGGTGAAATGAAAGTTAAGGTCACGGCAGCATCCAAAGCAACGTTTGGATTACTAACTTAAAGACCTGTGGTTCGAATCCTTCTGCAAACTACATTTTCATCTCCTTTTAGTTTACTAGGGTGCCAACTCAATTCTATAGAAGATGGTCTGAATCAATTAAAGATAAGGATATTTCAATATGCGTATTTGATTCGACGAAGAATCTGTTATACTTTTTAAGCATAGAATATTTTCACATACAGTAGTTAAACCATACTTACAAGTCTGAGATTTATGTTTGCTATTACCTATCATATTCCTGATGGTACTGGTTGGGATCATGCAGCAGGCTGTGGGGTGAGACAATGCGGGCAAATGTTGAATAGACAAAATGACTCTAGAGGATCTGAACTTCATGAGCGGTGTATATCTGACGTCGCACAAACTTGAAAGTCTACTGGAAAAAATCACCAAGTTGGTAGAAGAAGCAGAAAAGACAGAACTTCGAGTAAACAAGCATCAACCAACCCTAGCAGCTGAAATCTGAAGGAATTCACTTCTCTCACTTATCTGAATATAATTGTTTCAAATACATGACACACGAATGAGGGTGTCCAAATAAGAATCGGAAAATATTGACAGACCATCAGTAACCTGAAATTACTGTGGAAATCTACTGCCCTCAGCATAATGAAAAATATTCACATTTCCAGCACTAATCTTAAATCACATCCTCTGTGTGTTTCAAAGACTTGGCGCGTCATGAAGAGCGTTTCCAAAGAGATTTCTATCAGACTTTCATCAACAACTTCCTTTGGATCAAACTAAAGACCTGATTGCCACAATTGGTGATAGACAAGAAACCCTTGCAGGTGACAAACCAACTAAGAACCCACAGATCAAAAAGTGTGCAGAAGGAAATGTAGATACATCAGATATACACTGAGAAGACCGTTAAGTAACGTTAGGCACGAGGGTGTCACGTGAAACCCGAAAGGGAAACAACGGGGCGGGCTTCGTTGAGAGGGTGAAATGGAGATCATGTATAAAGGAAGTGAAAGCTAGTGGGAAATCACAAAGACAGCTAAAAAAGAGCACAAAAACATAATGAAATGGGGATTTGCTTCTGAAGCCACAATTTCCATTTAGCATTCTAAGGAATAATAACAATATAATAATCACTTGATATTATGATTGGTAACTTAGTCAAAACATCGTAAATAAATAATCCAGATCATGATTTTTGACAGCTTAGTTTTAACGGTACGCTACAAGATCGCACATCTTAGAAAGAAGAAGAAAACACCTCTCCTTGTTTCCTATATCTTCACTGGTTTCATGTGTTACAACTAACACTTGGTTTGAAACGGAGTGACGATGCAAGCAATGTCACCAAGCCATTCAAACATACACTAATGAATGAAACAGAATACAGGCACGTATACTGTTACGTATTTGATTGTACCAGGAGCATGCCTTAGCGTGTAACGAATAGGATTTCCAACAAGTTACAGAATTTTACCACCAGCTGTCTTCTCCGGTTCCCCATTGAAGATCGAATTGCAGGTCAGAAAGAATCAGCTACAAACGACTATAACAAAAAATCAACTAAGGGCCGACTGCTCAACAAATATGTAGGAGAAAATGGAGACGGATCGGGAACACCATGAAGAAGCTGTAGAATGACAACACGCAACAGGCCATTGCTCGAGTGGAATCAGGATGGGAGGCGACGAGTAGGTCGTCGGTATGAGTGTGACATGGAAGAGATCGTGCGAGGAAGAAATGAGAAATTATGGTCAATCGTGTACCCAGATGAAGAGGGTGGTAGAAAAAAGAACAAAGTGTCGATGTGCTGTTGAAGTCTTGTGTTCCACTCTGAGCCTAAAGGAATAATGATAAAAAATAAACAGAAGCATGACTGATACCGCTAGTCATAAAAATGATCTTTTCTTACACTAAGCATCATTGAATTTGTTGCATCTTTTCAATAAGATATAACCATGATATCTTCTATTGGTGTGGGGAAAACATTTCAGCATATACCTGTGTTTGTGACAGAAATTCGTGTTATTTTTAGATTTCCAGTATTTGACTAAAACACACTTAAAGTCCTTATCAAATATGAAAGTAAATTAAATTAATGTAACATGAAACTTGCTACCATTTTATTTGTGAAATGCAATTATCCTAAGATTTTTGAATTGGAGTCTATCATATTTATTAGAGACTTACAATCACCCTGTAGCTGGGTGTATTTTATTGGCGAAAGTGAGATTATTTTGTAAGAAAATTAGGTATAAATCAAACTGACAGTCGACAGTCGGATTTGCGATTTACACAGCTCAAGGTGAAATTTAACTTCAGTTTCTTTTGAAGGTACAAATTAACCAGATCACAATATGTGATCTGGTTGACCTCATAAATGACAATCAAGGAACTAAACATAAATGCGTGATGTTATATACTACTGATTAATTGATATGAGTAGCTGGATAACCCACACATCCAACAGTAGTGCTTGCTGATTTTATCAAAGTGAGCTTAACACCAGTTCGCCCAAGTACCAAATCAGACTTCGGGTGGTTTGAACTGATACGGTTTCCTGAGCCTGTCAAACCGGCATATCACTGGTGACGTCGGGACAAAATGAGTGGAACGGCCGTCCAGTGCTTAGATCACTTCTGTCTTGTTAGCAAACAATACTAGTTACTGTGGACGGTATTCGACTACTCACATCAATCAGTCAGTAGGATATAGAATCGAGGCTGACCTAAGCAATGATATGACTCTCCTACATGATGACACTAACCGTCACTATGAGTTATGAAAGAATTTTTAGCTTATTTTGCTTTGGAATAAGCGACAAGTGAAGCCTGTGGTGGGGTACTGCAGCTAATTTGACCCGTATCATTCGAAATGTTACATTACTTTCACATTAACTATAATTTCATATTTCATGGTTTGGATGGTCTTTTTCCAAGTATTCTTCAACTGTAGTGTTTTCATTTCCTTGTTTTTCCTTTACTTGATAAGATATGAATACTAACGTTTATGTAGGTAAAACCTATTTATTCATCTAAAATGAATTGTGTCATTATCTAAAGTGTACATAACTATGAGTAAAACAGTAGAAAGCAAGCATTTTCGAGATACAGACTGTAGCAGTTTATCTCTTTGAACAACTTTTTTCGCCCGATTTGACTGTTTGTTAGTAGCTGGAAATTCTTAAAAAAGTGATGAGAAATGTAAGAAAAAATAGACTTGCTACTCGATACGATATCGAGCTCTGAATAACTATAAAATAACTTTCGTAGTTTTAGTGTGTCTAAGCTTAGTTTGTCTCCATTCACTTTCTTATGGGAAATTGGGCAATTTTTCTCGGGTTTGCTTAAAATGTGATTTATATATATATATATTACTGGTAATACTACTGGTTGGAAAGGTCTCATTTGGTTACATCACACATTAATTTCTGAAATCGCTTTTCTGTTGTCTAGGGGAAAAAACGAATTTTTGACATTTATAATGACATTTAACAAGATTCATAGCAATTACGTAATTTACTTTTTATGCGTCTAAATACCCAACCACAACCTTTTTGATATATATTTTTTTCTCTTAGTCTATCTTCAAAATTACTGGAGAATATGAATGTGGATGTTAAAGCACTTCGAGCATTTCGAGTATTACGACCCCTACGGTTGCTTTCTGGTTTACCAAGTAAGATTTCAGTTTGTTGAAACAAATTACAAATCTCATCCCTTTTAATAAGCTTCATCTTTTTTAGAAGACTTCCTGCTGTCATTGGAGACTTCCATTACAAAATAGTTTTATTTCATATAAACTGCAAAATTATCTATTTGTTGCTGTCATTTTGAGAGCAATAATAATGTTTCTATGGTATGATGGGATACGATCTTCTCCATATCTCCGGTATTTATGTCGCTCCATTCCTAGTCTATGTGTTAACAAAATTTAGAATATTTAAAACTTACGTGTAATGATTATGATTCAAATCAGTATTGGTCAAATAAGTTGACACCAAGAAGGAACACAGAGTATTAAGAAGCTGGAAATACTCTGTAACAGACAGCAAGGCATACAAGCATACAATTTTATCAAAAGTTGACAAATCCAAGTTTCATACTTCACTTTGTTAGATGATTAAAGGCATTCGGTAGTAAGTCCTGGACCTAGGTTTCGTGGTGACTGATACTCTTCAGCAAGGTGTATCTGCAAACTGTAATGAAATGATGTCCACATGCAGATCCAACCAGTGTTATGCAGTACGACAGTCACAGACGTTACTATTCGGTTATTCGGGTTACGAAGAACTTCCTGTGGGACTCTAGTGTGGACACATTCATTAGTTACAAATGAGTAATAAATCCCATATCATTCTTTTAATCATCTAATATCAGTTCTAAGCTCACAGAGTTTGACAGTCACGTAGATTTGCATCATTACTAAAGTCTAAACACATGACATTGAATACAGCCCAGTGATTAACCAGTGAATACTTCATTTTATTATGACTCTGACTAAAAAACAGCTCTTTTCACGTTCAACATTCAGAATTCGTCTGTTTTGTTATTTAAGTTTGTAGTGGTTGTATTTTTCAACTCTTTAACAGTTTACCCTAAAATGTGTATGTAGTAAATACCAGTGATAGTTGTAATTAACTTATATGCATCCGTAACTGCAAAGATATAGTAATAAGTATCCAAGTGTCATAAGTAAATCAGTAGCTGCCATCGCTGGCTCGTATACTAAAGATCACACTGTCTGTCAGAAAGGATCAGCAACAAGAAACTCTGGCAGGCAACGAACTAATCAAGAACCCATCTCTTCACAAATATCCAGAAAAAATGAAGATGAACTAGACATGCTCTGTGAAGACCATTGAATAACATCACACATCACACTGCCTAGTGGAATCCGAATGAGGAACTTCATTTTGGTAATATGGAGGAAGTCATTTGAAGAGGAAAGTGTAATTGTAAATCGTAGATCCAGCTGAAAAGGACTTCATAGAACAGGGTGGAACGGAGATGTGCCGTTGAAGTCCTTTGTTCGACCAGGAACCAAAAGGAATAGTAATATAACTGGTGTATTAAAATGTTTATTTTATACTTCAGTTTTGTTCTCATATTGTGTATGTTATAATACTTTTTAATCACTGAGGATAAATTTCAACTTTTTCATCTGCTTTAATTTAGGTCTTCAGGTTGTGCTCAATTCTATTATCACAGCTATGGTTCCTTTGTTGCATATTGCCCTGTTAGTGATATTTGTGATTATTGTATATGCGATTGTTGGTCTTGAATTATTTCAGAGTAAACTCCATCTTACATGTTATAAAAATTCATCAAATAAGATTCGTAAGTTTAATAAAAATAACAGTTGAAGTATAGTTAAATTTTGTATATAATTCTCAAAATTATACGTCAAATAAATCATTTTATCTATTATTTTATCCTACTGATACATTTAAATTACGACATATTATCAAATCATTTTCAAGTGTTGCTTTTTAGGGATTTGATTGATTCCAAGTTTGGTCACGGACTTACTTCATTTGGAGAACCATCGAAAACCAAAAAGTTCCGAATAGCCGTTTTGTCGTAGTTTCGGACTCTAACCCTGCAGTGGTACGCACACATTATCCGACTGACCTTCAGGTTATTAGACAAGCCTGTTCAAACCAGTCAAATCTCTGCAATCTACAACTTAGAAATTAATCTAGGGTACACTAATGACTGACTAGGGGAGGAAATCGTTAAAGTTTTAGTGAGGAATCTTGGTCCACCAAATTGTATGTGTAGACAAATATTCCCCGGTGACATTGGTTGGCATTAGCACTATAAATATCACGAGATGAGAGAAGTCAGAATTAATGGCCTTTTGGAATTCGTCGCATTCTCCGAATAATCAACGCCACGCCTAACAAACTGAGTTCGATCTTCAGTGAGGTCTTGGATGTACGTCGCAGAAATGTCCAAAACAGCTGTTCAGTACTCCATGGTTTTCAAGGGTTCTCTAACTGAAATCAGTTCGTCATCAAGATTTTATCATTCTTCAATAAAGTTTATAAGACTTTCAAGTATCGGTTTTGCAGGGAGTTTGTTTGATTGGTCGGACGATTTCATCATGAGTTGACATCAGTTAGAGAACCACTGGAAAACCTGGAAGCATTGGACAGCTGTTTCTCCCTAGTTTGGGACTTTTCATCGGTATGCACCCATGAATTGGCAGAAGTCAGAATTCATGGGCTGGTCATTGGATCGGTTCCCAGTGGCTTAATGATCTACGAGGTAGCTCGCCTTGTAACCAGAAGGTGCTCGGTTCGAACCCCGTTTTTGGGTGTGTACTGATGAAGATTTCCAAACTAGACTGAAGGAACAGCTGTCCAGTACTCCCTGCAGGTCTTTTAATACTTTTGTAACTGATGTCAGCTCATGATTAAATCCTCCCACCAATCAAAATTTATAAGAAAAGTGTGTTTCGGCATTGTTGTAATCTCTGACCTAGATGATCTTTATGATCAACTTATGGGGCTACATGCCACGTCCAGTGACAGCGAAAGCTGGTTGAAAGCAAAGATGGTTGATATTGCTCATCAATTTCGAGTCATGCCAACCAATCAAAAGTCGCATATCACCAAAGAACACTGGAGATCTTTAAACAAGCTCCGAAAAGACAAAAATCTTGTTATCTTACAAGATGATAAAGGACAAAGTGTAGTGCTAATGAACAAGATAGATTATCTCGAAAAAATGAATCAAATTTCTCTTTGATGAATCTAAATTCAAATTGGATAACCATGCAAAAGACCAAACGTTATCAACCGAAAGGAAAATTGTGCAGCATCTACGACAACTCTTCAAAAATAAATACATCGACGAAAACACATATGAAATATCAAACCGATTGGGTCACAAATCCCAAAACTATACGGACGCGTAAAAATACACAAACCAGGAGCGCCGTTAAGACCCATACTCTCTATGATAAACTCACCATACCACAGATTAGCACAGTGGCTATGTGAACTGTTGCAACCCTTGCTGAAACGTTTCGGAACACATATAGTCTCTGATTCATTTCAATTTGTCAATCAAATTAAAGATTTCAATGTATCCGATAAGCATTTGGTCTCTTTCGATGTTACCTCCCTTTTCACAAATGTGCCAGTCGTTGAAACTATCGACTTCATATGTAAAGAAGCTGAAGACATACCCATTCCAACATCGGAATTGAGGAAATTACTACTTTTATGTACTAAAAATGTCCAATTCCAATTCAACGGGCGTCTGTTCCGTCAAGTTGATGGTGTCGCAATGGGAAGCCCTTTGGGACCACTTTTCGCAGACTTATTCTTGTCACGCCTAGAAACCGGTACTTTGCAGCAACATATACAAGAAACAAATGTATACCTAAGATATGTTGATGACATTTTTATTGTCTGTGAAAGCAGATCAAAAGCGGAAGACATGTTGATAAAATTCAATTCATGCCATCCAAATCTCAATTTCACAGTAGAACACGAGGAAAACGATACTATTAAATTTCTAGACGTTCTTCTGCCAAAATGAATGATGGCACAATCGAAAGATCTATATTTAGAAAGTCTTCATGGACAGGACAGTACATGCATTTCAAGAGCTTTGTTCCAATCCAGTACAAAAAGAACTTAGTCAGAACACTGTTCAATAGAGCACGAAAAATTTGTTCTGACAGTACTATTGAACATGAAATAAAATCTCTGAAGGATATTTTATGTAAGAATGGATATCCTGAGAAGTTCATTAATAAATACTCTAAAGAAACTACCCCTTGCAAAACAATTCAAACAGTTCCAAAGAAACCTGTCTATATCAATTTGCCATTCAAAGGAGATGACGTACAGGAAGTAGTGAAACGAAGACTCGACAAAGCCATCAAGAGAACTTATTATGCTGCAAAACTTGTTATCCTTAACACCACCAAGCGAGTGCTTCAACAATCTGGGAAAGACCAGTCGCCAATCCTCGACACTTCAAACTGCATATATCAATTTGAGTGTGTTTGTGGCAGCAAATACATAGGTCGTACGGAAAGGCGATTGTCTACTCGCATGATGGAGCATTTGCCAAAATGGTTGAAAACAGCTGAGTGCAAAGTCCCAAAATCCTCAATAACAAAACATCTTGTGGATTACGGACATGATATCGACGCGTCAAGTCATTCACCATTGTCAGCAAACAAAGAAACAAGAAGATGCTTGCAATTGCAGAGGCTTGTGCAATTCGAATTTACAAACCAGCTCTCTGTATACAAAAGGAGATGGTCGTCACTCTGAATCTACCATGGTAATACGTTTTACTTATTATTCTCTACTTGTTATTACTATATTCTACCTCTTCTTCTTCTTATTTTTATTATTATTATTATTATCATTATTATTATTATTCTTGATTCATTTAAAACTATGCTTTATCCGTAAGATTATCTTAACTCACTTCAACACTATTAAAATTGTTATTATAACTATTACTATTGATATTAGTCTGTTTGCAATTCTCGTTATATTCCCTAATGACTAATTGTTTATCTAAGTGATGTAATTGAAGCGTAATGCAATTTATCTTAATTTTGATCTCTCATACACTCTCTCCTCTTATCTATTTGAACATGACCTGTAAAACATTCGCACGTGTCTTTCTGCATGATTAATTCAATGTAGTTTGTTTACTTATCAGTCTTATATCTCCCAATGTAATTTCAAAAGTATATATATCCGTGTATGTAGAGTATTCAGCTGACGAGTTTTACCGAAAATTGATGAATTCATTAAATCCTGTTTTATTAATCTTTATTGCTTGTTCTAGATGATTTAGTTGCCAAGCTCCCATTGTCTTTCTAGACAACATACTTTACACTCGTTTCAATATGCAGTTCCGCTGATTCGAATATTATCATTTTTATTATTTTGGAAAGCTTCCAAATAATGTTTTAAACCAGTACCTTATCCAAATGTCTTTAAAGCTTATTACTACGTAATCTTATATATAAATGGTTGTAAATTCGTCGAAAAGTGTCTCTTAATTAATTATTACCAATCTGATAATGCATGCGTTTTGTCATCTTTATTCATTAATATCTTGAAATTATTATTTTGAATTTTCTTGAACTGAAATTTTTAGTCTCTTGAACTGTTAACATATCAGTTCTTAGAAGGCAGCTTTTAATAATGTCTTAAGATCAGTGTGATATTATTTACAAGTGTTGGTTTGCAGGAATTAGACTGATTACGAGATTGGTGACGTTCTGACTCCATTTGGAGAATCTGTGAAAACCAGTGAGTGCCTGACAGTGCTCCCAGTTTTCGGTTATTATTGATTTGTTGATGGTGGCTGTCAGTGGATTCCATGATGCACGTTTCATTCTACTTAGGACTGTCAAGTGGGATATACTTCCATTGTGAGTGATAGTGTTCCAGGTGAGACTCGAAACTATCACCCGTAACTTCCGAAATGTCACCTACTGGAATCAACAATTATTTTGATAAACCGTTGCTTCTAGAGTATAAATAATGATTAGCTGACCAAATTGCACTTCGTGTAGTGATTCTCCTTTTAACACTTTTGAATTTACTCTTTAGTGGTTGCAATTACCTCGTATTCAATAATAGAATGGTCTACTTATAGCTTTGTTTCCACTCTTTTTCATTTCCAGCTGAAATGATGCCAAACCCACGACCATGTACATTTGAAACATCGGCTATGGGATTTAAATGCAGTGAACTTGGATCAGATTACTTTTGTGCAGATATGTATGGTAAAGAAGGTGAAAGATATACAGGTCCAGAAGGTGGTATTATAAGTTTTGATAATTTCTTGTACTCTATGCTCACTGTCTTTGTGTGCATTACGATGGAGGGATGGACCAGTACTGGTTATTATGTAAGTCAAATTATCATGTATACCTGCACTACTTGTCGTTTATTTAGACGACCTATGTGTTTAGGTAGATTATTTCATGTAGCATTTATAATGAGATAATAAGCGTTATTGTCTTGTGGTGTTACAGTGATTAGAGTGTATTATTCTCTTTTATACACGGTCACTTTCGACGGGTAATTCACTTTGAGCTTGTTTCGCTTAAATAAGAAAATTTTTGTGAGTATGAAGACTCAGAGTATAATATACACACATTTTATCGTTTGAGAATGTAAAATATTTTTCTGTTTTAGGTGTCTGATGCAATCGGTTCTTGGTGGCCTTGGATTTATTTTGTGACTCTTATTCTACTGGGTTCATTCTTCGTTATGAATCTTGTACTCGGAGTCTTAAGTGGGTATGTATATTATGTATTAGTCTCACTCTTTTTTGGATATGTAATGGTATTAAATGCCATAACCCTGACGTCTCACTATAAGTTTCTCTTACTTTTATGGAAATGATCACTAGGTGTTAGCGTCTAGTATTGGCTTTTTAGTTGCCAGAATCTTTATAGGTGGGATTTTCCAAGAACATGAGTACATTTTCATACATCGGTGCGTCGGTGCGTCGGTGGCACAGTGGTTAGGACTCTCGCCGACCATGCACATGGTCCGGGGTTCGAGCCTGCACCGACGCACACCTGATTTCTATGGTCGGCCTGCAAAATTTGGGCTACCGATATCCATGCTGAAAATTCCATACTTGTACCGAAAATACAGCATGGAATCAAGCTGTAAATCAAAAAAAAAAAGTGACATTTTCATACATATATGTATAGTGATAGGGGCTTCGTACATTTACAGTGATGAATAACTCAGTGCACAAAACTGCAAATTTTTAATGAGTTCAGTCTGATAACACTTTGATACTGTCTAAATATTATTGGTCATTGTTGTCACAAAGTTCAAATAATGAATTGAAAGTAGAAACACAATAAATTACATGCATAGGCTTCGAAAAATTATATATATTACCAGTTTCACAAGACTACACAGATTTAAGAATATTACATGAAATCTGTCATACCAGTCTTGATGTCAATTTGAGAAAGTATGTCTGACTTTGAAGACAGGATAAAATATTTTATGAGGAATTAATGGGTTTCCAAGATAATTTTTATCAGAAGTTCAGAACTTTTCAAAATCAAACAAACCCCAAATTGAGTCGATGGCACAGTAGTAGAATGCTTGCCAACCACACATGTGGTCCGGAGTTCGATCCCCGGCCGATGCACTCCTTTACCTCGCTAAGCCAGTAATAAGACTGGTGAAGAGGGAAAGTTGGGCATGATTCTAACAACCCCATCCTGTAAAAGTAAACACCACTGCTACTGAAACTTCAAGCCTCTAGTTTGAGGCCATATGCTCCACTAGGACCGCAAAGCAATAAAAGAAGTATTCAGTTCAATCCTGTTATTAGTGAAATAAATATTAGTGTTACAATACGATAGGTATTTTGAAAAGTTAAGTAGAAAACAACTGGTATATTCGACTAAAATTGAGATTGTGATATAAACGATAAAGATTCTGCTAGGTGAATTCTGCAACATCTCCAAAATTCGATATAATCGACAATAACAGTTATGCTGCGACTAGGGTTCAGTAAGGGTAGTTAATAAATGACTCGTCTGAAAACTGAATACCAATATGTGTTTCCTAAGACTCACAACCTCCACCTCTCCAGAGGCCATGTAAATAAAGAAGGAAGAAAGACAGCTCTGATAAGTTGAGAACAATAAATTTTCATTATATTAAAATACATTATATACAAATATTAACCACCTCGGAAAGTTGAGCCAATATATAACTAATGTAAATGGTTACAGAACTTCAGACTTCAAGGTTTTTTGATGACATTATGACAAATATTCTCACTCTGCCCAGTGATTTAAATTTGTCCAGACTGGTTTTAGCTGATTTTTTACCTTTTTTAGATAGACAGAATCAGACATCTGTGACGCAAATTTAAGGAATGATATTTATCCCATAAAACAACTAAGAATATGAAAACCTTTTTTCTTCTGTCATTATTTCTGTGTTTTTACAGAGAGTTTAGCAAAGAAAAAGAGAAAATAGATCGTACTTTATTATTTCGTAAAGAAAGACAAGAAAAACGTGAACAACAAGATTATTTGGGTTACAAAGAATGGATTGAACTAGCCGGTAAGTTATTTCACTGCTTATTTAACTTTATTATTATTATTCAGGGTACATATACATTTAAATATAAAATGTTTTTGAATAAAGCACGAACAACAGTACAGTCATTTATTTTGTTGGCTTCTCATCAGCTGCTTACAGCCCAGAGACATTACTAGGTGTTGGGTTTTTATATTATTATGAATTCTGTATTGATTGCAATAATCCATTATTCAAACATGTATGCAAATCGGTTGTAGACTAATTTTTCATCTGACAGTAGTAAAAAAGCTAACTGGTTAGTTACATGTCTACTGACATAAATATCAAAAACTATATCATTCATATATTTTATCCTATCTGTTTTATGTTAAAGAAATATATAATATGCTCCATTACAAACCTCAAAAGTGCACAAGTGATTATGTCACATCCCACACTAGGTGCCAATTTTCAGGTGTGTGTGTGGTCAAACGCACATAGGGAGGAGTAATCGCGCATATCCCAAAATGACTAGAAAAACAAATGAGCTGTGTAAAACCAATATATGCAGGTGTCAGACTGTCAACTCCGTCTATAACCAAACACCCAATCGAGATGAACCATAAGATTGATGTTAACTCAGCCTTTTAAGGTCACCTATAAAAACGGTGAAGGGCGCTTTTTGAAATACGCCGAGGCTATAGCCATTCATAAACTTAAGTCCCCCGCCCCCCCCACCCACCTGTATATTCAAAAGCAGTTTATCATTACTCTTAACCTACCTTGGTAATCCTTATTTGATTGGATTACCAAACGTTTCTGTTAATTATTCTTAATTCTTTTTTTGTCACTTTGTTTAATTTAACTTTTTCATATATATATATATATCGACTTGAGAAGTAAATGTGTGATCAGATTGTTCGAAATGTATAGCGCAAATACATCACATTTTTTAGATAATCTCCGTCTTCTAATAACCCTATTCAAATTTATAAAAGGGACTAATTGTTTTAAGTATATAATAAGTTAGTGTAGTATTACTTAAATATTGGTTAATTGGAATTGTATGCAATTCGTTATCAGTGAAGTGAAAACTGCCTAGTCATTATAAATTGACTGTGCGTGTGTTATTCTCTATTTGTATACAGTTCAAAGGTATTTCGTAACAATACTTAGTTCACCTTTAATAGTTATTAAGTAATCACTAGACTGATAGGCTTTGTGATAATTAGTATGAAAGTTATTCCTGCTGCCTAAGCTTAAAATGAAAAAAATTCGGTTAACTTCTGTTTTCTTCAACTCTACAAAATATCTTCCTCCTTTTAAACGAAACAGTTGTCTGATGTTTAAATCATTTTAGACTGACTGATAAACATTACTAGTTTCAAAAAATAAAATGTTTACAAGCCCACAATTCAGTCTGTAGTATATATCTCCTATCCTATTTTTTCCTGTTTCAAAAGAACACTAAAGAGGTGTTGGCTATATTCCTTTTTTTCAAAAATCCTAATTGAATGAATTCAGTTTATATTATCGAATATTTACGATTTACACCTAAGAGTGTACAACAATTTAATTTATAAACGTACTTTATGATAACGCTTGAAGATATTTGTGATTAGCTTTCTAAGAATAAAGTTATTCTGTTGGGTTGTGCACGGATATCATCATACCAAAAGAATAGAGCTCTTATTATTCACTCATAAGGCGATGATAGGCATTGTCGACAAATTACACCAGGACTGCAAGCATTTATAAAATCCCATGCTTTTAATCGAGTATGGCAAATTGCCAACAACAATCTGAATTATTACAAAAAAAAACGCCATTCACCACAATGAAGAAAATGATACTTTTGATAAATATTTATAATGTTGGTATTCTGCTAGCTAACTGGTATAAAACGTTTATTTATGTTCGGCATTTTGTTTCTAATAGAATTGGATTAGTATTCCTTATTTCATGAGAAGGTTAATTGAAAACAAACGAATGCTAACTACAAAAAAGTGAATACATTTAATGGAATTCTGTCACTTTAAGTTTATTTTGATATGAATCAACTGAAAGCGGATAGTAAATTCAGTTGTAATTGAAAAAAAAGTTTCACTTGTTTCATCGTCTAAATGAATATCAACTGTCTTGTATCATATTCTTATTTGTTTTACTGATTTTTCTATCAAGAAGTAAATTATGCAGTTTGTTCAGAAACTTCATGCATTTATTCCCATTTATAAAATCTGAATAAAGCAAGAACAACAGTGGTTTGTGCAGAATAATATGGTACCATAATTAATTTCGTTGGCTTCTCATCAGCTGCATACAGCCTAAATGAACTACTAAGTTTATGTACAGGAAAATTTCAACATGCTTGCAAATCCTACATGATGTCAGTTGAACAATGCTCACAAAATTACACTTATATAGGTTTTGCCCAGAGAGTTCAGGTTTAAACAGAATCAGTGTATGCATATAGTGGTAAAGGAGTTACGTAATAAAGACCAGAGGCGAGTAAGATGATGCGTGACTAATAAAATGTGGTAACAATGTATTGGGTCCGACTCACATCATAGAAGCAAAAGACAAGCAAAATTATAATAAATCGAAGGGGGATGAGGTTAAAGCCAAGGACCACGTAATCAAATGAGAGAGAGAAAGTAAAGACATCCAGTAACCAGGGCAAGGGGAAACTGATAACTGCTTGTTTCTGAACAAATAAATCAAGTTTTAGGCGTTTGATAGAGATTACTTCATCAAACTTGAGAAGAATCGGGCTTTTGTCGATTGATAATTTTAAAGGATTTTGTGATTTCCATCTCATGACCCGAATCGAGGAGATGCCTGGTGATAGCACCATTGGAAGTAATTTTTCCCTTGAGACATAGGCTTTTCGATACACGTTCAGTTTGTTTTGTGTCACTTGTGTCAAACTTACTCTGTCCATTCTTCAGATGATGTTACTTGTCTGCTTTGACTTTCTATCTTCAAAATCGGGTGTTCGGTGCAGGACACTGTCCTATAAATGGTTTTTATTTTTCAGTTCACTTTATTATAAACAACTTCTTAATTCTATGTTTAGTGGATTCTACAAATAGAACTGTTTGACCTTGGATGTGACAGTAATTGGTTTTCTCTTCAAATTTACCATTGAAATATAGTCTGTGAGGACTCTTGGTGCTCATTTTGCCTGAAGGATAGAATCTCCTGAGATATTTTTCGTAGAAAACTTTCAGAACTGATCGGAATATTTGGATTCCGTCGCATGAAATAGTTAATTTTTTACTGACTGCCTTAAGAATAAATTCTAAATGTTTTCAAAGCATATCAAATGTAATGTAGATAAGTGATTGAAATAGGTGAATAGACACGTGATCACCACTAGATTAATATTTCTTAATTTGTCTCCTTTCTTATAGAATATTACACAAAATGCCTTACTTATAATCAGAATAAATAATAACAGAACTTCACTATTGCTAGTACTGCCCTCTCTTGAAAAGCGCGTATGCTAATTTCAATGATAATCTCACAGATTAGGAGAATAACAGTTCCACGGTTAGAGATCTTATACAGGTTGAAACAGATCACCACAATTACTTAAAGTAACTGTGTGGCTTGTAAGCATAGAGCTGCTTGACTATAAATAAGGAAGATTAGTCAGTTTTGTGTGAAATAAGTAGACATTTGCTAAATTATCAGTAATATCTACTTGATATAGTGAATTCATAAACTCTCCTACAGAAACAAGCCGAGATACAGGAAAAGAAAGAATATTTGAAGTTTCATACATTACCTATCTTAATCACATATTACATTTGCATTGAGCACTTCAAGTTTATTCAGTGCCAGTGTCAGTGTGTGATTATCAGTGTCTATACATTTGTCACACTGACTACTGAAAATACAATTTTGCGGGATTTTACTACTGGTAGATGGTTGGAGGTAATTTGCAGGAGGCGTTGTATCTAGGATTCGTCCTTGCTGGCGTCCGTCAGTAAAGCGTATCTGCAATCTTGAAGGAGATAATCTCCCTTATGCAATCTGAACCCGGTTCAGTCATACATACGCGAATGGGATAGTAATTTTTTTTACTTATTTGAAGGTAGCTATTTAAGTCATCTAATATATACACTGAAGAAGTAATACTTGTTTAAAAACCGATAATAGCAGTCATCATCAAAGTGTAAATGTTATTAAAAGATTCAAGGATGCTAACCACTATTTGTGAGGCCTTATATATCTTACCTTAGCTCTGTTGTAAATTGTAACTGTTATGCAGACGTATACTTCAAAGCTCAGTTATCTTCATTATAATAACGTTTAAGACTTGGACTGTAAACTTAATAATTATTGTTGGATTGCATATTAATTAATGCGCACCTGCACGAACATTGCATTCTTGCTTATTGAAATTTTCTAAACTCCTTCAAGTTTATCACTTACATAAGTGACCATGATCTCTTTCCAAGGAGACTAATCAGCAGGTGAATGTTATCTCTCAGGTTTTTAGACGCTAAAGTTTGTAATCTGAAGACAAATATTTCGTACATTCTTCCATGACTCGGTTTTTGTTTTCCTTCAGTTTCATCCATGATTAGTTGAGTAGTGAGCTGGTTACTTTGAAATTCAGACATTTGCATTTGTTGTTGTAAAGTAATATAGTAAGAGGAGAGACAATACCTCAGTAGGCATAATTTATTTCATTTATACTAAGGTCTCGCAATTCACTTTAAGGAATTTCTTATTTATAGATTTACAATAATTAGTCACTTTAAGTTATTTGAATAGTCTTTTACATAAAGTTAGGTTGAATGTTCTGTAATCATCCAAACATATAGATGTGTGTTTTTTTTAAAAAGAAAGATTTGTTCAGATTTTCATTTTTCACTTGAATTTTCTTTCTGCTAGGTAGTCAAATTGTCTGCACTTAAGTCCAGCTGACACTCCGAATGTTAGTCAGGGAATTAAAAAGGTCTACTTTTTGTTGTATATTTACATAGATATAAATGTCTATCCTTTGATTTCCTTTTGTGAAACCCTCAGAGGTTATTTTTATGTGTCATTTATGTTGATATTTGTTTACTCTATGCGTAACCTTAATGTTCGTTATGTTCAAGTGTTGTTTTAGTTGTTGTATCAGATAGATGTGTTAACTGTTTATATATATTTCGATATGACGTGTTGCCGAAAATTACATTTGTCCTTATCAGTTACCTTATTATCGCTATGATTGTTGTAATAATCACAGATTTATTGAACCAGTTGTTGTGATACCTATTTTGAGTGAAGTACAACCGACTGAAAGATTGAAAACATGTTTATTTATCTTACTTTTTGTTTCAGAGGAGCTCAGTGACTCTGAAGGCGATGACAAAGGAAGTGAGGATATGGAATCAGGTCAGTCAAAAATAAACAAGTTGTTTGGTATATATATGGATGTATTTTTTGAATGCAAGTTTTGACCGTAAATACTATTTTCATCCTGTTGTTGTGCAGTATCTATCGGTGAAATGACTATAGATACGACAAACAGTAGCCAGGTTTCGTCAGATGTATGACCTTTTTTGAGGTGGTGATATTAATAGCCATATAAGTATGAACTAAGACAGTGCAATGTATCATTTTAAAACATTTTTTAAAACATCACTTCTCTACTCTTTTTTTTAGTGATAATACCACTTTGATGTTTGTATATGGAAGTGTGGATGATGTGGATTGTTATCATTATTTAAAATGGAGTAACGAAACTTAACCATAGTTCTGAGTCCTGTGCATAGCAAAGCATGAAATTATAAGACAAAGGATAATAGCTGTATGTTAGCGGCTTAGTGGTCGAATGCTCGTCAACCACACAAGAGGTCCAGATTCGATTCCCCGTTGACGTGCTTCTAAATCCTGCCTATCCAATAGTAAACCCGATAAAGAGGAGGAATTTTGGTTTGAGGCTTGTAACTCCACCCCATAAAAGCAATACCACTCGTAATAAAGCTCCAAAACTGAAGTCGTGTTCCACTCAGAATGCGAATGAAAAAAGGATAGCATTTAGTTCAGATGTTTGACATAAAACTACATGTCGGATCTCTCTTTCTTCACTTGTAAATTCAGCTTCATAGATAAGCTTTGATGTATGAAATCGGTGTAATTGTTATTTCTGATTGGCATAGTCTTACTAGGCAATACCTTTGGAGCAGACGTCAATATAAAGTGAACTTTTAGAATTCTTTATCAGTTTATTAGTCAACTTTTCTGATGAGTTTGAAGGTGATTTTTCGTTTCCGGAGATTTTACAACATTCTCATCTACTTGTATTAGTTGTTATTAATTTGCTGACCTTTCGCTTACGTGTTAGATAAATCTGATATGCAGTAATATGTTTGCTGACCACGGATTCGTCTGAGTACGATCCGTCTAGGAATCATCAGAAACTTTTCTCTTTTTTTACTTCGTTTAAGATTTGTACATCCTCCTTCCAGTTGATTTGGTACCCATAGTTGCTTGCACATACTGATATGAGGGAATGGATAGTATGCTTTTTGGCAGCTAGTTTATGTTTATGGATGTAAAGATGAAGAAAACATCCTCTCTAACCCCTTAATATTGTTTTTCACAGTTGTTGCAATTTACCTTGTACAAAAATTTATTAGGTTATAAAAGTCGCTATTTTAAGTTTCAGTTTTTTTTTCTATTCTAATCTGAACCTCCCTAGAGACAGACTTGAAAAAAAACTCTCATGTAGGCATATAGAATGCATCACATTTCACCCATCCAACATCCAAATCTGTATATTCTTAATATTTTTATGTACTGAAGTTTAAACTAATGCGCTAATTCAGAGCTTTTATGTATCTTTCTATTCAATATGCTGCACATTTTATCTAAATGCGTATCTTTGTTTAAACTTTCCAGTTAGTATTCTTAAAATAATATGTTGCTTAGTTTATGATTATTATTATTATTACCTACCTAAACATATAATGAAGTGTCAGTATCCTGATATTCTACGCTAAAGATGTCAGATAGCCTAGTAAAACTGAAGTCAAAAGCCTGGCTAATAAGTACTTAGGAAAAACTTATACAGATCTGAGAAAAATAATGTCATTTCTACTAATTGCATTCTAGAGGTGGGCTAAATTCGGTTTCGGTTGCTTGTATCTTCTGAAAACAAATATCATAGGGCTTGTGTTTACCGCTAATGTATTTAACAGAATGTAATACACTAGTATTTCCAATGTTCTTCTTTCTTCGCGTTGGCAAATTTGTTTTCCTGCATGAAATTTAACTAGAAAGTGACAATTGTTCTGAATATTTTAGACTTTCTTACCACGTTTCACAGATAAAGTTACATTAGGCGTTTTATGAATGAATATTACAGAAATGTTTCTAAAACTGAATAACTCTCTGTTCAAGTACTTGTGTAGGTAAGCGTATTTTCAAAATGAATGCAAAAAAAAAAATAACGGAGGTATTCATTTTACTGTCAAAAATACCTATGCGATCTTTTCCTCTTGTAGTAAGCATGTCTATGTCTAATTCTGTATTGATTAACACTAGTGATCCGTCGTTAACCACTGAAAAGTAGGATTATTATGAAAATGTTGTGGGCTAAAAGAATTTTTGATCGATATATCTTCAGAAATGCCAGTTATCGACTAATTAAATTGATCCATTGTATGACTATTGTTGTTGTTATACACCTTCAGTTAAATTTTATTCTGTAAACATTTCTAGGCGGTGGTGATGGGATAGTCGAAGAAGAACCAGAGATGCATGTTGAAGAGGTAGTGAAAACACACTGTCATAGTACTCTACGGTATGTAGTGAGAATTGTTGTTATCTTGAGTGCTATTCTTTGTTCATTTTGTTTTGTTTTGTCTGTCTAGAAAGGATATAGAAATGTTAGCTGTCTGAAACTTGGTGTATTTATTTTGTTATGCATAGTGCTGGAATGGAATATTTTGTAATCGATTAAATCTTAACTGATTAAAAATGCCCATTAAAATTTCCAAAAGAATGGTTACTGAACAAAGAATACCCTTTTCGATAACTTCATCACCAGGCTCTACAGTTATATATATACATTATAGTGAATGAGTGAATTAGTGTTATTTAAACATTAATGTCATTCATAACACTAATTCATTCATTCACTATAATGTATATATAACTGTTGAGCCTGATGATGAAGTTATCGAAAAGAGTACTCTTTGTTCACTTTCCATTCTTTTGAAGATTAAATCGTAATTAATATGAAAGAATTCAGGTTTTAGCATGAACCTGTAACAATTAGGTAATATACTGCAAGTGTTTATGAAAGGAGTAACCTCATTCACAGTCACAGCTGTCTTCTGAATAAGAAATCATATGTCTTTCGTGATCTATGGAGGTTATACTCCATCGAGAGAGAGAGAGAGAATCATGCTTTGATGAATCCTCCTTAAAAGTTCATAAGCTGACAAAGCTGATGATACGATATCTATGGTAGGCCTGCAAAATTTGGACTACCGATATCCATGCTGAAAATTCCATACTTGTACCAAAAATACATTGTGGAATCAAGCTGTAATCAAAATAAAAAAAAATAATATTCTGTCATAATACATCAAAATATAATTCAGAGGATAAAACCAGGAAGTTTTACTTCATTATCATATTAAGTAATATTATGAGATTTGTCGTAGTTCAAAAATCTAAGTATTTTCACTTATCGGGATAAATTCCACAAGTAGAAAGCGAATAAAAAGTTGTCAATCTGCATTAAATAACTAAGTGGTAATGCATTGAGCCTCAACACTCAAACTCTAAAAATAAATCAGTTTCTTTCAGGTTATATATTCACCTAGCTGTCAGATTTTGATGAGTCTGGGAGGAAAACTTGTTGATCACTTTCGACAAGTTAAAATGTACCAAGTTGACGTATCAGTCAGTCTGGCGACTACATTTTATTTCTTCATTGAGTGGATTCTGACAGTATTCAAAAATCAAATAGATCACATTACCTACACTACATTAATTAATAGGTTCTGTAGGTTGCCTCTATTGTGTAGTTACCATGGAAATCCGTTATATAATAATTTTTCATACTGTTAAAACAAAATTCATCTATAAATATATATTCACGTAGACGAAGTATCTACAGAGATGCACTTGGATCAAGTTCTGTGACAATATAAAACTTGATGTATTAAATCTTCTAAAACGTCCGGTTTTATTAACATGGTCGACTCTGATCTAAAAAACTTTAAAAAATTAGAAGTTAGCTTGACAACAAAAGACCAAAATTTGAAAGAAGGCATCACTTTCCATTTTTACAGTAGTGGAGAGACTTGTTTATCACATATCTGTTTATCTTCTTACGCACTTTGCATCTTTCTTTCAAAATAATTTAGTCGTCTAAGAAAATTTCGCAAACGTACACGCCGAGCTGTCATCGCTTTTATCAACAGTCGGCAGTGTTTTGCATTGGTAATTATTTTGGTCTTTCTCAACACAGTCGTTCTGACTACTGAACATCATAATCAACCGGAGTGGTTAGATGAATTTCAAGGTAAGTGTACGCTGAAAAGTGTGACGTATCAAATGGCACAAATTCTTTCTGAATTCTACTTTCGTTGATTCCAATATATATTACTGTTTCTTTGTCATCATTTTTTGAAGATAATAAATATGAAAGGTAGGGTTTATTTAGTCCAAAACCATGAGTACTTTGATTGGCTTGTGACAATTGGACTTTTAAAAATATTTTATGTTATGTTATATTATTAAGGTATTCAAACATCTGTTGCTTAGTGCAGTTGGTGTAACGCTTTGTCAGAGGGAGGGGTATTACTAGAAGATGTTAAAATACGATAGAAACATACTTTAAATGTCAAGTACTTAAACTCTGTCACTCCAAAATTGATTGAGGTTTGGTAGACTGAAACTTCTAATTAATGGAAAGTACGGTTTTCTGATTTTTGCTTTCCGGAATTCTGTATTTTTCTAAAACCCTCTACGTTACCATCTACATTCTCGTCGCACATTTCTTCTACGTGAGTAATTACCACTCTTCCATGAAAGTTATTGGCTGATAAAAACATGTGCCCCTGTAGTGTACATCTAAAGAAGGCTATGTGACTGGAGATAACAATTAGAGAATCCTTGATTAAAGTTTTATGCTTGCGTGAATTTACGTATCATAGGTATGAACCAAAACATCAACACATTCTCTTTCAGTGATTTGGACTTTTTTTATTGAATTCTATAGAATAAAGCCTTCTGGTAACCTGATAGTTCTCGATTTAGTGCCCATAGGGGCGTGGATGCACCATACTGAAGAGTCCCAAACTAGGACGAAACAATTATCCAGTGATCTTTGGTTCTCAATGGTTCTCTAACCGATATTTAAAATTCATATTTTGTTTGGATAAGTCTAAACAAAATAGTTTCTTTGAAATAATTATTTGCTAGAAATATCATAATATTATTGTATATGTGCTAAATTTACACAAAGTATTGAAAAATATTAATTGTATATTTCTTATAATCTTTAGACTTTGCTAATGTTGTATTCGTTACGCTTTTCACATTGGAAATGGTCATTAAGATAGCGGCATCAGGTTTTTCAGATTATATTTCAAAACTTTTCAATCGTTTCGATTTCTTCGTTGTCATATTTTCCATATTGGAGTTAGTTTTTGTCAAATCTCGTTTACTCAATCCAATGGGTGTTTCTGTATTACGCTGTGCAAGATTACTCAGAATATTTAAATTAACTCAGTAAGTTTATCGAATGGACCAGTTTCTTTTTCTTTTCTAAAAAATTACTAGTTGTTACTTCATGTGTCTCAAGAGTTCCCTGTAAGCTTATTTAAGAGGACATTAGTCAAATTTATGTGAAACCCTTAAGTAAGCAGTTAGCTTGTGTTTTGTTATCTATGTAGTCATCATAATTACTGTTACACAGAAGTTTTGTAGCATATAAGTGAATAATACTGGATAGCGAAAGTGATAATATATTATCACACTTGAGTTAATTTCTTTGATGAGAAATATGCATTTCCTTCATTATATACGGTACATGATTCTCGATGTTTTGGATAAAGCCTTGAAAACAGAATTCTAATGGGAAGCCGTGACCGATAGGATACAGAAGGTTGAAGCTGAGGCAGTAACTCTTCGAAGAAGACATTGCGAAATGGTCGCGCTCGGGTGTCATGAATTGGCAGAAGTTAGAAATCATGGGCTGGCCATTGGATCGTATCTTAGCCTAATGGTCTACGAGCTAGCTGGCCTTGTAACCAGAAGGTCCTGGATTCGAACCATGGTGGTGGGTGTGTAGTGATGAAGAGTCTCAAACTAGGACAACATAAATCACTGTCCAGTACCCCTTGGAGGTTTTCCAATGGTTCTCTAACTGATGTCAGCTCATGATGAAATCCTTTAACCGATCAAACGAAATCCCTACAAACACCAATACGTGGAAACTTTTTCTGTTTACAGAGATCTGGCTTTACTATTTCGATGGCTACGCTTCAGCAATGCAGATGAGTTAGATACGTAATCAATTGGACAAATTAATGTTCACCTTGTAAATTATTTAAAGGAAGAAGCCGAAGAGATAGGGTGATCAGTGTCGATCAAAAATTCAATGTTTGCCTTTCTTATAACCCCACTCCCACCGCTTCATAACCATACAGAATAGTATTCTTGCATCCTCTTGGACAAGTTGAACCACCAATACATCTACCTCTACACGAGCAGGTGAGTTGATAAACGCACATATAGTTGGTCAGCTGCAGGATCTTGTCCTTTAGGTTACTGAAAAGTAATGGTCGACTAGAAAATTCTATCTTAAATGATTCTGCAGAGAATGTCCTTTTCAGGGACTGTGAGATCGTTCTTTTTACGATGCTGTCAGCTAAGTTATATTTGAACTCCAAGTTCAGGTACATCATTGTATGTATTCACCCTGTGCTGCAATCTCCTCAAGGGATTTAATTTTTAATAAAAAAACATAAATAGAAATGTATAGCTTGATAATAAATTAGTTGGATAGAGTCTAATCACTGAATCACTTGATATAATTCATGAAAGTGGTTTCTAATTGCATAATACTCAAGTATTGTGGCAATGAAGCCAATAATTATGAGTTTTTACTGCATAAAGTTCTATCTCTCTTGAATTCTCAGCCGTTAGTGTAATATTAAACCTCTTGGTTTGTTTGCCTAGAAAATGTTATGGGTAACAAATGGGATTCAATAGCTGAACATTAAACTTTAATTTCTTCACTATATTCATATGTTGGCATCTAAATATTTTCGGTCTAAAAATCCACTTTAATTTATTTTCATATACCATCTGCTGTTTATTAATAGTTCCTCCGTATTTTGGTTGTTTTTACTACTAGTCTTAATATGTGGTGGCAATTGTCTGATTTGGATTTTGTTTTGATCTTGTGGTGTAAAAATACTGAAATTTATGTGTTTTGATCATTCCTTTTTTGTTAGATATTGGGAAAGTCTTCGAAGTCTAGTGGGTAAATTATTGAAATCTGTACGATCTGTTGCCAGTCTGTTGCTTCTTTTGTCCATATTTATTCTTATCTGTTCTCTACTCGGTATGCAACTGTTTGGTGGACGATTCAATTTCATTGCACATGAAAAACCAAGAGCAAATTTTGATGGAATTTTACAAGCTATGCTGACTGTATTTCAGGTTTGTTAACTTGCTTTGTATCTGTATACTATTCTGTTTCACTCCCTTTGTTCCGAGATAAGCACAGGACTTTCAGCTTTAGGCTTTGAAGTTTCAGTAGCGGCGTTATTTTTGTTTTTGAATGGATGAGGTTGCTAGCCTCATGCTCAAGATTTTCCCTTTATTCAGCTTAATACCAGCTAGTCATTGTAAAAGGGTTGGTTAAGAAGATGTTACTAAGATGTCATACAAAAATTAAAAAAAAACATTCAAAAAGTCGCGGAACTTAGAGTTATGCTCAAGGTAGAAGGAGCGGGTGGAGAAGTTTATTCTGTGTACATAAATCAGGGTTTTCTACCCGGATCGCTAAGGCCTTGGCAAGACGGAAGCTTACCGTTTTCCGGAGGCTTCTTTTGACTTTGTGGATAACTTGGAATAAATTCTCCGAGCATATTGAGTAACCAGTATTGAATATGTGTTCAGTTATAGCGCTCTTCACTGACCCTCTGTTACGTTTTGGTAGCCAGGCGCGATAATGTTCTTCGATACAAACACACATCGAATAACCTATATATCTCCTTGCACATGAGCAAGTAAATCGGTAGGTACGTACAGAAGTGGTCAAATGTGACAGTTTGTCTTTGGAGTTATTGAAGAGTAGTGGGGGATTTGAAAATAACAATTATAATGTAGAAGCAGAGAATGTTTTTTTCAGGGCATTAGATGTTCTTCTTTTCAGGATGTTGGTCAGAATGTCGCCTTAGAACGCCACATTCATATATAACATCTTCTTCGGCATAGAGATGGTTTGTTCTTTGTTGATTTTCCGTGAATTAGAAAATGGTTATCTTTAATGTTAGCTATCTTCAGATAAGCTTATCAAGCCATGTTACTCTAGAAACATCTAAGAATGATCTCAACCCTGAAAACGTTGGTCAATATATGGCGGAAAATTTGCATTGAAACCTTTTTTAAACACTGTTCACTTTTAATAAATCTGAATCTTAATTATTTCTAGTTTTAAATACACGTTTGTGGTCATTTAGACGTATTTCTTTTAATTTAGCAATTGGAGTTTTAGTGTTTTAATGGATCTCATATTTGGTTTACAGATACAGTGCCTTTGTCTACAATTATATCAGCAACCGTAACACATGTAACACTAGTTGATTGCAAATTTTCTCGTTAGCATATGTGTACTGATGTTAATGAACAGATTTTAAGTCCAGTTATTGTACACTTTGCCATATATTATGTATGAGTGATTAGAAGCTACTCACGTCAATTGGTAGTACATACAGTCATAACCAGATTTTCTATTTATCAGATATCCACTTCTCTGACTTGAGTTCTAGCTCATTTATAGGTGTCTTTGGACTGATTCAAGTTACAGAGTTGATTCTGTTTAACTTGCATGAATTTTAGCTAGCTAACCACGTCAACTGGTAATTGAGGTTCCAAAGAAAGTATGAAGAATTTTTATCATCAATTGTGTAAATGACAAATGATGATTTGTTTCATGTATAAAATTCTGTGTTTATCGGGGGAAACATCCCCTTAGTCAATATTATCTACAAACAATCGGAGTTGTTTTTTATTATTACTGTTATTCTCAAAAACTCGTAATAAACTAAACACTGCCAGATACAGATAGATTAAGCAGATCAACAATTGGGTCATTTTGAAAGAAATTTCCTCCTTAATTTAAAAATCTGGATGATTTTCGTCTGAATATTTGTATTTAAAAATCACAAGTATTTTTATTCTTCAAATGAAGATCTAGTTTTAGATATTGTTAGTAGAATTTCAAAAATGAAAACCTTTCAATTTTCCTGTTATCCAGATAAAGAATGTTGGGAGATAGTCTTGGGACTAGATTTTTTACGCTTATTGGCAATCGCTATCAAAGTGTATTTGCAACCTTAAATAAGTAGATCCCATCTTAGAGATTTAAACTTGTGTCACCAGGTGCTCTAGTCAAAAACGTTACCAGTGAGCTATTTGGACTTGAACTCTGCCAACGAGTGTCAGTAAGTATGAAACCGATTTCCAGGACTTACTTCAAACTGCCCTCAACCACATAACATGTATTCAGAATGCAGTGTGATGGTGAGTCACCTAGGTTGATGACCACACTGGAAAGTTAACTGATAGAAATCAGTACCAACAGTTAGCACGAGACACATGACACTGGTTTCTTCTTAGTAAAATATTCAATGCAAATCTAAAATTTATTCTATTGTTGGACAAGGTATGTTACCTATCCAGTTGTAAAATTTGTATAAAATAACGCCGTCACATAAAGAAATATTTATGGAGATATCTTTTCCTAACATAAACACTTATGGAATTAGATGCACCCTTAGTAAAGTGAATCATTCCATTATTCATGTAATGGGTGGTAGTTGCAGGTGAAATGAAAATCCAGTTTGAGGCAAGATTTGGACCATCAGTTTCCAAATTATTATTCTCTTGACCTTCTAACTGAGTTATGAGACACAGCTGCTAAGGAGGTTATCATTTCACTGAAATCACAACTATTTAAAGAACAAAGACTTATTAAGTTAGATATTAATTGGTGCATAGAAAATGTATACACTGACAAGTTCCTATTTGAGTAGTTTGATGTGTTTGTATTCCTACATTTTGTGAGTTCACAAGATTTTTCATGTGATAGTAGATTGTCAGGACACCTCAGACATAGAATCACACAGTTTCCAATCGACATTTCATGTTACTATTATTCCCTTGGATTCCAAGGGGGACATAGAGCTTCAACAGCACACCACCATTTTGCCCTGTTCTCTACAATCCTCTTCAGTTAACCCCACAAGATGTCATAGGCTCTCATCTCCCCCTCACACAATCTTCTCCAAGCCAACCTCGCACGTCCAACTCACCGTTTCCTATTGTGGTTCCACTGGAGGACCAAGAGGAAGATGCCACTCAGTGGTCTCCACAGCGTATGTTTTATCTATCTGTCTTCGTTTCTGCGTATTTATTGGGCTATAGATTCACGGTTGGTTTGCCGCCTGCCAAAGTTCCTTGTCGCTTCTTTTTTCTGCCCACTCATCTGATCTTGAGTATCGAACCAGTAAATTCAACTACTGACGAAAGCCTGTAGCCTGTTGGAAGTGCTTTATTTGACGCGCCGAGTCTTTGAAGTGTATAGGAACACCGAATAACTTGACGTTAGTGTTGAAAGTCTGAATCTTGTTCCTTATTTTGAATAAAGTAGATTACCGCACTGATTTCAGGATAATGATGGTCTACTTGCTTTTCAGATATTGACTAGGTTTAAAATCCACTCCTGTGCCACCTGTAGTTGAAAAGATGCCTCCCAAATAAGCGAAAGACGTAACTGCACATGCTTTTCAGTGCAAATTAATGTTTTAGTACTTTTCACACGCTTTATAACAGATCAAAAACATTTAAAGGATATCACTGTCATTTTTATTACTTTTCTTCCTAACAAATGTAGATCCTTACCGGTGAAGATTGGAATGAAGTTATGTACAACGGTATGAGAGCGTATGAAAATAGTCCGTGGTATGGAGTTGTGGTTATCTACTTCATATTTCTTTTCATATGCGGCAACTGTATCCTTTTCAAAGTCTGTTTAAGTGTTAATTAAATTACTGCTAGGCAATGGTGAAAATTATCCAATCGAGTTATGCGTGTATTTTACAATATAGTAACTTAATTTCCAATTTATTTGCATGGGTAACTTGTCAAGAACCCGAAATTGTCTAAATTAGTGTTGCCAGAATTACTTCTCTGATAGCGTTATATGGAATTCGATAATACTGCTTTCATTCTGTTCCTTCCATTAAGTTTGCAGATATGGGGTGTTTGTAGCATTAATAAAAGTTTTTAGGTTCGATACTGATGTCTGTGTATCTACTGGTATAAATAAATTCACTTCTTTTTACTCAGGCTAACGTCTTTTTATAAAACTGACCCTTACAGCTAGTTGCCGTCATATTGTAACGAAGCAGTAGGATTGTAACGACAGAAGACAAGGGCCAGGAAACAGATCGTTTATTGAGAAAATCAACAGAAATTTCTAAATTTTTATGTACATTATTGTCAGGGGAGAAACACCGTCTTCTGATTGGTTGTTTTCTTGCTGAAGGTTACCCCGCACTGTGGCTATTTCTTAGAAAGTCAGACCATATATCTGCAAATCGTATCCGCCCACGCAAAGTCTGCTGTGACTGGTTATTGTGTTCCTCAAGGTTAGGCTTTGTTCTCGTTTTTTCTCATGACTCTGATTTGGGACGAAAACATTGACGTCCACAATTTTGTCTTGCAGACAGCTCTCAGCACAGAATTATTCATTCCGCTAAGTTTGTGAATAAATGAGAGTTTCTAAAACAAATTTATCAGCAAACTTTTATTCCAATAAAATGCACCTTTTCTATTTCATTTAATAATACTCTTCAAGATAAAAAAGCTCTTGAGGTTTATCTTCAAACAAAAGTAAAAACAACAACAGTGTAACACTTTCCTATACTGAAAATCATTAGATATTTTATTGAATGTATTTTTGGCTATCGCTGTGGATAATCTAAATGAGGATGAAGATGAAGATGATGACGGTAATGGTGATGCACAAAAGAAACAAATTGAAACAACAGAACATACAGAAGTTGTTGAACCAGCTAAACCAGCTGAAGAGGAAAAACAGGATGACTTGAATTCTCCGTATGTTTTAAAAAATATATAAAATATTAATAATAATCATTAATAGATGTTCGAAAGATGTTTGTTTAATATGATGCTTTTTGATACCTCTTTTGTTATCATGATTATAATCCCATGTGTGACAAGGCAATACTTAACACTTAGTCATATTGGCATTTCTGCTTTGGGAAAGACTGTTTTTCGCACCACTGAGGTTAAAGATTGATGACAAGGCTAGTTTTATGCTTTTATTCACTTTTCATTAAGTTTGCAGTTAATATGATTACTTGAACTGTAAAATACTCCGTGCTAATAACAGATTTGAGTATAGCAGGTCTCTTTGCTTTTTGTACCTGATGAGAAATTTACAGAAGTTCAATGAGCCACCTCTGTTTCCTCACATGACATTAGTGTTTTTATGTATTTACTTGACGGCAGCCAGCAGTCAACTGTAAAGTGATTGTTAGTTGTATATGTCTACAGGAAAGTTATTGGTGATATTTCCACTTTGATTCAACATTATTACTAACTACCTCAGGCATTATAGGGACTTTTACTACACTGCTGACTCATAAGGGTCACCTCTTGTATTCTGGTGCAATTTTTACTTATCGCTAAGCAGTAGCTCAGTATTATGATATAATTAATTCTGCTTTGAACTTTGGAAAGTGTAAAGCATGTTTGAAAATTATTTTCTCTTAAGCTAATCCTGTTTTTAGTGACTGCTTAACTTACTTTTCACTCTTTCTTACAAGTAGAACTCTTATTCGAAGTCTTTTGGTTCAATTAGCCACCACTTGGAAAAAAGTTTACTAATAGAATAGAAATATAATGGAACCATAATGGATGAAGATAATATCGCAAAATAAAATAAATAAATTCAGATAAATAAAGGTTTTCTGAATCCAAATGATGAGTATAGCGAATGCATCTACGCCGCTATCAGGGACTTTTAGGCTTGTCGCTGAGATTCCCCTAGACAATAATCTTTACAGATTGTGAGATCCACTTCACCCAATCTATAAAAAATAACTAGGTTGAACTGATAGTACGAGATTATACTGCTTGGTGCTATGTCTTCATCTTGTCTCTCTTGGCTGTTCTTCACTCTGGTCGAATCACAGCTAGCCTTAGTGGTCAAGATAGGCAGTTGTTCAAAAGGCATAATACTTATCCTGTATATCTCAATAGGTGCAAGTTTCAAATTTCACTAAATGACTTATCATCTTTACCTAAACCTCTATGCCAAAGCAGGTTATTTTTTGTTATTTTGCCTCGCTCAATGCTGGCAAGAAACTTAGTTCACTTTTTATCAAACCTTGAAACCTCAGCAGATCTACCGTTGGCAGCCGGGTTTTGCAGCCCTAATTACCGATTGTATAAAACACTGAGGACAGAAGTGTTATTATTTGGAAAATTTGAGAATTTTTCAAAAACTAGTTGATTCGGGGTTATAGAACTCTTCAAATAGGTGAAGTAATCGAGACATTCACCGTTAATTTTTACCTGTGTACTGGAAGTTGATGATTACCAGCCCTTCTTCCAAATCACAGAGACTAATCACATACCAAACATGCTCAGAATTTCGGTCAGTTTTCTGCATTCTGTCATCTTAAGAGGAGTTCTCCTATGTGCTCTCTAAATCCTTGGCTGCAACTCAGTCTCCGAGACGTCTAAGCCGACCAAGGTCACACTCATCAGTGGATTTGTATCATAACCAAGGGAAGATGGTAATACTGATCATCTTTGACAAACACCATTGACTGTTGTCACTACAACCTAGAAACTAGAACTAAAGTTTTCAAGTATTGGTTTTTGTAGGGATTTTGTTTGATTGCATGGAGGAGGAGGTCGAAGATGAGGCAGTAACTCATCGGAGAAGACATTGCGAAGTGGTCGCGCTATATCGTGAACTGGCAGAAGTTAGAATTCAAGGACCATTGGATCGGGTCCCAGTGGCTCAATGGTCTACGAGCTCGCCTTGTAACCAGAAGGTCCTGGGTTCGAATCCCGGTGGGTGCGTACTGCTGAGGAGTCCCAAACTAGGACGAAACAGCTGTCCAGTACTCCCAGGTTTTCCAGTGGTTCTCTAACTGATGTCAGCTCATGATTAAATCCTCCATGCAATCAAAAGAACTAAAGTTGTTGCATGTATTCACATAGATTGCCTTGATTAACACAGTATACTTTCTCAGCTCTCCTGACACAATCAGATTTAATCACAACATCTGAGATCTGATGAAATCCACTACTGCCTTTAGGACCAAAAGTGTAGTGAGCATTTGAAGCCAATAAGTAAGACTGTTTTCCACAAGCTGTCAAAAGGTGAAAATATGAGCAACCCCCCACTGTCCGAACTTAAAACCTGCCTTGCATTTCGATTTTAGAGTTCTATATAGTCTTCACATGACAGTGAACCCAGTATTTTAAATACTAAACTGGTCAAGTAGATTTCACTATGACTGTATGGGGGAGAATTATTTCTTTTCGTATAAACTAGGATAACTCACAATCTGCATATAGTGCCTTAAAACAAGAGACAGTACTATTTTATTGGTTGGAACAGTTCATTAATAATGCTTTCAAGCAATTTATTGAAAGATAAACCTGTTTTCATTGTAGTATACCGTCTCATCAGAGTTACTACTATCTACTTAGTTGGTTGACATCACAAATATATGTCTAACTTACTTTCAACCAGAATATAACACACTAAATTTGTTTCGTTTTATGATTTTTATTGTTTATAGTGTGAAGCTACAGTACGACAAACCGGGTAAGCTGTGCATAATGTTTTAATTTAGAAATATACTGAGTTCAGTAATTTCAAACAATAGACATAACTATTTTAGCAGTGACAACTTTATTACTATTTTTTTATTATTTTATTCCTGTACGTTCCCAGTGGGACATAGGGCTTCAATATACAGCTTTGAATTTTCGGTAGCAGTGATGTTTACTTTCACAGGATGGGGTCACTAGCCTCATGCCTAACTTTCCGTCTCTACCAGTCTTAGCGGAGTAAAGGAGTGCGTCCGTGGCCCGGAATTGAACCCCGGACCACATGCATGGTCGGTGAACATTCTTCTACTGTATCACTGATGCATCAGTGACAACTTAATTAGCAACAATTAATTATTCAAAGAATGTTTTGCATTCTATTAACTGGAAGCTGTATATACTTACCAGAAATATGATTAGGTAAAATTGGAAGTAGAGTTAGATCAAGGATATTGTCATGCTATTAATTGTTTACCTGAAGAAGAATAAATTTTGGTTTTGCTAAATAAAATGTCTGGGAGTAACAAAAATTGTTTTGACTACAAAAGAATTTTTTATAGTTGATGCAATGTTTTTCATTCATGTCAAGAAAGTATATTTCTGTATGGCGTTCTCATATTGGATTAATAACCTCGTGAAAATTTATATGGAGTATAGCAGTGTGTATTGTTTAATAATGAGGTTCACAATTTTAACTGACTCTTCTTTTAATCAGTTTTTACTATCAGGCATCAAATATGTGGTATTTCTATGCTCACCATGTGGTCAATTAATTTCGATTGTACTGGGTGTTAACTTTCAACCGACGAACGATGTACTTAATAGGTGTTACTCATGTGCCAAACAGCCAACCTATTAAAGGATGATTCAGAAGATAATTACCCGAATGATTTATACCACACGCTAGCATATATGAATTGCTTGTCAGTTCGTACATATGTTTGTATTGTGAAGGACAAATTTAAAAGTTAAAAATAAAGATGAGATTATTTACTTAGAGGAATTTGTAATGCATTACAATAAAAAATGTACAGAGACAAAAATGTCATAAAGATTTCCTCATGAAATGACATCTGTTAGAGAACCATTGGAAAACCTGCAGGGAAAACTGGACAGCCGTTTCGTCCTATTTTGGAACTTTTCAACACTACGAACTCACTCAGGACCTTCTGGCTACAAGGCGAGCTAGCTCATAGGCCATTAAGTCACTGTGAACCTAACTAATTGCCAGCCCATGAATTCTAACTTCTGCTAATTCACGCTGTAGTACGACCACTAGTCACTGTCTTCGGTGAGTATTTCTCCTCACACCCGGTGGGCGCGTACTGCGAAGGGTCGCAAACTAGGAAGAAACACCCGTCTAGTACTCCCAGATTTTCCAATGGTTTTGTAACCGACGTCAGTTCGTGATGTAATAGTGTAACCAAACAGTCAAATCCCTACAAACCATCACTTGGAAAATATCATTCTGTTCACAATGAAAGATACCATATTAATTCGTAATAGTCATTATATAACTAATAAGTATTTAGGCGCTTTTGTTGATAACATGCAGCATTCACATTATTTGTTTCTTACCTGGAAGATTTTAACTCCAAAAAAGACTGAAACTAGTCATTTTCCTTCAAATCTAACACCTGAATACAAAGCATCACAAACTAGAACAAAATAGCTGGATTTTACTGACTGCGCTTTCAATGAGTCACTAAAAGATTTCATTTCGTAGTGAAATCAGTCAAATCTTTGCACAAACTCAATATCTGAATATTGCTTTTGATTTCCATTCGTTTGAAATATGAATAACAAACAGAAGTTAGAATTCAAGGATCATTGGATCGGGTCCCAGTGGCTTAATGGTATACGAGCTCGCCTTGTAACCGGAAGGTCCTGGGTTCGGTGACTGGCGGTGAGTGAGTACTGCTGAAGAGTCCCAAACTAGGACGAAACAGCTGTCCAGTACTCCCAGGTTTTCCAGTGGTTTCCCCAACTAATGTCAGCTCATGATGAAATCCTGAAACAAACCTGTTTAATTTGCTTATTCATGGATAATCCCCATCCAGGCATTAATGAAAACAAAACACGTAGATCAGCGAAGAGTCTTTTTTCAGCGAATTCATTTTCTTAGCTGTACAATCGCAAATATATGTGTTATTTTGTATGTATGTGTACATTAAGTTTGTCAAACAAAATTACAATTGGTTAAGGTTACTTTTAACTAAACAGGTGAAGGTTGGTAATACAGGTAAAGAAAATTAAGTGTAAATGAAACTAGGGTAGTAACAAAGGTGATGAGTTGTCACAAACAGTTGTATTAATAATATGAATAGTTTGATGGGTCAGTTTTACTCAGGATGCACATAGAAACAAAGTAGATAATACGAAACTATGTAAGGGATCTAAGTGAATACAAGAATTATAATTGCTTAAGATTATTATAGAATTGGTGGATGGTGGCTAACCATGGAATCCAGGATGCACATTTCGTCCTATTTGGGGCTCGTCATCTGGATTTACCTGCATTTCTCAGTGAGTGATGGTGTTCCCACCGAGGCTCGAACCCAGTACCCATAGTTTTAAACGCCAAAGCGTTATGAGACCGAGCACTTCGGTCCAAACAATCGACGGGAAAATCAAAAATTCAATTCAATGCTTAAGGTTATTTTAACTAAACAGGTAGAGGTTGGTAATACAAGTCAAGATGGCAATACAGTTTCGTCTCCTTTGTATCGCTGAAGCTCTGGCCATTCACATGGAGAAACCGGAGCTGTGCATAGAAAAGAAGATTACTCAACCACTTCTACTCTCATAGTAATAATGTTTTGATTTGATTTGAGTTTTTATTTTTATTTTGATGACTTAATTTTGTTTCTTTGCCTGTTCTTTAGTTGCTTATAATTCTTGTATTCACTTAGATCCCTTACATAGTTTCGTATTATCTACTTTGTTTCTATGTGCATCCTGAGTAAAACTGACCCATCAAACTATTCATATTATTAATACAACTGTTTGTGACAACTCATCACCTTTGTTACTACCCTAGTTTCATTTACTCTTAATTTTCTTTACCTGTATTACCAACCTTCACCTGTTTAGTTAAAAGTAACCTTAACCAATTGTAATTTTGTTTGACAAACTTAATGTACACATACATACAAAATAACACATATATATTTGCGATTGTACAGCTAAGAAAATGAATTCGCTGAAAAGAGACTCTTCGCTGATCTACGTGTTTTGTTTTCATTAATTTGCTTATCTCAACACTCTTTTGCGTCGGTGAAATAGTAGCAAAACGTTTAGCTCTGAGTTTCTTTGATGGTATTACTTCACTTAGATAAGTAGTAACAAGATAAATATGAGGTACTCTTTATCTCTGAAATCGTAGAAAAATCAATCCATTCTTAGTGTCCAAGAGTTGGCATTCAAGGATTCGATTAATTTCAAACTAGATCACAAGCTGACATTAGCTAGATAGTCATAAAAAACTACGGAGTACTAGAGAACTGTTTCCTTCTAGTCTGGGAATCTTCACCAGTACGCATTGATAGCTAACTCTAAAAGGAATTAAACTTAGCATCCCACTTCATGACCTGAAGGTCCTGCTGGAGAGTCTTAGACCAGGGAGAAACAGCCTTCATGTAGTCCCTGGTCTTCAGTGGTTGTCTTAAAGATGTCAGCTTGTGATCCAGCTGAATTTTTCTCAAATTCTTTAAATTACATAATAAAACTTGGAACAACTTTTTCCATTGCCCTGAAAATCTAAGAATTAATTAAAAATGGCAGGTTAGCTACAATTATCAAGTTATATCTATAGCAGTATAACAGCAAAGATGTAGTAATACTATGGTTGTTACAGTATATAAGTTTATATAAACTAAAATTAGTCCTTTTAAGGGAAATATTAAGAGGTTACCGTAAATTACATTTATCAAATTAACTCATTCGGTCATAACAACTTACCTGAATTCATTTTCATTTATGATGAAATTTTTGATTTAGAAAATGAGGATCAAACATATGAAGAAATGTTTGCTGAAGAAGAGGATATTGAAGAAGAAGGCGATCTAGATGATAAAAATGGTGATGATCAAAAAGATATGTCACCACAAGATAGTCGAACTATGCCACCACATTCTGCATTCTTTATATTTGCTGATACTAACAAGTATGTTTGTTTTTTGTTGATTGGTTGACTTATTCTACATTCATTGTGCCCTACTCTACAGCTGACTGGATTTCGTAAAACATTTTCATACCTTACCTTACTTTTTCTGATATGTCATTGTATGGTAATAAGTTTATCCAGCCTGTGTATTCTTACATGAATGGAGCTTATGAATGACCTATTCGCTAGCTAATAAACAAGTTATATATATATATATATATATATATATATATATATATATATATATATTTAAACGAATAATGCAGTGTCGCTGGAAGCAAAAGAAGCGTTATGTTATATGTATTCGCTTTAAGTAACGATATATATTATTACTCCCTTAGATTTCATTTTAAACATGGGGCTTCAACATCACATCGCCATTTTGCGCTGCTCTCTGCAGTCCTCTTCATCTGGCTCAACGATTGTTCACATCTCTTATCTCCTCCTCACACGATCTCTCCCAATTCGTCCTTTCCCACTCGGGCTGATGTCACTGAACAGTCTCATGAGTGTGCATGTAGTCCACCCCAATTTACTTCCACATATTTATTGAGCTATGAGTTGGTGGTGGGTTCTTCTCCAGGGTTCCTCGTTGCTGATACTTTCCCACTGGCCACCTTATCTTCGATACTCAACCGGAGAAGACAGCTGTTGATAACATTCTGAAGCCTGTTGGAAATGCTTTATGCAATGCGCCAAGTTTCTCACACATATAATGAGGAGCTAACTTAACACTGGTGTTAGAAGTCCGAATTTCGTTCTTTATACTTAGTATAGCAGATTTCCAAACAGATTTCATAGTGATGAAGGTCTGTCTGTCATGCATTCCCGATTCCGGTTTTCACATCCTAATCCGTACCGTGTGCCTGTAGTTGAAAAGATAATGCCTAGATAAGTGAAGGAAGTGACCTCTTATGAATTTCGTCCGTTGATATTGGCTGGTGCTTGCTGTTGGTCATTTAGTATCCTCATCACCTCCGTCCTGTCATAGCTGCTTCTCCTCTCGACATGTTGGTTTCCGTCCATAAGTCTTCAAGTTTGTGTGACATAGACACAAATCATCTGCTTAGTCTGTATCTTCTAGAGTGATGACAATATAAATACAGTTCACTGAATCACTATTTATGCAAAAAATATGCGTAATTTTGAAGAATTATGAGCCTTTGTAAAGTTAAATCACCTTTCCTTGTTTGTAGTTATTTTTTGAATCTGAAGCCTAAAATTTAATAACTTATAACTCTGTAGTCTTGTCAGAATTTTCTGGAATTCATAGGAAATATTCAATCATCAAATAAAAGTACAGCAATACACTTTTAAATGTAATACACCTTTACGAGCACATTGTTTCATTTTGAATGAAGATGACATCATCGTGATAATTCATCTATTCAGTAGTATTTTGATGTACAAGTTAAGCCAACGTTTCTTAATGGCTCTAATTAGTAAGGAAATTCATTTAAATAAAAACAGCGAAATAAATGCAATATATTCAATCGGTTGTGAAGATTTCCATTTCCATATTTGCTGTGGATTGTCTGTGGTTCAGTGGTAAAATGCTAGCCAACAGTCCACGTAGTCCGAAGTCCGATTCCTGACAAACACACTCTCAAACCTCTCCTAGCGGGTAGTAAGCTCGGAAAAGAAGGAAGACTGGGCATGAGGCTAGCTCCCCCATCCGGTAAGAATTGCACCACTGTGACTGGAACTTCAAGCCTTCAAGTCTGCAAAATAACTCTTAAGCTAAAGAACAAAATTTAAAAGTTTACAACCCTCACAGAAGTACTACTTAAATAATACTGTAAATTGAACGCACATTTTAATACAAAGTTATTATTGATAAAGCCATCAAGTCTATGAATAAAGAATTCTTAACCTAATCTTTAGTATACAAAAAGTTAAACTTAGAATGTAACCTTCATCGAACGTAGGATATAAGAATTACTGCACGACGGAATTTATACTGTTGGCACCTTCAATATATCTAGCACCAAATAAGGCCAAATATCTTCTTGTTTTAACACATATCTTTGGTGAACGTATTGTATTTTATACCCTGTTTATATTGAATAGGTTTCGAATATTTTGTCATAATGTGGTCTGCTTCTCGCATTTTGGGAATATTGTACTTGTTTGTATATTGGTGAGTAGTATCCTTCTTGCTGCAGAAGATCCGTTACATGCTAATTCTAACAGAAACAAAGTAAGTATATCTCATAATTGTTATTCATCTTCCGAATTGCAATAAAATATCATTGAGGGTGGTGATAACTCTCATGAATTGTTTTTGAAAATGAGCATTTTTTGATTTTTCATATTTGCATTAATTGAGATTTAATGCTATGGAAATCTTGTAAAACACGGTGCTCAGCTTTTGATTTGGGTTACTATGATGATTTTAAGCCTTTTTAGAATCAGACTGTCTAGACATAAGTCGTTTCTCATCCACTTGTGTCTCGAAAAAAAAAGTAAATGACGAATTCTTCAAATTTTCACGTTAAAAAACAACATTTATATTAAGTACCAGTTGCCATGTTTCTAAAAAGGTTGGTCCAAATCACTCACGAAATATTTAACATTTTTAATCTGTCCATTATCTCTTTGACTCCTCGAAAATCTGTTTACTTCATTACCTATTGCTTACAACCACCTAATTAGACCCTAGATTGTCTCCATAAACTGAAATTTAGAGCAGATTATTTAATTGTTCTAGAGCATAAGTTTGACGTTCACAGTGATGATAAGTAGAAGTGTAATAATAGATTCTAATCTATCTTTAAATCACAGAACTTGTTCCCCCTACTAAGACATAATCTATTGGCAATCTCAGCGTTTCACAAATGACCGCTTTCTGTCATACACTGTATACCAGACTATGGATCCATATGGGCAGATACACGGAGAGGAGTAATTGATCTTTGCAAGCAAATGTGGTGGAATTTCTATCCGAAGACTTTGGAAAAGAACTAGACTTGCAGATGTTGACGATCATAAGTGGTTGACTAACGCCACCCATAGCTAAACACATAGATTATAAAACTGATTTAAAACCAACTGAATTTTTCATATAAAAACTGTCATAATCACAGAAAAACATGCTGTGAAGATAAATATTGGTAAAATTACCCCTTTTATCTCGTATACTAAAACAGTTTATTATTACATATTACCTACTTTGACTATACTTATTTAAATATATTATCACGAATAGCGTCAATCTCCTAACCCTTAAAAATCCTATTATTTGTGATCACATTCTTTAAAAAAAACTTTGTTTTCTAATGAAACTGTCCATATATATATATATATATATATATATATATATATAAGATTAAGTGAGTGTGATGAAAGTGTCTGAAAAAGTGAGAGTTGACAGAATAATAATAGTAAAGCTTTGTTTCAGACAATATGTGAACATATATTACAAGAATTTTCAGCCTATTTAGTTCCAGAATATTTCCTCTTCAGGGGAAATGTAGTAGTATTGTTGCATATGAAGAGAAAACCAATTCTGTACATTTTCCTCCTTTAAATCATTCAAGAATTGCATTGTGTATGGTGGAAAACTAATTAAAGATGCGCGCGAGTTCATTCATCGGTGATCATATGATATAAGTGAACGATTAAAACAATAAAATGTGCTAAAGAGTTTAAGCATTTTGATGGATAAAAATTCTGGCAGCCCGATGATTTAAGTACGCCTCCAGTAAGAGTAGTAGATAATATTAACGCATACTTTTGAATTCCAAAACAAAAAGGATTAGTCTGTGTGGAGTTTGAAAATCTCTTGGTTGCACAGCAAGTTAGGTTTACACACATAATATCTGTTTGCCTATTTTGGGCTACCAATGTTTACAGAATTCGAGAGCAAGGAGTTTCAGAAAGCTTATAAAAGCATGATAAATGATTTAGAATAGTCGGTTTACCTTAATTTCATAATTATTTACCATTGTTTAACAATGTTATATGTTGACCACCACCGAGGATTAAATTCCCTACATATACAACCAGTGTAAATGTTATCACGAAAGCAGTCAAAGTGAAACAGATAGACTCATCTCTCAGTTTCGGTGTTATCATTAGTTGTGTAAATCGAATACTTTATAACCTTACCACCTGAAGTGTTCTCTAAATTACCATTTCACTGTACAAATCATCTTTAACTGGCAGCTGTATAGATCTAATGACCCTTCCCAGGTTCTGAAAAACTTTACAGTTCTGTTTTCGTACTGACTTGTTTCTTTAAGAATTTATTAAAATGGCTATTTACAGATGGGATATCGCTTAAAATCATCAATTATTATCTACTAGCATAAATAAAATATTTGGTTGTTATGAATATAGCTGAGAGTTTTTATTAGAGTTCACCTGTATTTTGCACTGATTAAAGTACTTAGTTCACAAAACTTTTTCTGTACAGTTCACACACAGCTTTCCACTGATATGAGAAAAATCTATCCAGTTGTCAGTATATTTTCAGTTACCATGATGAGCTTTAAATATTTTTCTAAATTTGTCTATCTTTTATAATTTTTCCACTGAATGTCAAATCCTACTATGTAAAGTTAGACTTTAAGGTGAAATTGTTCCGTCATATCATTTATCTACGTTTTCCTATCGTTCTAATTATATTGTAGTGCTTGGGATTTACTTAAACACCTAATTCTTTTCCATTATATCTACATAAAGCCCTGATATTTAAATTTGAAAGCAGTCTTTTAATTGTATCTATTTAATAGTGTAGATATCCTCATTTCATTTTATCATTCAATAGTGAAAAGGCTTTATTTCTATTAAATCAAATCCTTCACTTGAAAATTGGGCAATTCGAGGTGGTTCTATGTATTCTCCAGTTGGCTGAAGTATCTAACCAGTATTCGAGTGGTTTTTAGCTAACTCAGCTCTCTGAGAAGACCGTGATCGTACACACTGTTGACGAAGAATTCGACCTCAAACGAACAGGACAACTGTTTGGTGTTTAGAGGATTTTGGTATGACTAACAAGTACTGTTTCACTAACCGGTCTCCAACTACTCATTTTAGTCAGTAGTATAGTGCCGTTTTCACGAAATTAGAAGAAAAAACCTTTGAAGTCACATACTGCTCAAAATTATTGAAGAAATAAACATTCATATTTATCACAAATACTAATGGATGAAATCATAAGTGTGAATCTGTGGTGTTTAGTTATTTAGTCGATTGATTATTATTTGATAATATTTTGAAAAGTGGCTGTGCAGTAAGTGCTATGAACTTAGCGTCATTTTATGCACAGAGATTCATTTCAACAATAGGCATTAAAATATGAAGAAGAGAATGGTAACCACTATAACAAAGAAGGGTATTAGACACTTTGATGATTAGGGTATTTGCAGCTGGTCGCATATCGACCATTAAAATCCTGTGATAAACTTTAGGAATCCTTCTGACGTTTTAGTCTATGAGCTTGCATACATAACCTAGCTTTTTGGTTCACATGATGACTATGATTTCATTTTGTTTCAGATTTTGAACTCGTTTGACTACTTCTTCACTAGTGTATTTACTGTTGAAATCACATTAAAGGTAAGTTAACTGTGAGTATTCACGTACCTTATAGATTAATGATGTTTTCTTAATAAAATGAGTTAAGTACTGGTACACAACTAAAGTGATGATAATAATTATTTGGTAGTGGTATGCTAGCTATCAGTGATTGTTAACTTTTAGATTTAGACTTAAAAGAAACCAGACTCCATTTTTAACCTATAGATGTCCATCAAAGTCTCTATTGTTTCCAATCGTTTATCATAATTACTTATTCTCTTCATTTACCACTTATGGAACATTGCTCTTCTTCAGACGTTACAGGTGGAATTTAGTTATATCCGTTCTAAAGCACACATTACAGAAATCCCAACATTTTCAGTTAACGACATTTGCTTTGTTAATTCTCCTTAATTAACAGTATAGCTGGAGTGTAGAAAGAGAGTTGGGCACCGTACTTTTGAAAATAATGTCTACTGAGATAGTTTTTCTGGTGCGTAGAATTTATTACCGAAGCCAGTCGTCCTACGGACTGAATCTATGTGGTTGTCTGATATTTCAACACTAACCAGCTTCATTTTCATAGTTTAGTAAAAAAATAACTTCAAACTTGGTAAGATTATGTCATCATTATTTCCTTGAGTACGTGCGTAAAGAAAGCTTATCAGGACAAATATTTTGACTTCATATTTCAATAATAAGGTTCTCTGATTTCGGATCTACTTAGATAAATTATAAATAGTCCTAATTTCCGCTGTTATTAATTATTGCGATTGATGAGGCACAAATATTCTCTCAAAATATCTTGTTGATACAAAAAAGATAGCTCAAACTGTTTAAATGTATACTATCATAACTCACAACTATGCGTATGAATAGAAAGCGACAGTTGGAGCATACTCGCCAGCCATGCACGTGGTCTGGATTCGATTCCCTGCCAGTGTACTTCTAAACTTTGCTAACCACTAGTTAACCCGGAACAAAAGGAAGGCTGCGCATGATGCTAGCAAACTTGTAAAAAAACATAAAAACTATTGAAACCTCAAAGCTCAAGTTTGAAGCCCTATATTCAACAAGGAATGCAAAGAAATAAGAGAAAAAAATGTATAATGAATAATCAAAGGTTTCAGGATATAGAAATATTGATTAAATAAAACAATGTGGTCAGAATTTAATGCACTAGTGATTACTGTAAGAAAAACCTAATATCTAGAAATAGGTCTGAAAACAACAGTGGGAGTGGGATGATCAAAATACATAAGCGGATTTTAAATGAAGGTGTTTCCAAGCCATCGACACATATAATAAGTTGGTACTGGTTTATATTCATTACTAAATATTTCTGTTCATCAGAAACTAAGAACCACTGGTTGGCGAGCTTCCAGAAAGAAAAATAAGCATATAACACATTCCACTTGTAATGATTTAATCTTAACATGTAATTAGTAAATACGAAAATATATATAAACATAAAAGTTTAAACTTTATTGGATAGGCGCTTCTGTATATTGGGTGACTTCAGTGTAGTTAAAATCTTGCAAGTTGAGGAATAAGTATTAAAAATATTTAGATTACGGGGAAATTCTAAAATAAAACGAAACAGCTGACCAGTATTCTTTAGTTTCAAATGGTTGTCTAACTGATATTAACCCGTAGTCAGACGGAAAAGACAATCACATGCATCACAAGAAATAACAAAAAACTTCGAGTGAAAACATCCACTCATTATAATTAGTGGAATAAATCTATATACTGTTTCTGAACTCAGAAATTACTTTTAAGCTAGCAAAATACTAGCATTTTAGTTAAGTGTAATGCACGCGGTCAAACGCCTTCAGCACACCACTAAGAGGTTTCTATAGACAGATTTGAAATAATTGCCAGTATTTCATACAGAAATTCGGTTTTATAAATTTTAGTAGAGAAAGAACAAACATTGATGCAGAATTACACGGACTCATTCTATTTCCTTGGTTGTCATCAGCTGCATACAAACTATAATCTTTGACATATGAAAGTCAGCGTAAAATTTAACTTACTTTTATCATCAACAAACGTATTATAAGATTGTCATGGTGAGATAAACGTCACAATGACAAGGTAGATGAAGTGTAAATGTATATATATATATATATTGCTAGAGAGAAATTTCTGGGAAACTAATTGACAAGTTTGTTGTTAGGGTGGTAACGAGAATGAGTAACAGTTACATAGTTGGAAAATAGAAGGTCAAAATTTGATGTGCAATAGGTCAGATGAAAAGATGATGATATAATATGGTGAGTAGAATTCATAAGGTCAAGAAAAAAATTATCCCTTATGGAAGTCAAACAGAAGAAAAAGAAGTGGGGTTTGATGCAGCTGATAAGAATCAACGAAATAAAATGGATCCATGACATTCTGCACCAATGCTTGTTCTTTCTTTACTCGAATTGCCAGCACATTTTGTTATCATTTATTCTCGAACTTATTTCAAGTTTTGAAGAATTATTTTTATTGAACTGTGTACTTAAAAATATATATTCTAATAGAGAATTAGTTGGGCTGTTTGTTGATTTTGTAAATTTTCTGTTATCAAAAAAACATTTTTACAGGTGTAGCTCCAAGTGATATTACAGTTTCCTCATCCAGTTGTAATTTTTAGCATACTGTTCACGTCAATAATATTTATAATTCAACAATGTTTTTGAAGTCAGTGGCTTTCGATTCCACGTTTAATACTACCTAGTATAATACTACTACATAATTATAATTACATAATTATAAGTATAATTACTACTACATTGTACCTATATCCATATATAAACTTGTTTTTGTTACCTTTGTATATTTAAGATGATCTCCTATGGATTTGTCCTTCATGAAGGAGCATTTTGCCGTAGTGTATTCAATCTACTGGATTTAATAGTTGTGTGTGTTGCATTGGTTTCATTCGTTCTACAGTGAGTTTTACACATATTTACTGTAATTTTTTGAAACGCTTTACTTCTGAGTACTATTTCTGAAATAAATATAATGAGATTTCATCATGAGCTGACATCGGACCATTGGAAAGCCTGCAGGGAGTACTGTTTAAGTAACTGCTTCGTCCTAGTTTGGAACTCTTCATCAGTACGCACCCACCGGGGTTGGAACCCAGGACCTTCTGGTTACAAGGTAAACTCGTAGACCATTAAGCCACTGGGACCCGATCTTAATGCCTAGTTTCATGACTAGGTTTATAACTGTCCACATAAATAAATAAAAATTTTAAAAAATGCAGAACAAAAGAATATAGCTATTCCAAATTTCATTAATATCTGATTTTAAATTATATGTTAAACCAATTATGTTTAATTATGGTATGTACAATATGAGACAAAAAAATTAGAAATTTAAGATCAGCGGTACATTATGCGAGTGATGACTGACTGATACATCAGGTAGCAATGCAGTATGTCAGACTTGAACTGTACTGGGTCTTCGCTAGACGTCGGAAGTAGGTCCTGTGTCTGAGACATAAGATTTCCAGACTGCACATTTGTATCTGATTCGTCAACTCTGGATGAAATACTACAAAACTGAGGATCAAGTGATAGGATCTATATAAAATATTTCCCTTATTTACTGAAGAAATATGTCTTTAATTATTCCAGTATAACACTGTTTGACATTCAGATACGAATCCTATCTCTTTGTCCTAAGTTCTGTACTATTTCATCCAGAGTTGACAAATTAGATACAAAGGCGTAGTTTGAAAATCGTATGTCACAGACGCAGGACTTACTTCAGACATCTAGTGAAGACCTAGAACAGTTCAATTCTGCCATACAGTATTGCTACTATCAGTAGTTAAATGCGCCATGCAAACAACGACAAATAATATCAAAAGAGCATAAAAGACAATCGAATCAACTGTTGAATAACAAGGATACATCAAGTGACAAATAATTCAAAAAAGTAAGACACTGGATGGGCATTTCATCATAAAATAGTCACTATGTGAAACAGTTAAAATATCATTATATTGAGAGTAGCGGTAGGAAGAATAGGATTTTCAAGAAGTCAGTGTAAATAAGCATTAGTACTGTTGATTCATGGATGGTAAATATTTAGTTTGCAGTATGTACACTTATCGTTATTTGATTGTGAAACACTGAAGTAGTTTTTATCCAGGAGTCTGTTTCATCATGAAACGTGAAACATAGCAACTGCTGTCATTTTATAGGTGAAAACAAGGTTCTATTGAAAAAAATGTCTAAACAGGTACATTTTGGACATTATGTTCATTCACCTCCATAGTTTTATACCACTGACACAGAAATCAAATGAAATTATACACAGATTATTGCATAGAGAAAGGTTTAGGAGTTATTCCGTATACTTTATTTAGGTGATAACTACAGTAGTGTTAAATTTATCAAACTAGATATAGCTTATAATAATTGCAAATTATTTCCTGTGTCTGTAGTTCAGATGACAACCTGGCATAGTTTGTCTATAGATAGGTGAAAATGAAATTCTATTTCGGATGTTTCATCTCTATATATTACATTAGTAGCAGTGCAACATTCATTCCAACAGTTAAAAACAAACTGATGGGATCTACTCGATGAATGCAAAACATCAGGTAGTTGCCCTGATTGGACACTAGTTACTGACTAGTGTCCAGTCAAAGTATCCAACAGAATCCCACAGAAGGTCAGCCGCAACCCCAAATAGCTCAGAGGTAATGCCTTTGACATCAGCTCTGGGTGACGGGGGTTTCGAATCTCAGAAGGGACGACAGCTTTTTCAAGGTACGCCTTGATGACTGGCGAGTGCCAACTAGAACAAAACCTAGGTCGAAGGCTTCCTGCCTGAATCCTGCTTTCAAACATCTAATATCATCAGGTAGTTGCTATAGCAATTGTTACCGTGAAACTCCATGGTCTCTAAACACTTAGGTAATAAAAATATCGCCAAAACTGTTGCTGTAAGGCTAAGCTTGGATTTAATTATTGAAATAGAAATTTCAGACTTTGTGCTCCCTTTGTTGTTACCGAAGTCCAAATGATGTCCATTCATACCCTCAGTGTATGTTTTTCCGTTTTCGTACAGATCATATCTTTAATATTCCCTCATCTTACCATTTATTCTATTTAGACTAATAAGAATGCCAACAATCTTACTACTGTTGCTACTTATTAATGGTTTATATACTGCTGTGTTCTGTGAATAGAATGGTTTAATTGAGTAGCTATCTCTGTTTTTCAAAGAAACTTTCAAAGCCAAACTAGTCACTCATCTGTTCTTCAGATTGAAGTCATTACTGTGAACGGATTGTCTAGAAACACAATTAAAGCTTCACAATTAGGTCATCTAGCTCACAGAATACAATGATACTAAATACATCCACCTGAGATACAATATGCTCCCCATTTTCGCCATCCTTGTAATGATAATCTATTTCGTGTTATTTACTAGTCAATTCATTAGATGTCATATACATTTAATACATTCAACCATCTATTATTCAACGCTTTCATATTTTGTTTAAAACTTATCCTATCTGACACACAAAAGACTAACTTGAATACACCTATAAATCAAATCAACTACAGACCTAAAACTATGGATTAAATTAAAATTGCGAATTTCCTACTACAACTAAAATATATTTGATGCATAACCGGCTACCTTTATTATGAAATAAACTTGAATTTATACCTATAAAATCGAAATAGGATTTATTTCAAAAAATCTACTTTACCCAACTTTTGATGAGTGTTTTAAATCACGCCTAGGTTTCATCATGATTTTTTTTATGGGCGTTTATGTTAGCAGTATCAACATAAAATAAATTAACCCAAAATGAACAAATTTTATCTTTGGGTTACATTGTGTAGTGCATTTCCAACCAAGAATAATGTTAATTTCGTTTTTGTTAGTTGTAAATAAACTTAAGCTTCATTCGATGGTTTATTTTCTTTGTAGAAATCAAACAATTTCAGCTGTAAAAATTCTCAGAGTTCTCCGGGTTCTTCGTCCACTAAGAGCTATCAATAGAGCCAAAGGATTAAAGGTAAATGTCTCAAAAAATTCGCATTAATGCAAATAACCGTAAATATTCATTCCTTATCCTTTTTCATCGGAATGTTCCTAGTGAAACTGAAGGCTGTTTTTGTCACTATTTCATATCTGCTACAGACTCATTGGGTATCAGTAAGTACAGGAACACTTCCTCGCTCTACTTTGAGACTTCTCAGCACTGCCATTCTAACAGTTCATGAACGGTTCAACTTAGAATCTTTGTATAACAAGATTTTATTTAGTCACTAGTTCAAAATCCAACATCCTGGATAAATTCATTATTATTTATTCCAAAGATATTGGTAATATCACACCATAAATGTTTCGTTTTACATTGACTGTTTCTCATAGGAACTCAAAAGGTCTACTTCAATACTGGCTATCAATGAACATTCGTTATTATATTACTCCATTTGGACACTGTTAGGTAATCAATTGACTGGAAAATACTTCACCACAGTGACGCATCATCTATGAATCCCTGAAGATTACAATGATTACATTGTGTATTCCTAAAAAAATTAAATCGTCTATAGGAATGGACCGACAAAATGTTTAATTTTCTCACTTATATGCGATCTGAAAATGGAGGGCTATCATGTCTGACACTAAGATTCTCTTATTTACATAAATGCAGGATTAACTTCTCAGACGATTTATCTCTGTGAAGAAATGTAGTTTATGTGACCATACTTTGTTTAAGTGAACTAAATATTAAGTAGGTATTCTAATGTCTTTTTCACCATGGTATGGTCGCCGGCAAGCGTTATCCACCAGACCACTTGAGACGGACCATATATTTGCCAATCATGCATGCGATCCGGATTTCGATTCTTGGTCGACGCACTACTTAACCTCGAATAGCCGGCGTTGAGCCTGATAAAAAAGGGAGGTTATTTGTCAGGGTACGAACCCTTCTCCCTAAAAAAATAAATACCACTGCAAATTGAATTTCAAAGCTCAAAATTGAAGCCCTATGTTCCACTAGGAACGTGAAGAAGAAAACTTCTCATGTCTAGGTTATTTGCTGATCTATTCCTAATTGATCGCTTCTTTGTTTTCCAAAATACATTCACTATAAAGTTTGTTATCATCCCCCTCTTCAGTATATTTTAAATAGATGTTGAAACAGACTTCGCAATTTTTCAACAGATAAGAGGTTATATAAATTTCAAAACTGATTTACTGGTTCTCTTGGGTGAAATACACCACATATTCAAAACTGAGGAACTTACCAGTTTATATTTATCTTGTCTCAACTTCTCATGGGATCTCATTAAGTGTTCTTTACTTGTTTCTCACTTCTGTAATTTTGGTGAAAGGTCATTTTATTTTCATAGTTATCCTACATTTTCAATGGTTTAAATGTCACTCGGGTGTCTGAAATGCAATATTTGGGCCGTAGCATTGGTCACATTAACACGAAATGAGAGAAAGTGGTTTTCACTGTTTAGATCACATTCATTCCTCTGGCTATTTCTGGTGAATGGTGTAAATGGTTTCTGAATACTCATATACTTCTTTGATGTGTACAGTACAGAACATTTTTCCCTTCTTTGATACCTTTTGGGATATCCAGCGGATAATATAGTCTGATTCCATTAGTAACTTTACACTGAACTGCGTAATTTCTAAATGACTAACTGAAATAAATAATCACAGTTACTTTTACAGTTCCAGATAGATTGTTATTACATAATAAATAAGTTTACAATATAAGTTGAATGGTATTCATAATTTAAAAGTCTGAAGATTACCCCTCTATTTTACGATACTGTATCATAAATTTTACTTGGAAATAAATTTAATCCCATACTTAAATATTTATTTTTATTTAAAAATGATATTTAGCATGTTGTCCAGTGTATGGTTATCGCGATCAAAAGTATTGGTAATATTGTACTAGTCACCTTTCTGTTGGAGTTTATGTTTGCTGTTATTGGTGTGCAATTGTTCAAGGGAAAATTTTACTCATGCACAGATATATCTAAACATGTAGAAGCAGACTGCAAGTAGGTGTTTCCTCTTTAACTTTATTAACAAAATTTTTTTGATATTTGATTATTATGGACAGGAAAATTGTCACATTTACCACAAAATAATAAACGCTTGTTGAAATAAGATTTTAAGTTTATTCTTACCTTTTTATTATTATTTGAAAAAGAAATAAACAGCCAGCTCCGGGCAGAACATGATGCTTCAACATCACATCTCTACTCTGTTCTATTTTCTGCACTCTTCTTCAGGTGGGTACGACTGACCGCAATCTCTCTTCTCCTCCTCGCCACGTGATCTCCTCCGATTCACCCTCTCGCTGAAATTTTGCTTGTCTCTCCCCATTAGGATTCCACTCCAGCAATGACCTACACTGCGCATAATGTCATTCGACGGCCTTCTCAACGTATGTCCGACCTATTTCCATATTTTCCTACATATTTGTTGAGCAATCGGCACTTGCTGCTTTGTTCCTGGCCAGCCGGCCATTTAATCTTCAGAATGGAGCTGTAGAAGACAGACGTTGATGAAATTCTGCAACGGCCTGTTAGAAATCGTTTTCATGACATGCTGGCCAAGTTTCTGACCCATATAGGAGGACTGGCTTGACATTGGTATTGGCAATGAGAATCTTGTTCTTTATGCTCATTGAGTGCAGGAAATTTCCAAACTGATTTCAGGTTGAAGAAGGAGTATCTTGCTTTTCTGATTCTAGCTGGCTTTTATATCTTCATTCTTGTCATCCGCCTGTGGTTGAAACGATGCTTACTAGATAAGTAATTGAAGTAATCTCTTTCAGATCTCTTCCATTGATGGTGATTGGTACTGGTTGTTATTGCTGTTCGTTGGTTATCTTCACCGCCTCCGACTTCTGTATGTTCACTTGGAGTCCCGTTTTCGCCTAGAAGTCTTCGACTTTTGTGTGACATCAAGCATAAATCACCCATGCACGAAATGAAGGTCTTTTAGAGTTTAATTATCGGTCAGTCCAAAGTATTCCTATCTCCTCGCTCCCAACGCACAATCTGATGCATAATCCAATCCACCACAGTTAGGAATAGCATTGATGATAATCGATAGCCTTGTCTTACTCCTATCTTCATTCTGAACGGCTCGCTGAGTTTTCAGTTGTGGATTACCTGACTCTGTGAAAATTAGTCAACAATTAGTTCAGTCTTCGTTGGACTACATGGTTTTACTATCTATTATGATAGACATACTTCATCTTAAAGATCAAACAAGATACAACAGATTAAACTTGAACAAGTTGCATATTGTATTCTCTTTTAATCAGTTACATTTCATAAGAGAATGAGACAAAGTATATACATATATATATATTAAAAATAGTCTGAATAATATCATTTATCTCCGTAATATTAATCTACTAGCATAACTGTTTCTCTATTTCTAATGTTCAAATGTATTTTAACATTTTTAGAGGTCAATTTATTGAATACAAAGATATGAGTTTGGATAACCCTGTTCTAAGTGAAAGAGAATGGAAAAATTCTGACTTTAATTTTGATAATGTACCGAATGCACTACTCACTCTGTTTGCAGTTTCAACATTTGAAGGTTGGCCTAGGTAAGTGTAAATAAAAGTAACAATAATAATAATTCGTTAAAAAAACTACATTTAATTATTTAGATTAGTAAATTACAGTGGAAACGTTTTAGACCAGTTGAAGTGAGACAGAAGTTGTCATTAAAGTTTGGTGATTCATTGCTGTCTATCGCCTTAACACTGGATTTTCATACGTACTATGGAATGAAAGTCATTCCTCAGTGGTTACACAGCAATGAATATTAATGTATATTAGTCCAATGAATGAGTGAAATGAATATTTTAACTGTAATTATTTATATAATAGGTGATAATTGTGGAACAAATAGAAATCTGGGTATAAGCAGGATTTTAATCACTGTTCTGTTATGTTTTGCCAGCTAAGCTACGTAACATAATTGCTTAACAGGTTAATACTATTGGTAATTCTTATTCATCAGGTAGATGAACGATATTTTACGGTCCATTTATCATTCCATCAACCAACTACCTGGGTCTTCTGCTGTCACTTTTAATAACACTGAAATAGAAACAAAGCAGCAAGTTGCTAGCTGTTTGTAAAACTATCTGAGAGAGCTTCGATTTGGCAGGTTGTTTTCATCAACTGTTGCATCGGTAGTCATTTTTAAACTCAAGACCTGCTTAAGCTGGCCATTTTTAAATTGGACATTTCCGGGTAGAACCTCCCCACGGATTTTATTGGAGTCTTATAACATTCAGGTCATATCACGTTATTTGCTTGGTGTCATAAATGACAAATAAGAAAGTAAATGAAATAGTGACATCGTACATACCACTAATCCATTCAGGTTGTTGTAAGCAGGTTATGTCAATCATTATTGTTTTCTCGTTAGGTCAAGGTGATCTAAACACTGAATAGCTGCTTCAGTCATTTTTGGCCAAGTTCATCAGGGATTGCACTCGGCTATTTTCTGGTGTACTGTGTTTTACATCGTGTTTTTCTTAATGTACATATGTATATATATAGTGCCTTCTGTTTTCTGTATGTGGTATCGTTAAGTATTAACGCGCAATCTTGGAATTAGTTTCTCGTCTTAATTGATAAAATAGCTTTACTACAAAGGGGGTTAGACGTCATCTTGTATTTTTAGAAACGATGCATAATACACTGTACAAGTATTTTAATCATGGAATTCAGGACTATAGGATGAATTGACCAGCAGAACAATAATCACTACCCCATCTAAAAAGCAAAAGTATTCAGTGGGAATGACTCACTTGATTTACCCACAAAAATAAATATTTCTAATACGAAAGGAGAAAACAAACATAAAATTACAAACTACCGTGGCTCTTGAAGAATAGGGTTCTTTGTTATAGTACAGGACCACATGCATGAACATTGTGTGATCCTATAGTATGAAGGCTGAATACTTGTGTTCGTCACAGATGTCGGTTATAAAAATTCTATCTTTTCTTTATGAATTAGTTTGCAGCAGGTATTTCGAAGATTTATTGGAAACTGCTAACAGCTAACCATTTGAACTTTTACGATTCACACATATTTATAGTAATTGGTTAAGAGACTAAGTTTTTGACTGAACTCTTTCATTGTATCACTTGCATTCCGTCTACGTATGCTTTTGGGAAGCAGAGTTCGGAAAATAAAGAAATATAATATTAGACTAAGTGACTAGTTGAATTAGTTATATTCTAATAGTTTTATTGAACATACTTGTCTTAGCTTCGGTAGTTCTGTGTTGTAATATTTATTCGATGGAAGTTTACATTGATAACTGGACTGAATAAGCAGTAAACCGTCAGTGATATTGCAGTCAAGGCCTTAGGGAATATACTTTTATATACAACATACAGAACGATTACAAACTCTTTGTGTATTACATAGCTTAAAAATAACTAGATAAGTGAGAGTGTAAAGCATCAACTAGATATAACACTTAAAAAGAAGTACATTGTGGTAATTGATACTTCAAACTAAACTATATTCATATTACACGAAAACTTTCATTACCACTGTCAAGAAACTTAACCCTAAGGTCCTATTATCTCCGAAGACGCTCGAACTGACAATTACTGAGTACAATATTGACCTTAATTCCAAAACAGAAGGACTTGTATTAAGTTTTACTGTTCGGCAGTTAAAGTCAATACTGTGTACAAAGTCTATAAACAAATGTTTTAAAAGGAATGTACAGTACTTTTATTCATATTCCTTCGTCTACTTCCAACTTGTACACGATTGAATCATTCGTGCCTTCAAGTCGCCCGCCAGTGGCGACCAAGGCCAATGAACCAACGTTCAATGTCCACATATATTTACAACCACTTTAAACTAAAAGTATTACACAAGGTTTGAAGACTGGCTACCCTGTTTACCTAGACCTTAGACTGTAGATGTAGTTTTCACAGAGGAAGACTCATTCCATTTTAGTGAAAACAAAACACGTAGTTCAATGAAGAGTCTCTTTTCCACGAACTCCATTTTATACATCAGTTCCTCTGCTACCGTATTAATCATTGTACTTTCACGCTACATAAGTGAATAGATTTTTTGTGATTTATATACTTTCCCAGTAAAACATAGGGCTTCAAGCTTCGATTTTAGTGTTTCAGAAACTGTGGTATCATCCTTCTTCTTTTTTAACGGATTGGTATTGCTAGTCTTACGTTCAACCCTCCTTCTATGTGGTGCTTGAATCCTGCTAAGAAAGGTAAAGGACTGCTCCGGCCAGCATTCGAACGCCGAACCACGTGCATGGTTTACAAGCATTTTACCGATGAACCACCCATACAGTATATATATATATATATATATAATCGCTCATGACGTTATTCTTTTTATAATAATTTCCAGTAGTTTCAAACTAGGTATTTTTTTGTTTATTGGCCAAAGAAATTATTGCATCACAAATGTCATTACATATCTCCAGTTTCGTGAACTCCTTTTTTTCTTTCAGTTTATTGTATAGATCTATTGATTCAAATGCAGAAGATCAAGGTCCAATAACAAATTACAGACCAGTTGTTGCATTCTTCTACATAACATTTATCATTCTCATTCCATTTTTTATGATTAATATATTTGTGGGTTTTGTCATTGTGACATTTCAAAAAGAAGGTGAAGCTGAATATAAAAACTGTGAATTGAATAAGAATCAAGTAAGAAAGAAATTATGTTAAACAATATTTTTACGCTAAAACTTAATCAATATACATGGATTACGTAATAAATACAAATACATTTGTAAGCTGAAAGCAATATTCAAGAGTTTGTTAGTCGGGATTTGATTTATTTCAAGTTTGGTCACGGACTGATATCATTTAGAGAACTATTAAAAAACAGGAAGTACTGGGCAGCTGTTTCGCCCCAGTTTAGTACTCTTCAGTAATGCGCACCCACTGGGGTTCAGACCTGCTCGAATTGTGAATTGTTAGCAGTTAGAATTCATCGGCCACTAGATCGGATCCGAGTGGCTGAATGGTCAAAAGGGTACTGGGTATATATAACATTATGTTGCTCATTCTTGTGATGACACATTCTTGTTGATGACAAGGTGATTACTAAACTGCAAACGATGATGAAAGTTTAGAGTTGTTGTGTTATCTCAGCTGGGTAATTTAATTGCAAACTTTCATTCTTCAACTAGACAACATTTTCAGCACTAACTTTAGTGAGGCATTTCTTCTTTCCATGATTGTAAAACAAACAAGTTTCTACTGGTGCTTCAGAAGATTTATCGCAGACTAGATTCGGATTTCTTATATAAGCTTATTATTATTATGTTGAGCTTGAGCACTTATCATAATTGAATTCTGATGGTATTTACCTGTTACTCAGTTTTATTTAGCACAATTATTATTTTACCTCAGTTTTAATAAGTATGTGCAGTATTCTCTATGTTTGTTTTTATTTATTTAGCGTAAATGCATAGAATATGCATTAAAAGCCAGACCACGTCGACGTTACATTCCCAAAGGACATTTACAGTTTAAAATATGGTCTGTTGTTGTGTCGAAAAAATTTGAAATATTGATATTTATATTTATTTTTATAAATACTGTGGCACTGATGTTAAAAGTAAGCAAATGGATTAAAATTTGTATGTTCCTTTTAACCTAATTAATTTACTCCTTGTTTGTCTATCATTTAACTTAGATTATTTTGTATGGTTTTATAAAGAATAATAGAACATTTATCAGTCAAAATGTCTTTAAAATTTGATTCATCATCTATTTTATGAGTAGAATTATGTGATCAATATATGTCGATGTAGTCACCTGAGAATCGTATCAATTATAAATATTGGGAGAGGAAACAAAGTTGTTGTCAAATCTTGACTATATTAGATGGTTGGAGGTAATCGGCAGAAAGCCTTGAACCTAGGGTAGCATATTTGGCTAACAGAATTCAGTCTGCACCAAAGATAGGACTAGACACATTACACTAGTTGTTAACTACTATGCAATCAAAGAACATTTTTCCTTCACGTTCCCAGTGGAACATGGGGCTCCAAGCTATAGGCTTGAAGATTCCGTAGCAGTGTTGATTTTTTACAGGATGGGGTTGCTAGCCTCATGCCCAACCTTTCCTCTCTACCAGCATTATTTCTGGCTTAGCGAGGTAAAGGTGTGCGCCGGCCGGGGCTCGAACCCCGGACCATGGGCATGGTCGGCGAGCGTCCTAACCACTGTGCCACCGACACAAAGAATCTTGACTGTATATACATAAATGGCATTTATGCATCTCTTACTTTAATGATCGTACCTGTCTAATCGTCTTGACAAAGTTCAAGCATGTATATAATTTTTTACAAGTGTTTCTAATGTATTACAAAGACTGGATCTAGTAAAAATTCTCTGAAGAATTATAGTTTATTTTACGAATAGAGTAAAGTAAATATATTTTTACTCTATAAATTTTCGAAATCTAAAAAACTTTATTTATACAGGAAGTACTTTACTTCTTATGTACACAAATCCTTTATCATTTATTTGCAATCCATGTTTTATTTTATCCTTTGCTTGACTGGACTGAGATGTTCGGCCTCCGCTGAACTGTTGTCTCCTTGTGCAGATGCTTCAATGATGTACGAGGACTTACTTAAATTAATTTGGTGGATGCAGACTAGCATTGGAATCCAGGAGGAGCATTTCATCCTATTTGGAACTTGTCATCTGGAGACTACATATCAACAGAGGCCTAACATCTCGGTCCAGTCAGATGACGGGAAAATCAAAACTGAATTGAAAATAAATAATAACTGACCACCGTTACACGAGAGGTGGCTTTCGTGGTCCAAAAGGGTTTTAGTGGATAACGCTTTGGTGTTTGAAAAGATGGGTACTGGCTTCGAGCCTCAGTGAGAACATTATCACTCTCTCGAGAATGCAAGCACATCCAGACGACGATTCCTAAATAGTGCATCTTGGATTCCACTCTTAATCACCATACACCAAATTACTTCGAATGGTGTTGTAATTTAAATTAGTAACGTTTTAAATAGAAAGCAATATGAAATTCAGCTGATAATTTTACCATCGGGGAAGAAAAGATATTCTAACTTACGTTTATAGCTAGTCAAATTATTATTATTTAAATACAGACATTATTGGCACCAAGAGGTAAGACAAAAATATATCTATGGAAAATAGGGATAGAATAAGTGAGGCGCAACATCCATGAGTCAATCAAGAATACTTTTTAAGAACACTCAAACGAAACGTAAAAGCCGCAGCATGTTCGCTACTGATTACGATTCATATTCATGTCTGATGGTGTCTCAAGTCACCGATCCGAATTTTCACGAACCCTATTCAAGTAGTTATGATGCTTAAACGGTTGCTAATGTAACACAAATATCCTTCGTCCAGAGATCTCACGTGATAGTCTGAGGACCGTTTCGCTTTTTCCGGCCATTCCCAGAGGAGGTGAACAGCGAGCAGTATGAAAGCCTTCAGAATGACATTCGTAGGATATGTCAGAGCCACCACAATCAGTGTTCCAAGATGACCAAACTCAAAGAACGATGACCCCAACCATGCCCAAATACACTCTGGTGGGTCTCAGAGTTATTTTCACACGGTGATGACATCATGGGCAAGCAATCCTTCAAAGGTGGCAGCGATAATGAAGTATTCAGAGTCACCGCATATCCTCATCTAGTAGGGATCATATTTATAAGTAGCCTACTTTAGTTTTAATATTTGATTCGTATTTAAGTAAATTACAAATAATTAAAGGATCATTACCTATATATAAATTATTATTATATGTTACTCAGATTGCTTTTCTCTGAAATGTTGAAATGAATACTTTGCATATATGAAATCTGATATTATTTTTATTATAGTATGATAAACAAGGTAAATACGAAGCAAAGATATTGGATTCATTCAATTATTTCTTTACTGCTGTGTTCACTGTAGAATTTGTCCTACGTTTGTCTGCATTCAGTTTTCGAGTAAGATATATGTGTATATATTTTCTAGTATTTTTTCAGTAATATTAATTTTCCTTTTATTATATTTTACTTCTGAAATAATGCACTTATTGTGAACAAATTAACATATTTTGTATAGTATTATATGCAATTTTAGAATTTCAATAGGTGCGTTTAAGTTTTGGAGAAATATGAAGACATAATCTAGTGTAGTGCATGTTTTACGATATATATATATATATATATATGTATATATATATCGTACACTGAGGCAAAAAATGAAGTAGAATTTGTAAATAAAACTTGTTGAATGCTGTGAAAATGCAAACGACTGACGGAGACATCTTTGACATCATCAGATACACAAAGGAAATAAAAAAGGCATTGAAGAAGTTCTGTGAAATACACTAAGTAAATTCACTTACATTGATCTGGGTTAGATATAATATGAGAAGGTGTGAGAAGAATACAATATTAACCATTTCACAATATTACCGTTATTTTAACACCTTCATTTCCGGATTTAAAGTATTGTTTGTCTTTTTTGACATTTCAATTACTTTTGCATCTAACACATGGAAATGGGTATTGATATTCATGGGGTTGTTATTATTATTAGTACTTCCTTGGGTACCGAGTGGAACGTCTAAATTCACCGGTATACAGTCATTTCACTCTATTCTCTTCAGTCATACCTAGCTGGCTCCGAGACTGCCTATAAGCTTTCACCTCTTCCTCACACGATCTCCCCTATGTCAGCCTCGAAGTGACTTTCAACTCGTCATTTCTCTAATGGACTTCACTTAACATCCTGGAGTATGGAGTTACTTAATGGTCTCTCCAGTGTATGTACGGTACAGTTCCACTTCCTCCTGAGTGTTTGTTCAGCTCGTAGAATTATTGTACATCGATAATAAATATTGAGGATGATTTTCATATGAAAGAACTTCTAGAAAGTTTGTTAGTTAACAAAAAAATTAAACAAGAATTAGAATATTTTCTAAATAGTTAAAAAGCAGACAGTTAGAATTCAGTCAGCACCAACATCAAGGACACTGGATTCACCTAATGTATCCATACAGTAGGAGACTACTTATCAACCAAATTAGCACAGTAACAACGTTTGGGGCTACAGCATTGGGTGACGTGGGTTAGAATTTCAGAGGGAATACCACATCGCTCAAGGTTGCAGATATACCTTACTGATGGGTGACAACAAGGACGAAATTTAGGTTCAGGATTCCTGTCAAATACTCCTAACTATCCAACACCGAAATTTTTGAAACCTTTATTTCAAAAATCACATAACTAAAAGTAAGCAGATATATGAGAAATAAACTACTTTCTCCTGTTCACTATCATCTGATAATATGTGAAGATAACCATAAGCAACAATATACGCAAACGAGTTACTTTTGAAAATGTCATGAACATTCACATCACGAGTTTATATATTAAACGGTTGGTTGTGGGTTAACTCTCCATTCAAGTGATGGTAATTCCTCAATTCCAAAAGATTTTTCGTCAACAGATTCAACTAGCCAGAGACCGTCCTCACAAGAACTACCATGAGTACATGAAATTATTTTTTGATCTTGGTTCTCAGTATTTTTTCCTTAGCCGAGTTATTCTCAAAATTTCTACAAGTTACAGTCTATTCTGATTATATTTTAGCATAAATTATTCACTTCCTTTAAATATCATGCAAAACAGAGATATTTTAGAAAATCTTTGAATATTTTAATTATTATCTCACTTAACAGATACTGAACCGTAGTAATATTTTAAATAAATATTTTAGACTTCATATAGGATTATTTTCTAAGTATTAAAAAACTTATTATCTGTCATGTGGTCAGTTACTTTATTTTGTCATCTTAACCATAGTGAATTATTATCAGCTCATTTGTTAATATATCTTGAATTTGACAATGCATTCTTTGCACCCAATTTAATCAGCTTTGAAGTTAGCGTTGAAATAATTTCACTAAGGAATTTAACTAGGAAGTAATTGGTGAATTTTCAAATGTATTTGATGATTATTCTGTCGTTAGATAGCATAAGCAGACTTTCTATCTGGGTTCGACCTATAGTAGAACCCTACATTTTTGTCACATCTCTTCTCTTCCTTTGTGTATACTTCTCCAAAGTATGGTAACTGGAACTGACTTACTTCTGTTCAGTATTTGTATGTATTCCATCAATCATTCAATCCTATTGCTTGTTATGTTTAATTTGTATGTTTGTGTGTGTGTAATGCTAAATAATGATGTGAGTTTAAAGAGGGTGGTACTCATTGTTCTAATTTCAACGAATAACCCTTGCTCCGAATGTTAACCTTTTTCTAACTGACTTTAGGCTTGTCGCGAAAATATTTACTTCTTACTAGTGTTTAATAAAACTAGCAATTCGCTAATTAGTAACTGATGTGAGCGGTGTCCAGCTACTCATTTCAATCAGTCACTAGTATATGGCGTCATACGTTCATGCTTGCTTTCTCGATGAACAATAACGTGTAAATTTCAGATCACATGTTAATTTGCAAATTGCGGATTTTACTTAATTTATTACCAGTTCACCGAAGTGACTAGCCAGAATTCAGGTGGTTTCAACTAACTCGGTTGAGCTCAGCGTCATACGAGCAAAACAGCCGTCCAATGTTTATTTCACTCTGATCTAGCTCGTAAGCATTACTATTTGATATGAGTGATGTGAAACTACTCATGTCAATCAGTTTTATAGCGTCATGTATCCTACTTGTCTTTGTCCTATTTGCTTTCCATCAGGTGCAAATGGTATTTAAATATATTCAAAATACCGATATAAATAATAAGATGGTTAGATTCCTCTTTCGGAATCTAATATAAAATTTCAGCACTGTACGGTACTCACTACTTATATTCCATGATCTTACTACACTATACTCACTATAACCAAATTATGCATCTGCTTTTCTTCACTTGTATTACAGCATTATTTCAGCGATATATGGAATGTGATTGATTTTGTCCTAGTTCTGGGAAGTTATATAGACATAATAGTTACACAGGTAAGCTGATTTATCTGAACGATTTACCACTTTCAGTAAAAATCATAATCCGCAAATACTGATGCATTACTGAGTTAATTAGATGTATTTATTTTGTAGATACCTGTAGTTTTAGTGCTGATTAGTTGTCTATTTTTTTTTAACCGTAAAACACTTAACTATCAAACTGTCAATCTGCCAAATGCATAACTGTTTGAATTATAAGTCAGTATGAAAGAAGAATATTCTTTTCAATGAATTTTCTCCAAATTCTTAGAATTGTAATGTATAATATCTATCATTTCGATAACAGTTATTTGTACACAGAATAACAGGTGAGTTATATATGATGACAACAGAGGCCGAACATTCCAGTCAAACCAATCAACAATAAAGTCAAAATTGACTTGAACAAATAATAACTGATATCTGTTGCATAGGAGGTGGGGCCTGTGACCCAAGTGATTTAGTGGATGACATTCTGGTGTTTCAAACAATGGATGCTGAGTTCGGGTCCCAGTAGGAACACTGTTACTCATTTAAAATAAAGACATATCCAGATGATAAGTTCTAAATAGGAAGAAATGCGTATCATGGATCCCACAGCTAGTCACCAATCACCGGAAAACACCATGTTAGCTCTGAAAAGTCATCAAAGTGTCCGTACTAGGAATCGATATGTCAGTAGAGGCCGAACATTTCTTTCCAATCAGTCAATGGGAATATTAAAACTGACTTGAATAAATAAATAGTATTTATGTGACTTATCTGCTGGTTTGAATATAATAACAAAATATTGTGAAACGACAGCTGATGATGTTGACTAGTCATAAAAGATACTGCTGAATGAGGAGGGATAACTGATAAGTTCGAGATTCGATCCTCTGCCGACGCACACCTGATATCTATGGTCGGCCTGCAAAATTTGGGCTACCGATATGCACGCTGATAATTCCACACTTGTACCAAAAATACAGTGTGGAATCAAGCTGTAATCAAAAATAAAATAAAAAATAAATAATAAGTCAGTTCAAAAAACATGTTTGTTGAGTGGCTAGCACTAAATAGGAAATAGTAAGGCTGTGGTGAATAGCTCATCATAAAATAATCAACATGTGATATTATCTAAGTGGAATCATTAATCACAGATCAACATGACTTTCTTAAAATTTCTTTTACGTTCCCGGTGGAACATACGGTTTCAAGCTAGAGGTTTGAAGTTTCGGTAGCAGTGGTGTTTACTTTTACAGGATGGGGTTGCTAGCCTCATGTTCAACCTTCCCTCTTTACCAGTCTTGATACTGGCTTAGGCAGGTTTTGGAGTGCGTCGGCCGGGGATCGAACCCAGGACCATATGCGTGAATGGCGAGCATACTACCACTGTGCCACCGACACATAACTTTTTAGTATCTAAATAAATTGAATGCTAGAATGAAGGGCGTAAGGTGTAAAACATTGTTACTAAAACTGTTTAGACTAAGAGAAAAGAAACCAGAGGAAGAAAACTTTCGGATGAAGAGGAAATTTTAGTTTAACTTTAGCCCCGGTAAGAAAAACGTCTGTTCATGTTCTTTCTGCTCGTATTACAACAGGTTCAGCTTTATGTCGAAGACGTAGGCAAGCCGTATATGATAATGACTTTGAATTATGGTATACACCCCAAAAAGGCAATGTTTGCACCGATAAAATAGGTAGGAGCATTTGAAGTATTGCTTCACTATGATGTAATCACTTCTAAATAGTTAATTTAGCAAATCAACACATTTGTAGGTAGTATCACACTTAAATAACAGAAAACCAGAAATCGCCAAAATTTACTACAAAGAGTTTTGTAAATGTAACTCGAAATCAGAATCAATAAAGGGAATTGTCTATTCCTGGGTTTTTACTCACAAAAATATGCTTAAGTGCATTTGATCCTTTAAGCAAGACAATTTTTTAAATAAACAATTAAACTGAGAAACTTCTTTTAAAATTGTTGTCACTGTGTAGATTAAAACGTTTGTTTTTATTGTTGAATTGAATTTTTGATTTTCCCGTCCAATCAATCGACGGGAAAATCAAAAATTCAATTCAATAATTAATATGACCCGTTGCACAAGAGGTGGCTCTCGTGGCCCAAGTGGTCTAGTGGATAACGCTTTGGCGTTTGAAACTACGGGCACTGGGTTCGAGCCTCAGTGGGAACATCATCACTCACTGAGAAATGCAGGTACATCCAGCTGACGAGTCCCAAATAGGACAAAATGCGCATCCTGGATTCCACTGCCAGCCACCGTCCACCAATTGTATACTAATTTGTTTTTATTGTGTTTGAAATTAAATTATTAAGATAATTTCCTAGTCTTTATATCTTTTATGCCTAGATTTTAACTTTACATGAGTCTCACATGTTAGATGCCCTTCAAAATTATGTAATAATAAGCAAGCAAGCAAGCTGAAATGGTTAATTGTAAAGAGTTTCATAAGGGTAGGGTCACAGATATTTTCACCATAAGATTAATAGGCATACTACTACGATCATTCAAAAAGTGAAGATATTACAGGGATTTAAATATATATATATTATATGAGTGGTATGCAACTGCTTATCTCAATCAATCAGTAACATATACTTTTACTCATTTACGCTTGGCTTCTAGATTACCATTTATGTCATTAAGCTGACCAGAAATTGCCATGTGAATAGTCTTGGATATTTTTATTGGATACTAGTCAGTAAATGGAGTAATGCATCTAGTTCTATTTTTAGTGCAGAGCGAATTCCATCAGTCAGGTTTGCAATGTTGTAGGTACACCTTGCTAATGAGTTCCAACTAGCAATAAACCTAGGTCGAAGGCTTCCTGCTGATTGCCTCCAACCATCCAATACAAACAAAATCTATACTTAACTCCATATTAGATAAGTAAATTTACATATCACACAGTGATACGGCATTAACAAGTAGATGACGTTTCGAGCCTAAATTATTGCTCATAATCTATTAGTAGAACTATGTAAACACACCATATAGATAGTGAACATATAGTTGGTGTTGATAAGGTTTTGATGTTAACAACTAACAATGCCTTGAACTGTATAAATTCAGAATTTTATTTGTTAAAATGTCAACTAATTTGTGGATTGTAAATTTGATTTATGAAATTTTTTGTCTGAAAACTATACGTTACATATTCCGCTCTTGTCAGATATTTTTAGAAACTATTATCACCTAATAAAAACATGCGAAATTTTTATGTAATATTAAACTACCAATAAATGTTGACGAAAGATATATATATATATATACTTTATCGACGAAATCATCTTCAGAGGCTGTACATTCGTATTTATGTTTACTAAAAGTGTATAGTAGGGTATACTTCAATAACTAATTCACTATAACTACTTTCATATGTTCCTTTTGCACATTTTCACATCCTCATCACACTTGTTAAACGGACACTCAACTACCTTTATTCTCACTCAACAGAAATTTTAACCTCATCAAATTTCTAACCATTTCTTCCTTTGTGCCGTAGTGTTAAGTAATTCACAACTTTTATTTTTACTTTTGAAGCCACTTCTAAGTAATTATGTCAGTTATGTCACCCCTCTTGTTACTCAACAATGGACTACTACACATTTTTGGTGAATATAAATACGACTATACAGCCTATGAAGATGATTACGTCGATAAAGAAAATCTTCTTCCCTGAGTTGTCTTTTATTATCTTCATGACGCAATGGATATTCTCCATGATATATTTACTTTTTAAAACAGAATTTTGTAAATATATAACACAGAAATTCAAACGGTAGATAATAACCTGAGAATATTAAAAGTTATGTCATAGTTTATAGGTATTCAAGACTTTTCACAAATGTAGCACATGAAATGTCCTGAAAATTCAACCATATTTATTCATATTAATAACCTTTACATGTTCAGCACAATGTTAGAGAGAGTAAAATCAGCTAAAATTGAGTTTTCATGTAGGTAATAAATACTCACGACACTAAATATTACTAGAGTATAATTCTTACTTAATCTTTTCCAGAAAATGTTTCTTGACTAACACAACTTATTCAAGTATTAATTTGTAGGGTTTTGATTGATTTGTTACAGGATTTCATCACCATTGAAACCCGGTGAGTGCGTACTACCTATGAGTCCCAAACTAGGCTGAAACAGCTGTGCAGTTCTCCCAGGTTTTCCAGTGGTTCTCTAACCGATGTCAGCCTATGATGAAATCCTGTAACCAACCAATCAAATCTCTACAAACCAATACTTGAATACCAATAAGGTGCTCACTGCTGACTGGCCATTTTCAGGTCGGCAGTTAGTTACCTGGGTTCTAGTGTGAAGTCATGACCAGTAGGATATAAAAGGTAGGGTGTGAGGATAAATACTCACTGAGGACATGGGCTAGTGGCCACCCCATTAGCAGAACTCGGAATTTATGGACTGGCCATTGGATCGGGTCCGAGTGGCTTAATGGTCTACCAACTCGCCTTGTAATCAGAAGGTCCTGCTTTCTTACCCCGGTGAGTGTGTACTGCCTATGAATTCCCAACTAGGCCAAAACAGCTGTCCAGTACTCCCTGCAGGTTTTCAAATGATTCCCCAACCGATGTCAGCTCATAATGAAATCCTGTGACACAACTTACTGGGATGTAGAATGTACTGATGCAAATTTTGATATTTTTATTTATCTTTTTCTGTTTAGTCTGATATAAGTCAAGTGAAATTTAGTGTAAATTTCTTCCGATTGTTTCGCGTTATGCGATTGATTAAATTGTTAAGTAAGGAAGAATCTATACGTCAGCTGCTTTGGACATTTATTAAATCTATTCAGGTAATTAATTTTCTTTTACTATGACTATTATACAGAATTTGTATTCAATATTTGTGTAACTGTGGCATCAGTGTTCCTCTTTGAATTCATGAATTGATATAATAACTCTCCAGTTAGTTTGTTATAGTCCTTTAAGACAACTTACATTTCCCACTGATTGACTGGGTGCTGATGAGTCAAAAAAAAATTGAACGAGATCAGTATCCTGCATTATACTGCAGGCCTTCAGTAATCAGATAACATCTTGTTATAATTCTCGTTAACTGATTTGTCAAGTAAATAGCCGATCATCTAAGATCTATCTGTTATTGGTTTGTTTACATTGACTTTAAAATCATAAACATTAGAATCCCAAACAATTATATAAAATAGCTGTTACCAAGATGCCATTTTTATCTGTATCTTGAGATGATGATATCATCCACAGTGAAAGGGACAAAGTTACTATGGGGTCTCCTGTAAGACCTCCCTTAACTGAAATCCTCATGACAAACTCAGAGAATAGTTCACTGAAGGGAACTATCTTAAGTGTGCATGTTTGTGATGATAACTGTCCAACTGCTAGCCTCCTTGGAAATTTTAATAGCCGTCAGTCGTGTATGCTTTTCACTACTGTAAGACAGATTCTATATTTTACTTATATTATATGTTACGATAGACAGAAGAGAGGAATGTAAAGGTCCATGTGCCAAAAGCCAGAATTTACAGGGCAGTACACTAATGTCAGCAGTTGGCTACCTCTAAATAGAAAAATAAACCATGTCTTTTCTATGTGTCACAGTATTCTGAAAGTTTACTCTAAGAATATGATCGGTAAAGAACTTCGTACAACGTATAAATAATGGATATGCTAGAAGGTTCGTTGAAAGAAATATGAGGAAAGAAAACAATCCCATTTAAGATTTTGAAGTTCAAAGGTAACACTACTACTGAAATAATTAAAAGCCGTCAATCCAATTATTTCCAAGTCACTTTTTATGCCACTGACTTACACTTCATGTTCTTGACTTGGAGTATTATTCGACAATACGTGAAGGACAAACTGTCTCTAAAGTCCACCTACAAACAACACGAAGCAAGAGAAGAAGGAATATCTTTATAGACAACTACAAACAGTAATGGGAAACATCTCGAATGATGACATCGAAATCCTTATGGGCGATGTGAATGTAAGCCAAACTGATAGCAGCTAACAAAGGGAGAGAACTTATCATGGGTCGAGAGCTTCTCACTTGAGGGAATGAATGAGGACGAAGAATTATTCTCCAACTTCTTCACTTTCAATGATTTGGTAATCCAAGGCACCGTGTACAACCACAAGGATATACTCAAAGCAACATGGATTTCACCTGACGGACACACTAGAAACCAGTCGCTGAATGGTCTAAGAGCTTGACTTGTAAATGGAGGGTCTTGTGTGGGTGCTTACTGGTTATGAGTCCCGAAGTAGAACGAAATAGCTCTCAACCACTCCATGCTGGTTTTCATTGGTTCTCTAATTGATATCAATCCGTGGTTAAACTTGAAAAACTAATCAACTCTTGAACATCTTTTTTAGTCATTGCTTAATAAAATAAATGAACCAAAGGTTTTCTGATGTTTTTATGTAAACACGCAGTTCTAATTAACTATGAAGCTAATTATTCTATTTATATTATTGTGCCGAATTTAACTGTGAATTCAATATAAAATTAATTTCCAGTTTTGCTAAATTTGAAAATTTTCAGTTCCATATATATAATTAAAGCATTCATCCAACTAAATGTTTTGTTTATCATTTTAGGCTTTACCGTATGTTGCTCTACTCATCGCAATGATATTTTTCATTTATGCTGTGATTGGTATGCAACTATTCGGTCAAATATCAATTGACGATAATCCATTAGAAGATGAAGAATGGCCTATTCTGCATAGAAATAATAATTTCCAGAATTTCTTTTATGCTCTTCTAGTATTATTTCGGTAAGCGTGAAAAAGGAGGTTACTTATTGAAATTTAATTCTTTTTTCCTTCCCAAGAAGTCAGTTGTATTATAAAATGGTGAATGGTTCTACATGTATGCATTTCCTTTCACTTCTTTCTTAACTGAATAATACTTTATTTTGGTTGATAGTTGTTAGCGATGGAGTCCAATTGCCTCATTTCGTCCTCATTGGTTTATTTAGCTGTAGGTACTTATATCTCTAGCGAGTGATGGTAATTCCACGCAGACTTGAACTTTGTGCACTCATCACTTTCGAAAAGCGGAGTATTATTCACTATCTCACTAGCGCCATGAAAGCCTTGTCTTTTGCAATAGTTACCAGAGTTATCAGTGTTATTATTATATCGTCGAAATGTCTACACAAGAGGTTGAAATATCAACAGAGCCTGAGCATTTCAGTCCAACATAATCAATGGGAAATACAAATCAACCAAAAAACGAATGAATATTTTATCTTATTGATTGTTAAATAAAAATGTGTTTGATGATATTAGATGGTTGGAGGCAATCGACAGGAAGCCTTAGATCTAGGTTTCGTGCTACCTGGCACTCATCAGCAAGGCGTATCTGCAACCTTACCACTGAGCTATTCGGGCTCGCAACTGACCTTATGTAGGACTGTAGTGGATATTTTGACTTGACACTAATAACTAGTGTGATGTGTCTAGTCCTCTCTTTGGTGCAGACTGAATGCTATCAGTCAGGTGGTTTAATTTGCCTCATTAAATGGCACTCGGTACTGCCTTTGTTGTCTAAAGAGATTTTTCAATAGTGGTTTATAATTTTCGTGAAAATGATAGAAAAACAAAGCATTTTATAAAGAAATCAACTCTGAAAAAGTTCAGTTATTAATAAATGTGTACAATTAAACCCTAACTAAATAATTACTGAAGCGATTAAAAACATGTACTTGTGTGGTCGGATAAACGAACAACAAAGTGCACAAATGGCTCGGTCGGATTTCACTTGGTGGATGGTGAACATCAACTTAGTCGAGAGAGGGCGTTTTTGATGATCTACTGAGTTCCAAGTAATCGAATGTGTATGTGTATCCAGTGTCTTTACTTGACTTGTCCTACAGTAACGTTAACAGCTCCTGTATAAACATTGGTAACTAATGCTTTGAGTCCCTTTCCCATTCTTTTTCTTTTTCCCCATCTTTCATTGATCAACCTTGATTTCAAAAGTTATACGACTTCGTAATCCATGTTTTCAAGTCTATTTCCTTGGATTTATTTAATACTCTTCACACCTGTTCTGTTAGATTAAATCCTCCACTACGTGACAGTCGTTCACTAATTGTACCCTACCAGTGGATTTGTACCACCTTTATAATTATTACTTCATCATGATTATCGTTTTCTTCACCCGTTCGGCTTACATCCAGCCTATCATGTGTAGTATTCATGTCTTCCTCTAATAATTTAGACTACAACTGTCACTTTGAAAACTATACTTTTGCCGACTATTAGTTCACAAATATGTCGTTCAGTTGTACAATCTCATGTTCTTATTGACCATGGGTTGGTATTAGATGGTTGGAAGCAATCAGCAGGAAGCTCTAGGCCTAGTTTTTATGCTAATTGGCACTCACCGGGCACCAAGGCATATCTTCTACCTTGAAGGAACTCCTGTCCCTTCCGAAATTTGAACTGCGTCACCTAATGCTGCAGCCAGAGACGTTACTTTTGAGCCGTTCGGGCTTGAGATTGATCTTCTGTAGGACCGTTCTGGATATTTTTGATTGGCAAGCCACCTAGGATGGTGGTAGTATCACAAACTTAACTGATAGAATTGAGTCCTCACCAAAAATAGGACTAGACATATTACACTAGTTACTAGCTATTTTCCATTCAAAAGTAACCATGCCTTTTATATTCATTTAAAACTAGCTGATTATCATTCCATCTTGTACTGCAAAACAAATTTCTATACAATTTTAATTTGATTTTACTCGTTACTGTATACAAATAATAATAAATTAATCACTGTAGAGGCTATCTGGGAATCTCTCCGAACTAATTATTCACTCTAATAATGACTGTTCCGACTAAAACTATATTTTGTTGCTCATCATAAACACATTCCGAATGAAGTGTTCTATGGTGTTATGCTTTTAGAAGAAAATACTTTTGTTAGTCTCTTGGTTATCTACTTTGTTGTGGTTAATTTAAGGGAATAAAGACACATAGAGTTAAGAGTTTCAAGTGTTGGTTTGTAAGGATTTAACTGATTGGTTACAGGATTTCATCACCAGCTGACATCGGTTAGAGAACCATTGGAAAACCAACAGGGAGTATTGGACCTCTGTTTCGTCCTAGTCTGGAACTCTACATCAGTACGAACTCACTCGAACCCACCCAGGACCTTCTGGTTACAAGGGGCGCTCTTAGACCATTAAGCCACTGGGACCCGATCCAATGACCAGCCCATGAATTCCAAGTTCTGCCAATCCACAACATAGGTGTCTTAAGGTCATTTTTGAGTGATACAATAATAAAGGTGGACTGTTTAAATCACTGGGCTACCGAAATGACTTTCATCAGAATTACTAATTTTATCGGGATTTGTCATTGTTTTAATTGTTCAGTTATATCAGATGACCTATACATGAACTTGAGCTCTGATTTAACTTGCTTTTGAGTAAACGCTGTGAAATTCTTCAACGAAATGAAAATATACTTCAGATTATTACTTTACCTGTGAATTCCATATGAAGAAAAAAGTATTCTGGAACTAAATACGCTGAAAATCTTTGTACCATTTGTTCTCATACTGCCTGCAATAAAGCTTTATTATGTTGTTATTATTATAATGACTGGTAATTATACTTATACATATGCAGGTGACTAGCAGACAACACAACTGTTTATATTCTACATAACCAATACGTTACACCTTTTTAACGTAGAAACTTTAAGCTGACTAATTTGTAACGTATAAAGAAAAATTCAGTGATACAAATTTTGATCAAGCTCAAAGCAGAATTTTTATTTTTAACTTTTATATCAATAAGAATAAGAAATACAGTGGAGAATTAATTTTTCTAAGAATACCTATAATGATAATTTTGCTGTACTACTGAGTGTTTTGTTATTTTCTCTCAGTTTCTGGTTTTATATTTTAATTCTCAAATAGTTATCTGAGGGAGGTAATTTATACTGTTTCTTTATTCTCCTTTTAGATGTGCTACAGGAGAATCATGGCAAGAAATTATGATGGCTTGTAGAGAAGGTAATCTATCGTTTTCGATGAATATATATATATATATACATATATGAGAGAGATGAGTTGTGAACTTAAAACGGATGTAATTATTGTTTGGAGGATTCCATCATGAGCTGAAATCAGATAGAGAAGCATTGGAGAATCTGAAGGGAGTACTGCACAGCTGCTTAGTCAGCCTAGTTTAAGACTCTTCATCGGTACGCCCCCCAGTGGCAGAGTTCGAACCCATGACCTTCTGGTTACAAGGCGAGCTAGCTCGTAGACCATTAAGCCACTGAGACCCTATCCAATGGCCACCTTATGAATTCCAACTTCTGCCAATCTATAATATAACCCTATCACTTCGTAATATCTTCTTTGATGAGTTACTGCATCAGCTTCAACCTGCTGTACCTTACTGGTTACGGCTTCCCACTAGAACCCCAGGTAACTGCCTGATGCTCACTAGCGACTGACCCTATTCAAACAGTTAGCCTGGGATTCTCTTGGGAAGCCGTGACCAGTAGAATACAGCAGGTTGAAGGTGAGAACAGTTACTCATTGAAGAAGACATTGCAAAGTGGTCGCGCTATGTCGTGAATTAGTAGAAGTTAGAATTCATGCACTGAATCAGGTCCCAATGGCTTAATGGTCTACGAGCTCGCTAGCTTTTTAACCAGAAGGTCCTAGGTTCAAACCCTGGCAGAGGGTGTGTACTGATGAAGATTCCCTAACTAAGACAACAGAAATCACTGTCCAGTACTCCTTGGAGTTTTTCCAATGGTTCTCTAGCTGATGTCAGCTCATGATGGAATCCTCCAACCAATAAAAAATTCTTACAAAACCGATACTGGAGAACTTAATTTAGTCGCTCCAGATTATTGAAGTGCATACTAATTTACATATTTTGGCATGGTTTACATTGATACACATTGTTAATATCTTTCCAACACAAAAGGTGAATTATTCATATTTAGAAATGACATCGATTTTAGTATTCTTTGATATGGATAGTCAGGCTTTCACTGTTGTCCAGATTCTGAGAGACCATCGATATCTTATCACTATCATCGCCCCTGTTTCGGAGAGACTTCGGTTTTCATTAGATATATGATTGCAGGTTTTCGTCATACTTTACTAGCATAAGATAATGATTCCTCCATAAATTACGACTATTTTAAGACGTTTCGTTCCACAAAGAATTAGTAAACCTTAAAACTGTGATAAAACCATTTATTTTTTCACTGCCGAGGTTGAAAGGGGTTGATAAGATACTGACGAAATAATACAGAACGGTTATATCCTACCCTGTTTATTGTTATCGATTGGTTCAAAAGTTATTTTACTCAGTCAAATACTTTTACAGTTTTGGACACCAAGCTTTATAAAATTTACAGATATAAATTAATATATTTTTAACTATTTAGTCCAAATATGGTTATATTTTATTAACTATGATTCACTAAATCTTCCAAATGCTTGTCATATTCATGTAGGATACATTAGTGTAATCATTAATTAAAGTGAGACATTAACGAAATTAATTTCTTTTTCTACAAACACTACTACCTTAGGATTTCAATGGATTAGCCTAAGCAAAATAGGAGCCCTTGAAACTTAACTTCTTCCGATTTCATATGTATAGCGTCACCGCCGGCTAAAGTTGTCGATGAGTATCCGTCTCAACACAGACGAATTGGCAGACCCTAGTAATCACTACTTCTCAGTAGAAATCCATAAAACTTCATTCTATAGTCAGTAACTATTGAACACCAGATTCCTTTTGAAGCATCGGTCTGCGTAAATCTGATTAGTTTCAAGTATGATCATCAACTGACATCATTTCCAGAACCACTGAAAACCAGGAAGGACTGGATAGCTGTTTTTTTTACCACTTTGTAACTCTTCAGGAGTACGAATCCGTTACTCCATTCAGCCGATGGGACAGTAAAGTTTCATGAATTTCAACTTTTCTCAGTACTGTCTGGTTTTCAATTGTTCTGGAACTGATGTCGACTCAAGATCAAACCTGAAACCAAGCAAACCTCTGCAAAACAACACTTGAAAAGCAAAATAAATTCAATGTGTATATATATATGGAATATTCCCTAAATTTTGATCGACAAATTTTTTATTAAGCTGATATCTAGGATATCTACATTTCAATTGAAAAGGGTGAAGATGCACGAATTTACCCTTCATGCCTATTAGCACGTACGTGCGTGACTCAGCGGTAGAGTGCTGGCCAACCATGAACGTGGTCTGGGGTTCGAGCTTCAGCCGGTGCACACCTCTACTTCCCTTATTCGGTTATAATCCCGAAAAAGAGGGGAGGTCGGGAGTGGGGCTTAGAACTCCACTTCATAAAAAAGACACCACTGCAACTAAAACTTCTAAAAGCTTAAGCTTGAAGCCCTATGTCCCACTGGGAATGCAAGCAAATAAAACAAAACATATTAGCAAGAAACAACTGTAATGTGAAGCTCCTACATTCTACGTAATACTAATGCTAGTATCATCACATATTAAAAATGTACACTTGATGATAAACTTAGTTTGAATAAAATAAAAAAATATGTTACCATTTCTTTAAATTTCATTGGAACGAATGAACAGGTCAAAAATGTTCTAAAGATGCAGATGAAACAGAGATCAATGGATGCGGATCCAAGTTGGCTTATGCTTATTTTATTAGTTTCCATGCAATTAGTGCATTTCTAGTAAGTTTATCATAAATATTTTTTAATATTTTATTAAGCTAAATATCAATTTACAATTTCCATTATCTTTTTTTTGTTTTGATAATTGGTGAACATTATAAGCATAATTCTCTACCAACGGGGTTATAATTATTTATTCATTCATAAAGAATGAACACAGTTTTGTTCACCGAAGATATATTTCTCTTCAAGCTGTACAATAATCTTTAGATTATGAAAAAAAGCCCTAAGTGGCACTAAATAATTCTCAGTTAGTATACTTATGATAAGAATAAAGACAAATGACATGGTTTCTAGGGGATAAATTACAAAATTTTACAAGATTATTGAATAAATGAATAAATATTAAGATTTTGAAGTTGGTCAAGCGTTGTAAAAAGCTGAAATTTCGATGATGATACCAATGATGGTGAAGAAAGGTAAAGTGAAGTAGAATGAATTTAACCGACAAAAAAAAATATGCAAGAAACTATAACCAAGATAAAGAAAGAGATTTAACAATAGATGTTTGAATATAAAGTCTAGGTTCTCACTCATTTACAGCTAATGCTTCAGCTATACACTAGTTGTGAACATTTTAACTTTTAGAGTGGCTGAATTTATACCTTCAGATAACTTTGAATCTCATGGAACAAAAAGATCTGACCCAAGAAGGTGTTCACAGATACAGGAATTCGTCATTAGCCCAACCAATTAGTGCTCAGTTACATATTTCTCGAGAAAAAACTTCACAACGTCCAATGTAATCACCTCCACAGGAGTATGTAAAAGAGTAGATGCACAAACAGGCGAAAATCTTTCCCATTAATATGCGATTGCACTTCAGTAGCTCCTCAAAAGCCACAAATTAAAATATGAGTCGAAAGTTCAGCATACTATATATGCATGACAACAATAATTGTCTTCACATCAACATCACTTCCACTTGACGTGTAATCCTATGAATTTCAACTGCACACAATGCTTACAACCATCAAATATTCGTTCAAAGTGAACTAAGATAATCAGTCATCTAACTTGGAGGAAAAACTAAAAACTTGACTGATAAAATTCTGTCAACATTAAAGACAGGATGACTGTAATACTTTCTTGATAATTGGCTAATGTATCTACTGTAGACCTTTAGGAAGTCAATGACATTTCAAGCAACTTTGTGGTACCATCTCTGACTGCAGTAATGGATAGTATGAGTTAGAATCAGAGGAAGATGGGTAGGTCAGAGGTTCCAAACATACCTTGGTTACCAGTACCCCCAAGCACTAAACTTAGAATCATGGATTCCTTTCAATCATCTTAAACCACCCAACTACAAAATGTCTGTTGTTCACTTCGGACCAAGTTAATATCATGTCTTAAAGACCGTAGCATTACAAGTAATATGTGTTTGTTGGAAGCTTTCTGAATGAATCAAAAGATATCCGGGAGTTATACTGCACGCTTATGTTTATATTTAACGGACAACTCCTTGTATACTTCGTAAAAGACTGTTTAATAGCTAGAGTTTCGATGTCAGTGGATGATGACTAGTGTTGAAAAATATAACGTTGGATTGTATTAACGTCTAAGCAACAAGAAATGGGACCCCAACTTCAGTTATTACCCCTGTGTTATAAATTAGTCTTTAACACTAAGACTCTTTAAAGAAGTATAACCAACAAGTCTTAAAACGTTTATATTCTTTTCTTTTTTTTTACCTCCAGGTTATCAATCTCTTCGTGGCTGTCATTATGGATAATTTCGATTACTTAACTAGAGATTGGTCAATTCTTGGACCACACCATTTAGATGAATTTGTTACAAAATGGGCAGATTATGATCCGGAAGCAAAGTAAATGCAATTTTTCTTCATTTTGACTGAATAAGCTGTGATTTATGTGTCAATTTATTCTGTAACATAAATGTGGCATGTCTCAAGTTTGATTACTATTTGAGATCATTTAGAGAATCACTGGAAAACCAGCGAGTAGTAGATAATTGTTTCCTCTTAGTGTATAACTCTGTACACTGCACACTCATAAGAGTCCAAAACCCAGGACTTCGCTGTTACAAGAAGAGCTCGTAGACCAATCAGTCAATAAGACCCGATCCGATAGCCCATGAATTCCAACTTCTACCAATTCCTTCCTTTAGCGTGACTACCAGCCAATGTAATTGGCGAGTCCCAAACTGGAACGGTAAATCTATCCCCTACTCATCGGTTCTTCACTGGTTTTGAAACTGATGTCAGCTCATGATCATACTTAAAGCAAAGCAAATCCTTTCAAACTAACTCTCAGAAATATAATACCTTTGCAGGAATTTTTGACCATTTTTCAAAAGAAAACTATCCTATTTCCTCAAGCGAGACTATGATTTTAAGAAATTGGCACTGGACTGCCTTATTTATTCATTGTGGCATTCTAAAGCTTATAATGATGACACGAACTACACTGATAACCTTACTTTTCTTTCTGAATGATATCCATGTATCACATTATAGTGTAGATTTGATGAAGTTGTATTTCTGGAAAAGACATAATGTCAAGTATCAAATTCCTAGTTATAAACTGACACAAAACACACTCGAATGGCTTTACACTGACTTAGTAACTGATAAAAGTTTGTTTATTGCTAAGACTGGTTTGTAAATAAAAACAATACATAAACAAATTATGCAAATTTTAGGAATGTTCTGGGAACGAATAATAGATAAATAACAGAATTAAGTAATTAAGAATAAAGCCTTAAGAAAAATACTAATCTACTAGGATTATGTGATGCAACTAAACATAAGAACACATTTTCAAACCATTTATAATAACCAATGTAACATTTAATTAAATTAAAATATAAAACTATGTCATTTAAAACATTTTTGTGAAATATATTTGTGAAAAAGAAACTGAAAGTATATTCATCACAGTAGATGTTCTATGAATGGATATATATTTCCTAAAGAATGTTGGTAATGAAACGTTGAATATGATGAACGGCATGAAACAAGGAGTGACAAATATTTTGTAAAACACAAAATAATTGAGCAAAGAATATCCTTAACGATAATTTTCTCTTCTGGCTCTACAATTATATATATACACATGTTTATACACATCGAATATTCCAGAATAGTAGTCATTAACAATATTAGTGTTTTTTAAATAATATAGATTTGTAAAGTAAGATAAATGGAATTACAGTTCATTAAAGATGCTTAAATGATAATAATAATAATAAGGATATAATAGCATGTAGAATATCAACTAAAATAAGGGAGATTTCCACAAAATTGAGGATCATTCAAACCTAGATGGCCAAGGTAGGAACAATATCTGAACTAGCTTTTTTTGAATGCATAAATTGGGCTTCTTAATGTAGATCCCAACAGCCTCAACAATATTTAGTAAACGAACTTTTAAGGCGAAATTAAGATTTCTTGGTATGCGGTAAATTACTCTGAAAGCTTTCGTTGATATCAATCTTGTGTTCTATATCCAAAAGATAAGATAGAATAGCGCTACGAATAGATTTAGTTTGTCCTTCCCTTAACCACGCTGGGTGATGTTCCAAAATCCAACAAGAAACATGCCTAATTGTGCGGCCTGTGTAACTGGCTCCACAGGAGCAGTTAAATTTTGCATTCATTTTGATATGTATTCTTCTATAACAGAAGTTACTTTTCTATTTCTTCACGTTCCCAGTGGATAGGGCTTCAAGTTAGAGTTATGGGTTTCCAGACCGTAGGTGTTACAAACTTCCTGGAATAATTTGAGCGCCGAGTCAGATTGATTCATTATAAATTATTTAAACTAATCCCAGCGTGTTGAGAAAATCAAACCAAGATTTCTCTGAACGTTTCGCCGTGTAAGCCACAGCTTCCTCAGCAGATTTATTCGGATTTTTATTAATCATCCGAATAAAACTGCTGAAGAAGCTGTGGCTTACACGGCGAAACGTTCAGACAAATCTTGTTTTGATTTTCTTAACACACTGTGATTAATTTAAATAACTTATAATGCTTCGAGATAGAGCTTTGAAGTTACTGCATCAGTGGTGTTTATTTTTACAGAATGGAGTTGCTAGCCTCATTCTCATCCTTACTTCTTTACCAGTCTTCTTACTAGCTTAGCGAATTAAATGAGTGTGTCGGCCGGGGAACAAGCCCTGAACCGCCTGTGTGGTTGGCGAGCATTCTACCTCTGTGCCACAAACACTAGAAGTTACTTACAATGCCGTAAATCTTACTGTCTTTTACAAATGATATCACCCGATAACAACTATTTTCAAGTATAAAACAAATATCAAAATCTCTGAATACTATTCTGTAAAAAGTAAAGTTTCAGGTGAAAAGTAAACTTTCCTCTATTGAAAATATTTTTTCTTTTCTTTTGAAACAGGGGAAGAGTTCGACACTTGGATGTTGTTACTATGCTTGGTAAAATAAGCCCACCACTTGGTTTTGGTAGTATGTGTCCACACACTAGAGCATGTCATGTAAGTAAAACGTTAATTTGATTTATTTAATTTTCTGTGATATTGAAGAGTAAATTAGTTTGGAAATCACATTTTGTTGTTTACAGTGTGAGATTACGAAAAATTAAAACACTAGAAATATTAGCGTTTAAGATATTCTAAGACTCACGTAACTGTAAAACAGTTAAGGAAGAAATGTCATCTAAACTGTCATTGATATCCAACTAGAATACCTGGCATTGTAATTTCAGTTGATTTTTCTCAGCAGACACATTGACAAAGGTGACTATGCATACCTATAGTATTTCATAGATTTATCTCTGGATTGATTTCAGTTAGAGAACCGATGGAAACCAGAGAGTATTGGACAGTTGTCCTTGTTCAAGCCTCTTCAGAATCGTACATCCACCGAGGTTTATATCCTTGACCTTCCGGTTACAAATCAAGCCAGTCGGACGCAATCCAATTGCCTGAGAATTCTAGGTGCTACCACTTCGTGATTTCAGCACAACTATCAGCAGGCTTGAATTCCTGTGGTGCGTGCTGCTGAGGAGTCTAAAACTAGAATGAAGCACCCGTCCAATACTTTTGGGTTTCTAATGGTCTGTTAACTAACATCAATCCATGATCAAACTGGAAACATGCGTGTCTCCTCTCTACCCATAATATACAGACGACGCATTTCTGTCAGATGGAGGCAGTAGTTTAAGTATACCACACAATTTGAAAGATATTTGGGCATGTTCAGTTTATTCTCCACTGTCCAAGCACATTTCACATACATACTGACTGCTGGGAAAAATTAGCAGTCTTTTTACAGTTATCATTGATTCAGCATATGACGTCAACAAATTATGTAATAAAGAAAGACACGTCCAGTATCTTTTAATCACCTGAGAGATACCAAACTATCTTTTATACAGGAAATGTGGTATATTTTCTCTATACAATTCCAGCCACAGCGTGACTATTTCAAGTTTAATATATAACAAGTTTGCAGGAATATTACCAATATTTTATACGAAACACTACTTTTGTAAGTCGAAATTTTCGACTTATGCGAATTCAGGGTGTGCAAAGTTTCCTTAAATTAAGCTAAATCAGGTTATTAAATCAGAAAAGGATGCAATGTGACTGCATAAAATGAAATACTACTGAGTGATTGAGATGAGCAGTAGTATAGCACACAGAGCAATCAGTAATATTTGCTAGCCAGATGTAATTAATCTAAACACCCAACAGCCGATTCACTCGTTTGGGGCTGAGGTATTTCCATGAACAGATGTTGAATTAACTATCACTGGCTTAGAAGAAAGCAAGACCTCTTAGGGTAAAACTAACTTAGAAGAAGTCTTTTGAATCAGTGACTCTTGGTTCGCATGGTATATTAATGTGGTGATTAAATGAATGAGATTTTTGACATTATTGGATATTTTAGTTGATTAAAATTAATGGCATTTGTAGCGTTCTACTACTTAGTTTGACTGCTTGGTTTCTGTCTTTGTTTCATTGGTGGTCCTTTTTATAGTATTACTGTTGCATTTCTGCTGACGATTATCTGTTGTGCCGTGGTGTTAAAGAAATAAAGGCAATATACTACTTTACTATATTCTATACTAATATATCTCTCTCAGAAATTTAAGAGATGTTTTTTACAAAGTTATTTAACTTATTATAAACATTTTTATTTATCATTCATTATATTGATGAAGATAATTTGAGATAAATATTCTATTTTTTCCAAATTATTTGAACAGAAACTGGTCAGAATGAATATGCCTCTAAACAGTGATGGGACAGTATTTTTCAATGCAACACTTTTTGCCTTAGTACGTAGGAATTTGAAGATAAAAATTCCTGGAGGTAATGAAATTTTCCCATTATGTATAATAATAATATTTGAAATTTCACCTCAAATCTTAATCACAGTCGTCATTTTTCAATGTCTTTTCACTAGATTTATGTATGTACCTAGAATATAAAAGAATTCTGTTTAACGTTATATGTAATCCATAGTTCACCTATCCATATTTTACGTATTCTGAGTCACCACCATTCTTAATTAGTCATAGTAGCTGGATTGAGACCAAGACTTAAAAGAATTGGTGGTGGTCAGACCAAAAAGTAACACCTATTTCATACTACTGGTCTTATCCACTTTTGAAGGTGTAAATTTTCTAACTGAGGTTTTCAGGATACTAAGAACAGTAACTGAGCACTCTTGATGACGATCCAGAGTGAGTCGCTTAGCCTAGCTTGCCTGTCACCGGCATAGTAACCCAGAGGCTGTTGGTTCGAATCCTGTAGAACATCAAATTTTTAGTCCATCTACAATCATCACTTAATACCAATGAATAATAATCCGTATTCAAGTGCGTCGATGACACAGTCGTTAGGACTCTCGCCCACCATGCCCATGGTCCGAGGTTCGATCCCCTGCCGACGCAAACCTGATATCTATGGTTGGGCTGTGAAATTTGGGCTATCGATATCCATGCTGAAAATTCCACACTTGTACCAAAAATACAGTGTGGAATCAAGATATAAATCAAAAATTTAAAAAAAAAAGAAAATAAAATAAGTGTTAGTTTGTAGGGATTTGATTGGTTACAAGATTTCATCATGAGCTGACATTGGTTAGAGGACTACTGGAAAACCTGTGAGTACTGGACAGCTGTTTCGTCCCAGTTTGGGACTCTTCAGCAGTACGTACCCACCAAGGTTCGAACCCAAGATCTTCTGGCTACAAGGCTAGCGAGTTCGTAGACCATTAAGCCACCCGAACGAAAGCTGCTACCTTGACGTGGTGGTCGGGCTTGAACACCGCAATGACCTAATCAAGCTATACTGGCTGAGACTTATGTCTCTTGAGGTTCTACCATGCCAGGCAGGTTGTTTGGATAGCGGTTAAACAAAAAGCAGCTACCTCATCCAATACCATGATCCAAACAAATTCACAAAATTTCATGCCGGATCGGCCGTGGCCCGGATTAACAACGACCGCGCTTCCTGCTGCCGTGTCACAGGGCGGGAGTGATAAGTATGCTACTGAGGCACACCAAACAAAAAGAACAAACAAAAACAGGCCGCGTGTGACCGGCCTCAAGCAGTTGTCCCCTGGGCTCTGCGGTCACGCAACCAACTTCCACGGTGTGGGCAGCCGGGAAGTAACAATCGCCCTCACAATCCGAAATGCACACAAAACCTCTCTAATCCTCACTTATCTTTGTCTTCATCTTCATCTCTATTACCTTGCCTTCCTCCACTGATGCAACTCCTCTACTTGATGGCTCCTCACTCCCTCTTCACTCTGTGTCCACTAAAAACGACGAAAGCCAAAAAACCACCACGGATAGTCTCCTAAAGCCACGCCACCAATTTCATATAGGAGCATTTAATGTTAGGACACTTTGCCAAATAGGACAACAAGCATCACTAGCTAAGACCCTGGCATCTCGAGCCATTGATGTATGTTGTGTTTCAGAAACACGCATACAAGACCCAAGTGTGGTTATTCACCTAACCCCACCTGGCCAACAGGATGAATCTTCAAAATTCACCTTGAGGGTGTCAGGAGATGCCACAGCTAGTTCACGAGGATTAGCTGGCGTAGGGATAGCTCTGAGTACTAGGGCAGAAAAGACATTGCTTGACTGGATCCCGGTAGATAGCCGAATGTGTGCTGTCCGTCTGAACGGATCAGTAAGAAGGAGAAAGGACTGCACTACTCGCCGATGCCTTTTCGTAATCTCCGCCTACGCCCCCACTGACTGCAGTTCGGATGAAACGAAGGATGAGTTCTACCAAAAGCTGTCTAGTTTGGTGAGAAAGGCTAAACGCTCAGATATAGTCGTTCTAGCTGGTGACTTTAACGCTCAAGTAGGGAAATTGTGTCAATCTGAGAAGGATGTCGGTGGCACCTATGGAGTTCCGTGCCAGCGAACCGACAACGGTGACCGTCTCCTACAGTTCTGTTCAGATAATCATTTGTTTCTTGTAAGCACTAACTTTAAACACAAGGAGAGACACTGTTTAACCTGGCGACCCCCATCATCAAACCAACGCTGGACACAAATAGACCACATAGCAATAAGCTATCGTTGGCGTGGGTCGGTAGGAGATTGTCGCTCCTTCTGGAACACGTGTGTAGATACCGATCACGCACTGGTCCGGGCTCGTGTGTGCTTACGACTGAACGGACGTAGGAAACAGCTGGCGGTAAAACCATCACGTCCCCAGCTCGATCAGGAAACTAAATCCCTATTTGAGGAAGAACTAGCTAAACGCATATCTGAATTCGACAGCTGTGCTCACCCTGGAGAAGCCTGGAAGAATATTCAGTCAGCTATAGATACAGCTGTAAAAGCTGTGAATAAGGCAAATCCAAAGGTGAGTAAAAACCACTGGATTTCGACTGCCTCATCCGAACTGATAGATGCTAGAAGACTTATTCCGGCGAGCTCCGAATTCAATGAGGAGCGAAAGCTGCACAAAAGGAAACTTACTAAAAGTCTCCGCAAGGACCGTGAACAGTGGTGGGTGACAAAGGCGAAAGAGATGGAAAAAGCATTGGCGATAGGCAACACTAGGCAACTCTTTAGACTCATCACAGAATCGGGCGGGAAAAGGCAATTCATAAGTGAGACTATTTCTGAGAAAAATGGCTCCTTAATTAGCTCTCAGGATAGACGCCTTGAACGCTGGAAAGAACACTTTGAGGAACAATTTAACTTGCCTACAGCCACACTGAACCTCCCCGCCATCCACCACACCCGAATGGGATATAGACACTGGTCCGCCGTCTGTAGGTGAGGTTACAAAAGCTATCAGTAATTTGAAACGAGGCAAAGCGGCAGGACCCGACGGAATTATTCCGGAGGTGTTTAAATATGGGGGTGACATACTAGTTTGTAGATTAACTGAGGTACTAGGCAAAGTCTGGGAATCAGAGACAGTACCATCAGACTGGGGTAAGTCACTTATTATACCGATATTCAAGAAGGGAAACAAGTCCTCGTGTGATAATCATAGGGGGATCAGCCTAACGAACATAGTCTCTAAAATCCTAGGCTCAGTAATCATGCATAGACTAAGCAGAACTCGGGAGGAACAGACAAGGGAAAATCAAGCAGGCTTTAGACCAGGTAGAGGGTGCATAGATCATATCTTCACTCTTCGACAGATTCTAGAACATAGACACACTTTTCGGCGTCCAACAATTGTCATATTTCTTGACTTGAAGGCGGCCTTCGACTCCGTGGATCGAAAGGTACTATGGCAATGTCTGACTGTGAAGGGAGTGCCAAGAAAGTACATTGCACTAATCAAGGCACTCTATTCAAACTCACGTAGTCGTGTAAGGGCTTATGGGGAATTGTCATCTGAATTGGTAACAACCAGTGGTGTCCGACAGGGATGTCCACTTTCCCCATTTCTGTTTAACTTCATCATAGATATGCTAATGGAAGTATCCTTAACTGAACGTAGTGACTTAGGAATCGACTTGTTACCAGGGAATAATCTTATGGACTTAGAATATGCAGATGACATAGTCCTGTTAGGGGAGGATGCTGACAAAATGCAGAGTCTTCTGAACACCTTGAGCAGCAATCTTCGTATGTTTGGCATGCGATTCGCCCCTGCAAAATGTAAGATGCTGCTACAGGACTGGACCACGTCAACCCTAACTTAGTGATAGGGAGTGAAGTGATAGAACATGTTGACCACTTCACCTACTTGGGAAGTTGTATTAGCACCAACGGACTGATTGGCGATGAAATCTCAGCACGGATCCGAAAAGCTCGAGCTGCTTTCGCTGACTTACACCATCTCTGGCGTAGGCGTGACATCCGGTTATCAACCAAGGGACGTGTGTACTGCTCATCAGTTCGCTCCGTCCTTCTCTATGGCTCTGAAACATGGCCAATACGCGTTGAAGACATGAAAAGGTTGACTGCTTTCGATCATAGATGTCTGCGATCTCTGTCTCACGTTAGGTGGTTTCACAAGGTAAGTAATGTTGACGTTAGGCGTAGAGTGTTGGGCAAAGAGGGAAAATCAATCGACGAGGCTATAAAGTTACATAGACTAAGATGGCTAGGTCACGTGCTGCGCATGCCTAACCACCGCCTCCCCCGACGGGCATTGCTAGCTGATATAGGTTCAGGTTGGAAAAGAGCCAGTGGTGGCCAAACAAAAACATGGCATCAATCCATGAAATCCTTGACAGTTAAACTGAGTCAGGTAGGGAGATGCAGACTCCCGGGTTGGGGCCCTCGGGACTCTAGGAATCAATGGCTGGAGACAATAGGTGACATGGCTCAAAATCGTTGTCAATGGCGCAGATGTATTCAGTCTCTGTAATCTTTCATATTCCTTTCTACCATTACCCATTCTGTTTCACTCTTATATTTGTCAAACTCTATTGATTCTCTTCACTCATCTTCTTGTCTACCTCTGTGTGCTATTTGGAACGTGGCAACTCGAACTGCTGCACTTCGGTGCCAAGTTCTATGTCGAACCCAGACAGACAAGCCACTGGGACCCGATCCAATGGCCAGTCCATGAATTCTAACTTCTGCCAATTCACGACATAGCGCGACCGCTAGCCAATGTCTTCAGCGAGTATTTGTCCTCACACCCGACCTGCTGCACCTTACTGGTCACGACTTCTTACTAGAACCCCAGCTAACTACCCACCTGAATAGGGCAAGTCGGTAGTGAGCGTTTCATTGATATTCAAGTGCTGGTTTGAAGGGATTTCAATGGTTTCAAGATTTCATCATGAGCTGACATCGGTTAGAGAACCATTGGAAAACCTGGGATTTTATCTTTAATTCTCATAAATAGTCTTACGATTAGGGAGAGTAAATTCACAAGAATGTGAATTATACTACTATTTCAAATAATCCCAGGCCATTTTGACTGATCTATACACATTTTACACAACCACAGTGAACATGGTTTTAAGAGCAACATATATTTTATGTGAGTTTAATGGGACATAAATAAGGGAAAATACAAATTCTACTACAAAATTTTCTGAAAGCTGAACTACATTTATCTTTCTGGTGCTGTAATACGTTTGTCGTAGAGGTGTTTCATCTTAGCAAAATATGTATTTTCCCCTAGAAATGTCACCATGATATGATTTACCTTTAATTATATTTAGTGATCACATGATGTAAGAAGTTTTACTTCACACACTCATCTAATAAGTAGATTATCACAATTATTTTGAAGAAAAATAAAACGAAAAGAAACGATAGCAAAATACTCTCTTCTGGATATTCCTAATGACTACTAATCAAACTGAACTAAATATTTCTATTTATTGACATTCTGACATACAAAATGTACATTTTTCTAACTTACCTTTATTATGTTTCCTTTCAAAATTTCTATTTCCTGTATGTGAATAGATGCTGGAGAGAAAGAAAAATCTCTGGATCAATTAAATGAAGAACTACGTATTGTAATAAAGCGTATCTGGAAACGAACAAGTCCAAAGTTATTGGATCAAATTATTCCACCAAAAGGTAGGATGATTTATTTTTATTTGATTTTTTTTTGTTTTGATGTGTTTAGTTTTTTTCTTTTCCTTCTAAGAAGCGTAATTATTATTATTTCAGTCATAGTTTAATCTGAATAGAACAAAATCCTGTTGTTATTATTAAAATCCATGCAATACGAGGCCAACCCATGAACGTGGTCACAGCACCGATTTCAGGTTCGATTTCCCGCCCAAAGCACTGATGAACTTCGCTTAACCGGTGGTAATCAGGTAGACAAACGGAAGATTAGACATGAAACTAGTCACCTCACCCTGTAAAAACAGTTTCACTGCTGTTGAAACTTCAAAGTTCAAGCTTGAAGCACTGTACTGCACTCGGAAGGCAAAGTGATAAAAAAATAAAGATATACATAACATGAAGTGATTTTTTGCCAAATTTTAATGTCAGAAGATATTAAGAGTTGTATCTCATATTTAGTTTGACTGATTATTCTTGTGCATCCGTGGTATAACGGTAGAATGCTCGCCAACCACACAGGTGGTTCGAGGTTCGATTGCCGACCAACGCACTGAGCCAGTAATTAGACTGGTAAAGAGGGAAGGTTGGGAATGAGGCTAGCAACCTATCACCGTAAAAATAAACACCATTGATACCGAAACTTCGAAGCTCTAGCTTGGAGGCCTATGTTCCACTAGGAACCTAAAGGAATAAAAAAAAGTTCTTCTTACATATATGCATTTTGTGATGAAATTCTACCCACTGATTTATCTGTCATGAGGAAGTTAGCATTTTCTTATCTATTCAGTAATGCTTGTTAGCATAACTTTGTGGTGAGAGCTGGCCGCTAGCCGAATTGATAGACAGTAATTTACGTCAAGATTAATGTCCCAAATATTGGTGGTGAGAAAAATAGGAACAAAGACTTTGCATAGGTGGATACAGTTCGCAGATAAATGATCTGACATTCAAGGAACAGCCACAAAGAGATGCAAGGTTAACTTTCTGTGAGAAACAACCAATCAGAAGACTTTGTTTTTCTGCTAACAATAATCTGTAATATGTACATGAAAATCTATAAATATGTGTTGATTTCGTTAATAAACTATCTGTTGCCTGGCCCTTGTCTTCTGTTGTTACAACTTTTCTTCAGTGGTGTTTTTCATTACATTGTTTATTTTAATCTGATATCGAATTCCTTATCCGTAAATAAACATGAAGCCAGTTCCATTTATTCCTAAAACCTAAAGAGCAAGAACGTTAAATATATCAGGATAATATGAACTCATTCTTCATTATTTCATTATTCTCTGCTGCTGGATACAACTTGAATAATACAAAAATATAAATTACATAAAAAACTGAAACATACCTTTCATGTAATAAAAAAGAGTAATCGGTAGAAACTATGAGTAATATTGGTTCGAAAATGATGTAAGTTGTCGAAACTTTTTAAATGGAGATAAAAGTTAATTAGGAAGATTATAATAACAGCAATTTACGTGACAACAATTTGCCTTCAAAGCTGATAATATAGCTAGTAGAATAAGATACGGACTGAATGCTTCACCGAAATGGACGTATTCATCCATCAAGCTTGTTTTTGTGTATCAGATAAACAGCTTGTTGAATGCAATCAACCGCGTATTTCCTCCAACTGCATCTAACGATTTACCTATGTGTCAGAGCACATACTTTGGAGGCACAGAGAGAAGAGTTATTTTATGCATTTCTAATCATATCTGAAAAACTAATACAAAAGGGCTCACAGGCACTAACAGTGTAACTGCACACCATCTACTAGACGCTGGTCATATTGTGGACAATCTGAAGATGTTCAAAATTATCGACAAATTAAAGAAGCTTAGATTACTGAGTTTTGTAGAGGTAATCACCACTAAATGGTTGTAACCGAATCTATGTATGAAGAAAGAGAGAGTGGTGAGTCTTGCACTGTCTCGCTGATTAAACCTACAAAATAAAGTTATATTATGTTTGCTAAGTCCTGTTTTCTCCTATATCTCCTGTCCTGTTTATAAAATTTTATTGTTTCATATGAATGTCACTCATCCCACTCCTATCTTGTTTTATCCCAAAAACAAATTTTTCGTTATTACATGAGCTACTGTATTGGTATACTCTTCCTAGTTACTTTTTTTACTACCCAAGCAATCTTTCTCTTTTTCCAAGAAAATTCGTGTAATTATTCTGATATACACACTAAGGAGCTGTTGTGTCCTAGTTTGGGACTAGACAGCTCCGCACATTTATGACCCCATCAGGGATCTGACCCTAGACCTTCAGGTTACGAGGCTGAGGTTGTTGACGGTTCAGTTACTTGGTTTGGAGTTCAAACAATAAAATAGTCAATCCTTTAAACTCTTACCAATTTGACAATTTACATCATATTACTTATAGTTCTTATAAGTTGTTGTTTTTCATTGTTCAGGTTGTAGCCAGGTGAAAAAGAAACCATGAAATGATACAGAATGAATTCATATTATCCTGATACATTTATCGTTCTTGCTCTTTTTCGAATATCCTAATGGGGAGAATTGTGTGGAGATTTTAAGTAATAGCTGACTTTTTCACTGTTAAAGATTTTCAAATGATTGCTAACCTTCTTAAATTCGAATTCGCATTTTCACATATTATCCACATGAGCACTGTTTTTGTATTGATTACTTCACGTTTCACATCTCACATTTTGTGAATTTACGAATTTTTTTAAACACTAGACTGTCTTAAGTCATCTGCAGTAAAAAGTTTGCAGAATAAGGAATAAAAAAACCTCTATAAACAAAATAATTCGTTGTGTTCGGTTGAATCTTCCATTAGTATTTGGGAATATACTTCTTCAGTATATTTCATCTATCTGCCTTCCTATAAAATGTCTGACAACTGCATTTTACCTTCAAGTTATACTTTTTATGCTTTATTCTATGAAGAGAAACGGAACAGAGATTTCATATATGATTTCGCCTTTATCCAACTTCATGTTCATTCATCATTACATGAACACATACATCAATGCATTTTTTCCAAAACACGTTAATTAAATTACAATGTGTATTTCATTTCTGGCTTCAGTAAGAGCCAATTTACTTAGATAACGTGTTCTTAAGAATGTATAGATACATTATGGTTTGCAAATAAAAAATAATGACTTATTTTCACATAAAAATATCATACTGACTGTACGACAAAATAAATGTTGGTTAAACACCAGTTGAAATACTATGAGAATAAATGGGAGAAAACATATTAAGAAAATCCTAAATTGAATAATTAACTTTTCACGAAAGTGTTAAACAAAACTATTCCCTTTCATTACATTATTTAGGTAGTGATGTTGTTACTGTTGGAAAATTCTATGCAACTTTTCTCATACAAAATTGGTTCCGTGAATGGCAAAAACGTAAAATGATTCAAAAGGATACAAGATATATTCCACAAATAATGGTAAGTTCATGTATTTTTTTCTCCTTGTTTCACTATCCATCTCTTTCATTTATCATTAAGGCATTGTAGACATTTCTTTTTTTAGTAAGAAAATATTTTCATTGTATAACATTAAGGGATATCCTTACCTTTATATTGTTTGAAATTGTCATACCTGATGTAAATTGAATACAACCTGCTTTTGAAAAAAATTTGTACAGAAAACCTTAAACTTCGTCCAGAAACATGTGAAGATCAAAGATGTTGGTTTCCTGGTTCATTTAAAGCAAGTAGTCAACATAACTAAGTGAGCAACTTATCATCAGCTGCGTATATCCTAGATTCAGATTAATATATTATTAAAATAACTTTCCTACTGGTTATCCTAAAGTTCTAAGTTAGACCACTAACTGATATCATTTAGAAAACCACTGAAAATCAGGGAGAACTCGACAGCTATTTTGTTCTACTTTGGAATTTTTCAGCAGTAAGCAACTATGACATTTAAGTTACAATGTGAACTGGCTGATAATTCACTCACTTGCAGGGCATCCAATGTCCCATGGATTCTAACTGTTGCCATTTTCAGAATTTATAGCCCAATCGGCATTCAATGCCACTGACGAGTATTCATCCACACAATGGGCTCGGTGGACCCCACCGGCGGTCACTTCTTTATCTAACTTTAAATCACTCAAATTCCTGTAAAACCAACACTTGATAATCCTGGAATGGTTAAGTAACAAAGAATGAAAAAAATATTTATTTATTTAACTTTGTCAACACAATTTCTTTATTCTATACTTATTCTCGTATTATTTTGTATATCATATAATCTTTCAGTTTGGGCTGATGGCAACCTTCATTAAATTTATTCCCATTTTCCAACCTAATTATGTAACAACTGCAACATATTTTCTTGGGAGTTTCTACATATACTACAGTTTTTGTAATTTTAAGGCTATTAATCAACAACCAAAAACTCTTTCGATCATGAGTTTTGTGGAGATTTGGGTTAATTTCAGTGTAGATTTGGTCATCAACCAAAATCAGTCGAAGAGTAACTGAAAACCAGTAAACATTGGCAAGCTGTTTTTGCGCTAGTCCGAGATTCTTTCGCAATGCACACTCATGGCCATAAAAGGAATCAAACTTGTGAGCAACAGGTTACGAGAACAGCGTCGTCAACCCGCAAATTCTAACTTTTTTACAATTCTCAATATAGTGCTACCACAGACAAGTGCAACCTTGACATGATGGCCACGATTCTTCATTACAGCTCCAGGACTCGCTTTTTTGGGTTTACTCTTGGTGAGGTCGTGGGTGCCAATGCTGAGGAGCCCTACACTAGAATGAAACACCCGTGCAGTACTCCCTTGGTTTTCAATGATCCCATAAGTGATGTTGGTTTGTGATGAAATCTGAAGGGAAATCAAGAAATAATTTTGTTTTTGATCAATACTTTTATTTTAGTCTTTGTGCAGTCGAGTATTTTATCAATACATTTGTATCTTTCAGATATTTTTGTTCTCTTTTTGCTTCCAAGTTAATATTCTAAATCAATTTTCGAATAGTTTCGAAATTATAAAACAAACAAAAGTAAAAGAAGAACACGAAAACTCATCATATATTTCTTTCCCTGTATATAAAGCTGAAGATATAAGACACCAGTATCTCCTATGCAGTCACTTGTTTGTATTCCATCGAAATAGTACACTTATGAGTTCATTTATGGTCAATACGATGAAAAATAATGAATTTCAATACATAAGATTTATTCTCACTTACTTCACACAAAGGTGTCCACATAGTGTTTTATTTATAATGATTTCATTTGTTTGTTTATTTAATGAGTTAATTCTATTTTGTATTTACAGGCTGGAGATCGTGCAATGCCTCATCAACCTACTATAGTTGGATTTCCTAGACGTTGTTCTTCAGACCTGACTGGTGATGAAATTCAGCGTCGACGAGGAGTAGATAAGGTATTTTATTTATAGACACTCATGCTTCATAGACTATCATGAATAAATATTTCATATGATAGTTGATCGACGCTTATCATCCGTTTATTTCACGCTTCATCCAATAGATTCAATCATAGATACATGCATAATACATTACGCATATGTATTTTAATGTTTATTCAACTATGAACACATGAAACAGCAAAGAGATCCCTTTTCGTGACTTCAGTTCATAGCTGTACAATTATTTAGGGAGCGTATACACACAATGAGATTTTTTCATTCATTTTCTTCATATAGTTATCTTTTACCCGCTGAAATTAGTGGTGTAGGGAGTGCTACTTATAATCAGATATAAGTAGTATGTCAGTAAACGACTTCAGAAAAGCAACATCATGTTTCCGACACTGGAAAAAGCAATCGAAGAACAGAACTGTGAGAATAAGGTTAGAAACACTATGAAAAGTTCAACAAGTCATCGAGTATGGTGATATTCAACCAATTTGCGAATCATGTGCAAATAAAGCACTGGAGATATGGAATACAAAATTTATGTACCTACAATGAGTCAGTCCTAGCAGTCATTTATTCCTTACAGTGGTAGTATGAAAGCATCTCCTGCGTGAAATACCGGTTTTTCCATGGAAAATAAGATAGTCATAGAAATATGTTTAGTTTATGACTGTTATACCTAGACTTCTAAAGTTAATATGGTTCTATATACATATCCCCTTTTCTGTCACATACGTAATAAGTCGTAATTTTTTGAATAAGGCATTTAGAAGACAAATTTCGCGAGATGATATCATTTCGTAGTTGCTTTACAACCACTTTACAACTAACATGGTTAACAATAATAAAATAAAGTTCAGGACTCAGTTATATAAAAAACAAATGTACATACTAATGAACAATCATATTTAAATAGGTCAAGTAGTCCATGGTAGGCGAAGATTAAAGTCTGTTGTTGTTTTGTACACACAGTTTAGGCTGTATATGATTAATCCAAAGGGCTTCCATCACTTTCAATAACCTTGAATTAGAGTTATGTGAAATAATTGTGAAGCAGGCATTAATATTGATTTTGTGACCTGAGATTAATAAGTGTTTTGCAATGGATGATGCTGGATTTCTATTCAGATTAATCGCGTTGGAACATGTTCTTTTCGACGACATTGGAACATTCTGTTGGTTATACCGATATAGGTGTCACCGCAGCTGCAGGTGAACTTGCAGATACAGTTTGAAGTAGAGTTCACAGAATTTCGTCCTTTAATCGTAGGTACAGGGATCGAAAATGTTCGGCATGTTAGAAGAAGATATGCGGCGTAGAATGTGCATTTAACGGCTGAGCGAAGTCATTGAGCTGTCAGCTGCATAATCTGGTCACCCTTGAATGGTAGGTTAATTAGGATAGCTTTCTTTGGTACGGAAGCTGTCTTTTCTAGATGTGGTCTATCCTTACTGTGACAAGCGATGAAGTTCTGTCAATAACCATTGGCTAATAAAACTGAATGTATATGTCGAGGCTTATCCATCATTGTGTCACTCGTGCATATTTTTCGGACCCTTGAGAACAAACATTTCACTAGGGAACGTTTATACTGGATAGGAACAAAACTGGTGAAATGAAGATATTGTCCATTTCATGTCTGTTTACGAAAAAGATCGCTGTATCGTACCATCATCTCTCCTGGTCATTGTAATATCTAGGAAACCGAGTTTGTTATTCAATTCGAGTTCGGAAGTCACTCGGATATCTGGATGAATATGATTCAATGGAGTAATAAAGTAATTTTTTGTTTTTTATTATTATGTAACATTTCAAGATAAATTTCTTGTCCTCTTTCATCATTGAATTTCTTATCTATGTTTACTTTCGTACATACAAGCGTGATACATCGGGTGGAATTTTCGGTCGTACTCTAAGTGAATGGACCAGACGCAGGAGTAGTAAGCGTATTACAGATCGTCGAGACCAAAATTACAGTCATATAAATGGAATGTATGATATGCCAGGAAATCATTTAAAAAATGGTATGGGAATATGGAATGATATGCTTTCAAGTGCACAAGCTGGTAAAACTGCTCATCCTGCAGTTGTTGCACTTATGGAGAAAGAGAAAAAAGATGCTGAAGCTAGGTAAGCATAATTATACGCTATTACTATTTAGTTATCTGAGTTATGCATGCTCCCTGCAAAAAAACACCTTGGTGATGAATGCAAACCATTTTTATTTGTGAAAATAATGCACTTTTACCTCGTTTCATAACTGACTTGCGAAATACACATTCCATTCTTTAACGAATTAATTTTTACTCAACTTAAATCTCTGAGCCACTGAAATCTAGGTGGGAATCCTATTTGAATGCATCATGCTATTTAAGAAGGTTTTTTTTCAGACTGCATGTCATAGTTTATTCTCAACACTGTTTAAATAATGAGCAAACACAATGCATAGGGAAGAGCTATTAGCCCCATATATGTTCATTTAGGTGATTTTTGAAGTCATCCCAAATGATTCCTATACATTATTTTCTATCAGTAATGAAAAATTTACTTCGCACTTTAATTTACCATTTACTTGCTAATATCCCCAGCTAGCATTGTCTTCGGCCGTACTGCAGAACGTGGGACAATGACCCGAAGCCTGCCCCAAACGTTCTGCAGTGCGGCTAAAGTCAATGCCATATATATATATATATATATGCATACATGCAAGATCTGAGGCATACATATGCATATATGAATAGACAAGCGACAGTTTTTACAAGAGATCAAGACAGTACCCAGCTGGCATTGACTTTTGCCGCACTGCAGAATGTTTGAGGAAGGCTTCTGGTCATTCCCCACGTTCTGCAGTGCCCCAAACAATGCTAGCTGGGTCTTAGCACATTTATGTGTTTTATTCTTTATACAAAGCGATTTAAAGTAACGTAAGCTGCTGAAAGTGAAGGGATACATGTACTTCATATTCCGTCTTAAAGGAGGAGTTAATCTGACGTTAAATGTCAATTGACAGAATGTTCTGATTGACGTCATTTCTAGTATTTAAAAACAATTATCAGCAAATTTTAGCACTTCTACTACTCGTCTTTACTTTAAGTCTACATCATTCAATACCAGAGACAGCAACACTGTCTTCAACACTATTCTACTAACATCATGCTGGACTCATCGACACACCGTGAACTGATAGAATGCATGCAATCAAATGTGTTTCAGTATTGGAAAATGTGTGATTAAGAATGTGGGTTATGGTCAAAATTCATATCTTCCAGGCAGTCGGTCTAGAATTAGGGTTTCTCTTTTAAATAAAGCTTCCTGTGTTGTTGTTTTTTTTATATACGACCATACGTATGCATGCGATTTGTCAACATTTTTTTTGCATGTTACTTTATTTATTTCCAATTCAGCATGCTATTGCTATCCACATCATCATCGTCATCATCACCATTACCAATAACAGTATCATCAGAGAAAGAAGACAGACAATTTAAACACTTATACACGCCTTCAAAACACAATTCAACAAATCATAAATATCACCAATATTATAGAGATGAAAAAACAATTACAAGTGAATCAGAAACAGAATTGTGTCAACCAATTCAACAGCCTGACTATTCATCATCACCATCATCATTATCATCGTCATCATTATCAAGAATAAATAAACAAAAATTAGTTAAAAAATACAAATATATGAACAATATGAGTCATCAAGAAAAGCCGGCAAAGTTGATTTTAAAACCTAAATACCAACCATTGATGGTGAATGGAAGGGAAGAAAATTATATGCATCAACAATCACTACTAAATCATAACTACACTAATAATGATAATGATCATTATAACTGTAATAATAATGATGTCACATTCCAATTGAATAGTAATAATGCTTATACATCATTCAATCGAAATTCAAGTCTTTTTTGTCCCGGCTACATATTTACTCCAGAGAAAATAGATCATTTACTCAAAGTTAATAATTTTCTAAAGTAATGAAAAAAGTCAAAACAAAATAATTATTTACCATAGTTTATTTCTTATTTTGTTCACTGATTCGTTCTGTTGACTTTATTTGTTTAAATGTATTAACTTAAGATGAGTACTGATAACCGCCACTTTCAGATAATTTCGCAATTAATAAGAAAGTAGAGTTCCCTATACAAGTCATTAATTCTAACCTAATATTTTCTCTGCGTATATATTGCAAGATACAATGTTTAGCTGAAAATACATATTGTATCCTTCCTGAAGTTATCTGCAAACAGATGAAATAGTTACATTTAATATTGTTATTGATCCTTGAGTATTCTCACTCTGGTTTATGAGAATAATTATTGTTCTCCATGGATACTAAGTGAGCATACAGCTTCAGGAGAAAATCTCCACTTCACTCGGTTTTCTGCACCCTTTTAGATGGCTCTACGATTGACCATAAGGTTTCACCACCACCTCAAGCGATGTCTATCGTATCACCTTCGGACCCATGCCATACTCATAGTTTCCCCTTCAGATTCCACTCGACGGCCTTGCACATGATTTCATTTAGTAGTCTTCCGAGCGTAATTCTACTCCATCTTTATTTTCTTCGGTATATTCGTTAGGCGATAGGTTCGTGGTTGATTCTCTGACTTCTAGGGTTCCCTGTTGCTTATCCTTTATGGCTGACTATCTGATCTTCAGTATCCATTAGGTGAATGCATCAGTTATTGAAAGCCTGAAGTCTGTTGGATTTGTTTCTCGTGATGCGTCAAGTCTCTGAACCATATAGAAGTACTGACTTGACATTTTTGTTGGAAATCCGAATCATATTCCTTACGCCAAGTATGACAGATTTCCACATTGATTTTAGATTTATGAAGGTCTATCTTGCTTTTCTTATCCTGTTTGGCTTTAATATCTTCATCTGTACTGCCCGTAGTTGAAAAGATGCTGATTTATACTGCTTGTGTTCAGTTTCCATAAACCTACGTTAATTATGATATAAACAAAGTATCCAAATGCTAACTGCTCTCTGTGTTCTTCTTTAAACCATGAGGTTGTAAGGATTAGAGAGTATACTTACCGTGTAAACATGAATCCAAAAGATAATTAGAATAGGAGTAACACTAATCTATGGAGTCTATTACTGTTAACCTTAATTGTTTACAGCATCTGAAAAATATTTGTTTTAATAATTCCCTAATCTAATTTAGTGGTGATGACTGCGAAAACGTAGGATGCGGATACCACTGCATAATCACTATAAAAAATGACATGTGCTATATTCAACAAAAAATAGCATGCATAGTGTTTTTTAAAATGCGATGTTTCATCTGGAACATATTACTATTTTTTTTTAATTACCCTGATATTATTTTAATTGAGTTAATTTCTTCATGAATTGTTCATTTCTGCATTTTTATGAACTATTTTTTCATACAGGAATATTGCAAATGTTAATCGTTTACCCGATGTACATAATGATTCCTCAAAGTCAGACTATGATCCAGAATCTGGAAAGTTGTTAAACATTGCTGGTAATATGTTAGGATTTTTAAACCCAGGAAATTATCGTTCCAATGGATTACCTCAGGTATGTACGATATATATATATATATATATATACTACATTTTAAAAATCAAATCATTTGTTCAGAGCATTTGACTTCTTTCTACTGAAAATTCTGTTTAAAATCTTCAAAGTACTGTTGGTAATACCTGCTGTTGTGAAGTTTTCTGATTAAGATTTTTCATGACTCGCTCTTTTAAAACTGTTCTACTGTAGTCTTCTGCCGGTTCGATTCCCAGCCGACGCTCTCCCAAACCTCGCTAAGCTGGTAATAAGCCTGACAAGGAGGGTAAGTTAGGTGTGAAACAAAATGTTCCCAATGTAACTCATGGATTGATATCGACAGCAAATTACTGTAAGTCCGTTGCATTCACAATGAAACATAAGACTTCAAGCTTTGAAGATTCAGTAGTGCGGTAGTCGCTTTCTTCATTGGTAGGATTGCTAACCTCAAGCTCATCCTGCCGTGTGTTTTGTGGGCTTACTACTGGCCTTTAGACTAGGAAAGGTTTCGGAATGTATCTTACCAGAATCGACTCGAAACTCTCTCGTGGCTGCCGAACATCCCTACCACTGAACTACCGACGAACAGTGCATTTAAGTATAATGAATAAGGTGAATAACATGTTTTACTCAGTAATATCATTTTCACAAAAACGACAATTTATAAAAAACTTTCTTGCAAAGAAATAAGAAATAGGTCAGAGTAATGTGCTTAAATTTAATTAAAATGAAATAATATTATACGTTTAAAGACTGAAGTTTTATAGAATAATTTTTGAATTTATTCAGAATTTCTCCTCTTTACTTTTTAACCAGACAAAAGATAGAACAACAAGTAATACTCCATCAGTTGAAGATTTAAACATGGCACGTAAAATGTTTGTGGCAGCTAGGCGCGAATCACTTTTGTCAAATAGAAATGGGGTGAGTCAGTAACTTTGGGGAAGTAAATCAACACATATGCTCATATGCATAAATATTTCACCATCACTTTTTTTCATAGAGTTTTATTTTTTAATTGTTCTGAAGATTTCTTACCACTGTTTCTTTAATACGTTTGCTTAGAGTTATTTGAAACTGATATTTTGAATGATTGACAAAGTTAGAATTCACGGGTCACTGAGTATAGGTTCAAGTGGCTTGGTGTTACAACCTGAAGGTATCCGGTTCATTCCATAGTGGGGTCATAGGTGAGCACAAAATAGGAGGAAACAGTTTTCCAATGCTTCCTGGTTTTCATTGACCTCTCTAATTAAATTAATCTGAATCCCCACAAATCCTATAATCGAAATATCAATCTTTGTTAATTACTGGGGATTTCTCTAAAGATAAAGATAAGTCAAATGCTGAAGTGGTATTCTTGAAATTTTAAACGATACAGAGGAGGCTGATGAATGTCTGAGTATTAAAGTGTCAAGATATTGTTCTAACCATCAATACTAAGTGGAAAACATGTATGATGAGGTCAAATGTATAAAGTTTAAAACATTTCCAGAAATGATAGATGTGTGTGTGTGAATTAAACTGAAGGCAGTTTAATACAAACAGAAGAAAAAAATGGATCCCAAACCAACGGAATTTTAATAAATCCCAAAATAACTTATGAAATACCCTATGTACGTAATGTCGCGACAAAATGAAGGAAAACAGAGTGATACTACTTAATAATAGTTAGTAGTAAGAATACTTAACCGTACTGACAAAATTAGTAGTAAGACAGTACTGGGTAAGCGAGATAACTCCTTGTCCGAACTGAACACAACTTCTCCCAGAAGACACTGTTTTATCCGGTAATTTGTGAGGTGACATTATCTCATGATGCAAATTTCCAAAATAAATCTCAAATGATTCCCGTTCTTCTGTCCGTATCGTTATTGAAAACGATAGTGGTCATAAAAGTGTTCTCAGCATTGAATGAAAGAATATTCCGTAAACACCTATTTTGAGGCATTTATGAAATATATTTTTTTTTATTTTATTTATTTTTATTTTTTTGATTACAGCTTGATTCCACACAGTATTTTTAGTACAAGTATGAAATTTTCAGCATGGATATCGGTAGCCCAAATTTCGCAGGCCGACCATAGATATCAGGTGTGCGTCGGCGTGGGCTCGAACCCCGGACCATGTGCATGGTCGGCGGGAGTCCTAACCACTGTGCCACCAACGCACAGAATACGAAGTCACATGAGATGCCCTTTTTAATACTAACTACACAAGTTGTTGAAGACAATACACCTTAGGCAGCTTTGGGTTAAGATAGATGCCTTCAGTTTAGTCCACCTTATTGTGAACCGAAAAGCACTGTTATCCATTTATCTGAAAAAAAAACAATTACGAATATTTTATGATGGCAGTAATTTACAACAAATTACCGTGAAATAATACCATAAAGAACTTTATGAAATATATTCAGACTAAATATGTCATGAATCTAAGAAAAACACCTGATGCCTGCCTTCCTTGATTATGACACTCTGTTTTTACTTTTTCTCCTCTTTTTTCCTGTTAACAGCCATATTTCTGATCAATAAATCCATATATATATACTCACCATTGGAAGATAACAAGAAACCAGAATCCGTTGGTAATATAACACAAAAATGAATTGTCTTGAGTTATTGCATTTCTAGGTTTAAAATTTACCGTCTTTCACAGTGTAATTTGCATATTCAAGTAATTCTACAAATGTGAATATGTATGTAATCGAAAATTATTTTAGCAAATTCTATCACATAAAATAGTATATGCATAGGAATATTGTGCAAATAACAGACCTATACAAATTGAACGTCTGTTGTTGTTTTTTTCATATTTATTCCCTTGTATCTTCTCTTCTGTTTATCAATGTGGCTCAATCAATCTATTTTTCTCTGTACCATAATATATTCCATACTTATCGTCACACAACTTTTTAATTATATTTAAATTATGCTTGTCCTTTTTTGCTGTTTGAAAGTGTTGATAATTTATCCGTATCTGCATCCTCTCCTTTTGTACAGTTGTTAATTAAGCTCTCATTCAAATGCTTCAATCTCCTTCTCCCACTTATTAAACATCTTAAAAACAGACTTTATGTAATCCCCATCACCCTGTTTCTACTAGTTTCACAATGGAGAAAATAATTCATACTCAGTATGAATTATAAGCAATTTCTAAATTTTAATCAAACATTAAAAAAACCGAAACCATGTGAATAAATCATTTTAGAAATGTATAAACTTCCACAAATATTAGTTTGCGTTGTTTAACCCCTTTCTTTACCCACTTTATTTTACAATCTATTGCTAGAAATAAACGTTGATCCCGTATTATTCTACTGAGTACCTGTAAATCCTGTTAATACTACTTATAAGTAGTTGTTTACTGAAGTGTTAACAATTGTTTAAAAAGAATAGCTGAAAAATTATTTGTTTACTCATTTATTCGTATTTATAATCATGCATGTAAGCATGTTTTTACATTTTTGAAATGTTGGTGAACTCATCAACTTCTTTTTCCATTTTTAGTTATAAATATGAATGAAGTATATTAAAGGTATTTTCTGTTGTCATTATCGATAGTCTGTGTATAGATCTTGACTTTCAGAAATCATAAAACAAAATTATTTAATGAAGAATTTCTGTCTTTATAAGCAGCGCATCTAAAGGCAAAGAATGTACTATTTAAGTAAAAACTGAAAGCATAAAATGAAGCTTTTTAGAGTACTTAAGTTAAAGAAGCGTTCAAATTGTCAATGTAGGCACTAATTTGAAGTTTCAGCTGCATTTTTTTTCCTTCACGTTCCCCAGTGGAACATAGGGCTTCAAGCTAGAGGCTTGAAGTTTGTGTACCAGTGTTTATTTTACAGGATGAGGTTGCTAACCTCATGCCCAATCTTTCCTCTTTACCAGCTTTATTACTGGCTTAGCGAGGTATATATATATATATATATATATATATATATATATATATATATATATATATATATATATATATATATATATATATATATATATATATATAGTTTCTACTAGCTGGTATCATGTTATAGCTTACTGTATATGATTCAGATTTTAATACTATAGTACATCTACGTTTTCAGGCTGTACCATATGCTTACGCTGTTAATGGCTAGATATGAAGGAACGAAAATGAAAACTTTAAAAGATTTTTTATTAACGAGATCTGATTTCGAATAGCGCTTGTCAACCAGTGATCTGAAACACAGAGCAAGACAAACGTTAGCAGGTTGATCAGACAAGTGCCTCTTCCTATTAAAAACGAAGACTCAAGGCTAGAAATCGCATTCATAACCTATCATATTACAATTTGGTGAGGGTGAAGAATCTTCCCATTAGTCCTCCGTCGCCTCGTCTTGGGAGATCAATTCATGGATGCCACGCAGTCAACATGAAATCAGACAAGCACACAGTTTAAACATAAAGAACCAGTGCTAAGTGACTGTGTCTGCAGGACTTGTCTGGACTAAGACTTGTTGCCAAAAAGGTTGTAATCTATTGAAATGTATGGCCAGACTATGAGACGGGTAGGCTTCCTGGATCCTGCAGTTGAAGTGGCAGAAAGACACAGTCCCGTGGTTTACCTGGTCCTACGATAATCTACACATAGCCGAAGTGTTCGATTTTTTAGCTAAAACTACTGCAGAAGCCGGTGAAGATTCAGGCTGTTAGATGACATTATTTTTAACTGTTCATCAACTAATTAATTCGGCTCCTTCTGATAATGTGCAGTTACTCACTGTGCAAGTTGTCTACAAGATGGAGCGTTACCTGTATCTAAGTGGTGTTGGATCAGTTTTGTCCTCCCTGGGATTTTCCATCCCAGTCTAAACAGTCCATGTAGCTGTCTAGCATTTTACTGAAGTTAGTTGTTTTCTCATAGGGCAAGG